TGCAAGGCAGACAGAGAGCTTTGCCTTTATTCCGATTCTGTCATTCTCTAGATGTCTAGTACTGTATCTTACAAATTGAGAGCTGTCAAAATAGCAATGAAACATATACAACAATAATACCACAAGTTAAGGAAGATGCAAAATTATTGCTCTTTGTTCCCCCACCTTGCAGCTTTAAGTGTATATTGAGTATCCTGTCTCCAGGGGCAAACCAAGAATGGGCAACCTGGAAGTTCCTGAATAGACTCAGAAGCGGAGTGAGCAGATCAAAATACAACCTGGCAAAATGGCACTACCTAAAATAATCCCATACCTTGTATGACTGTGGAGCAGAACAGACAACTCTGCATCTGTATGCTTGTCCATTGTGCCCTGCCTCATGTACAGAGGAGGAATTGTTGGAGGCTACAGACAATGCCGTTGCTGTTGCCCGTTTTTGGTCAAAAGATATTTAGCCGCCTAAACACCTTCTATTTTATCAGTTTTATACTAATTTATGCAATGCTTTTGATACGAAATAATAATAATAATAAACTTTATTTATATTCCGCCCTTCTCTCCTAGGGGACTCAGAGTGAATGACAGCATTTACATACATAGGCAAACATTCAATGCCTTATCAATCACATGAGACACACAAACAAAGGCAGAGGCTTCTCCTTTCATTTCCAGCTTCTGGAGAAAGTGCTCATCTCTTGCTCTAGGAGGTGCTTTCTTCCATTTTCAAGCTGAGGAACCTGCATTGTCACCACCTGGTCATGTGGCTAGCAAGATTGCTTGGAGCATTTCTTTGCTTTTTCCCGCTGATGTGGTACCTATTTATTTACTCACATTTGCATGTTTTCAAATTGCTAGCTTGATAGGAACTTGGGCTGACAGATGGGAGTTCACCTCGTCTTGGGGATTTGAACTGCCAACCTGAACAGGTCAGCAGTTCAGTCAACCTACAGATCAGAAGTTCAGCAGCACAAGTGTTTAACCCATTGTACCATGACGGCCCTTTAGGCTGGGTGCAGATTCTGGATCCAAAACAGCAACTGTTTGTTGAACCACATTCACATTATTAGCATAAAAGATTAAATTGGTTTGTAAAGTAAAAACCTCTCCTGGATTGTACAATGTGAAGGTGTTCATGTACCCTGGGGTGGGTAAAGTGCAGGCTGTAGGGTGCATGGTCCTTGGGATCTCCAAATGTGACTTCAGAAGCATTTTAAGTCCTCATGCCTGTCTCATTTAATTTTTTTAAGTCTCTGTTTTCAGGTTCTTTTTCACCTGGAAACCAGCAAAATATATCCCAAACTGACTGTGAAGCAGTTTGCCTCTCACTTCCCTAAAGATCCAACAATCCCCCCATGCCTAAAATATGAAGTACTGCAATTTCACTTTTGGCACACTGAATGTGATATAGTTGCCCACTAAAGGGTGCAAGAGAGAACTGTCCCACTTTAAATACCCATCCTTGTTTCAAACTACTGCATTGACATCTAAGATCATAGTCTCACCACCCCAGCAATAATTGCATAATTTGATGAATCCATTAAAAAAGGTAATGAAAGGGACGTGCTTTATTCTTCAACACTCGATCAGAAGACAATGGGGAGGAGAGCACACAGAATTTCACTTTTGCAGTAGAACGTCTTGGAGTTTAAGAATACATGGAGGGCCGTACACTCTGATCCTGCTATAAATGTATGCATGGCATTTGCTCTTCTTGAGTGTTACAAATATTACAACCGTTTGAAGTTCTTGAACAGGACAGCAAATACTATAAGAACTATCCACCTCCTTCTCAATTCTTACATCAATATCATTATGTTCCACTGAATGTCAGATGACATGAACACTTGCTCTTTATTTTGACCCATGTCCTTTCCCTTCTCCTATTATATTTGTAGCTGTATAAAGTGTGCCATATTGTACATAATATCCCAAAATAAGCAACCCGATGTCAATTAGACTTTCCTTGAAGTAGACCTACATAGACTTGCAATGTAAGTATCTGGACACTTCAGATTTCTTATTAACAGAAGTGTTTTGTTCCCTGTAATAATTGCTACTCTTCCTTGGCAAGTTTGCATTCTTCGTTATTTCCAGCACTGTTCATTGCACAACTATCATCTTTAAACTATCATACCTGTCTCAATAGCAAAATTAATCTCCTGGATTATCCTTTCACAAGGTTTGAAGATTGGACTCTTAATATTAATAAATTCCACTAGTATGAAGTCAGTTGACATTAAGATCTTTGGACACGTTTCTTTCCCATCAGGCATTAAACCATGATGTAAGCAGATTTCCAACTGATGATCACATCCCAAAATAGCTGGGCAGTCACCTGACCTATTGCTTTTAAATGTTGACAAAGAAAACTTCCTGAAGTTTCCAATTTAATGTTGCACATTTAATAATAACTGTACAGGATTCTTGGTGTGCGTGCCCTTTTCTTGGTGCATAAATATCAAACCCAGAAATGGCTGCTACATCTGTACATTCTTGCTGATCTCTCAAGCCCATAAAGTTCCCGAGGGAGGTGATGACACTCTAGGTATTTTCTGGCAAACCCTCAGAAAGCAGTTCTGAGAGAGGCTGTTTTAAATTACTCCTTCCAAAAGTCATGTCAATATTTTCCTCTTGTGTGAGGAATATAATCTCTTAAAAGTTCAGTGTGTGTGAAAGAGAGAAGCACGCTTGAAGTCATACAGATGTCATGCCTAATTTTCTAATTCACCTTCCTTGAGATCTCTGTCAACATTCTTGCTTGCTTGAATGGTTCTGATTTGTAATCTGAGAACGGGATCTAATATATTCAAGGTCTATTCACACCCACTCTTCCATCACTACACTACATCTCCACTTTATCTTCACAATATTCCTATGAGGTAGGTAAAAGTAAAGGTTTTCCCCTGACAATAAGTCAAGTTGTGTCCGACTCTGGGGGTTGGTGCTCATCTCCATTTCTAAGCCGAAAAGCCGGCATTGTCCATAGACACCTCCAAGGTCATGTGGCCGGCATGACTGCATGGAGCGCTGTTACCTTCCCGCTCATTGATCTACTCACATATGCATGTTTTCGAACTGCTAGGTTGGCAGAAGCTGGGGCTAACAGCGGGAAGTCATACCACTCCCCAGATTCAAACCTGCAACCTTTTGGTCTGCAAGTTCAGCATCCAAAAGGGAACAAACGGTCCTGGGCCATCCAGTACGTTCGGTTTAGGGAGAATGTGCACGTAAGTCTTCCAAATCCAGATCAAAATCACTTGATTTTTCTATACATGTATTTTCCTTGGTCAGATAGATAGAAAAGTCAAGTGAGTTGCCCAAGGGCTGAGAAGAGCGGTATACAAATATAGTAAATAATAAATAAAATAATTTTGCAATACAAGCTTATGAAGCTTGAAACGTAAGTTATTTATATCTTTATCTTTTTTTCATCTTTTTGTTTTAGGAAATAACTTTTTTAAAACTGCCTCTATTGCCAAGTGCTCAAAAACCTATGTCCCGCTGCACATTTTATTTTCATTGTTGTGAGCTTTTTGTCAAACCTATCACAGGGCCTCTTGGTAAGTTTTGTTGTTGTTTCCTTTTCCCCCTTAGCCGCTTAAGCCTTAAGGACCTGAAGCTGTTAGGAATTGTGGGAGCTCAAGTCCAAAACATCTGAAGGGCCAAGGTTTGCCAATGCCTGATATACATTGCAGCATTAATACAGTTTAACCCAGGGGTTCTCAAACTAAGGCCCGGGGACCGGATATGGCCCTCAAAGGTCATTTACCCGGCCCTCTCTCAGGGTCAATCTAAGTCTGAAATTACTTGAAAGAACACAACAACAATCCTGTCTCATCAGCCTAAAGCAGGTCCACACTTCCCATTGAAATATTAATAAATTTATATTTTTAAAATTGTTCTTCATTTTAATTATTGTATTGTTTTCAAGTGTTTTTTGCACTACAAATAAGATATGTGCAGTGTGCATAGGAATTCATTCCTTTTTTTTCTTTCAAATTATAATCTGGCCCTCCAATAGTTTGAGGGAATGTGACCTGGCCCTCTGTTTAAAAAAATTGAGGACCTCTGGTTTAACACCTCTGTAAGGACAACGGCTCTTAAAGTATGGGATGTGTAGCCTCACAAGGTTGGTCCTTAGCCTCCCTTCCAAAGTGTACTGGGGCCTCCCAGGATTTCCATAGCATTGAGCTATTGGCTTAAAGTGGTGTCAAACTGCATTCTTTCTGCAGTGTGGATGCCGCCTAAGGTTCAAATTTCCCGCTCAATCTTGGGCAGGACACACTCTCTTAGCCTCAGAGCAAGGCAGAGCAAAGAGCCCTTGGTGGCACAGTGGGTTAAACCCTTGTGCTGGCAGGACTAAAGATCGACAGGTCACAGGTTCAAATCTGGGGAGAGCGCGGATGAGCTCCCTCTATCAGCTCCAGCTCCTCATGTGGGGACATGAGAGAAGCCTCCCACAACATCAAAACATCCAGGTGTTCCCTGGGCAACGTCCTTGCAGACAGCCAATTCTCTCACACCAGAAGCGACTTGCAGTTTCTGAAGTCACTCCGACAAAAAAAAAAAAAAGAGCAAGGCAAAGGCAAGAAACACATCTGGGAAAGAATAACCCAGGGTCCTTCCACACAGCCCTATATCCCAGAATATCAAGGCAGAAAAATCCCACACTATCTGCTTTGAACTAGGATAGATGAGTCCACACTGACATATATTCCAGTTCAAAGCAGAAAATGTGGAAGGAGTCTCAGAAGTGGCTGGAGCTGAAATGAAGCGGCTTTGATGTGCTACCTCTCAGGGCCTTTCCACACAGCTCTACATCCCAGAATATCAAGGCAGAAAATCCCACAATATCTGCTTTGAACTGGGTTATCTTGAGTCCACACTCAGATGATGTGGGATTTTCTGCCTTGATATTCTGGGATAGAGGGCTGTGTGGAAGGGCTCTCCACCTGAAACCTTCCCTCCCCCTGAGTTTCACTCGCAGCAAACACGCTGCAAAGAGGGGAGCGAGTGGGCTTGCTTTGGCTTGCGGCCTACAACTTCCGGCAGGCACTTCCTGGCAGCTTGAGAAACCCGGAAGGGAGTCCCTCCCCGTGAGAGGAAGAAGCCCAGCAGTTTGGAGTGAGAAGCGCGCCTCGTGGTTGAGGTAAAGCCTCTCCCTCCAGGGCCATTGAAAGGAGGCCTGCCTTCCCCCTGACGCTAGGAAAGGCCTTTCTCCTTCACTCCTTTGCCAGAAAGGGAGGCGCCTCTTTGAGTATTTTAGTGTCTTCTTAGGCAAATGTGGGAATAACACTGAAAGAGGATTCATTCTCTACTCTGATGAGGCCCTCATCCGAAATGCCTGGATCCAGCATTGCTCTGTCATAGCCCAAACTGTCCGCCTTCCCTTTTAACTCTTTTGCCATTCACATTTTTGTTGTTTCAAGCAATGGTGCAGTTGGACTGTGGCCTCTTCTACACTGCCATATAAAAATTCAGAAGATAATCTTTGAACTGCAGTATTTGGCAAGTGTAGATTCACAATCCAAATCAGATAATGTGGAATATCTGCTTTGATCATTTAGGGCCCCTTCCACACAGCTGAATCAAATCCCACATTTTCTGCTTTGAACTAGAATATATGGCAGTGTGAACACAGTTAACCCAGTTCAAAGCCGATATTGTGGGATTCACTGCCTTGATATTCTGGACTAGAAATCCCAAATGTCTATTTCCTCCAAACTCCACCTGTGTTCATATTTGGGCATATGGAATATTCGTGCCAAGTTTGGCCCAATTCCATCATTGGTGGAGTTCAGAATACTCTTTGATTGTAGGTAAACTATAAATCCCAGCAACAACAATTCCCAAATGACAAAATCAATTTTTTTGAGTGGAGGACATACATTGGGTTGTTAGGTGTCTTGTGTCCAAATTTGGTGTCAATTCCCCCAGTGGTTTTTGAGTTCTGATGGTATCACAAACGAGCATTACATTTTTATTTATATAGATTATATTATATGACTGTGGAAGGGCTCTAAATTATATGGCAATGTAGAAAGGGCCTGTAACAACCAAAACAACCATGTTATGTGTGTTGTCAAAGGCTTTCAGGACTGGAATCACTGGGTTGCTGTGAGTTTTCTGGGCTGTCTGACCATGTTCCAGAAGCATTCTCTCCTGATGTTTCACCCACATCTAAGGCAGGCAACCTCAGAGATCGAAAGGTCTGTTGGAAACTAGGCAAGTGAGGTTTATATATCTGAATGTCCAGGGTGGAAGAAACAATTTTTATCTGTCCTTTCTCCAACATAAAGAACAACACTCAGAAAACAGGAATTCCAGACAGGTAATATTGAATGCAATATTCTTGCTTCTTGGCAGGGGGTTGTACTGGATGGCCCATGAGGTCTCTTCCAACTCTTTGATTCTATGATTCTATGTAACAAACAGGGCCAGCTAACACCTCCCACCAAAGGATTCCCCAAGGCAGGAAGCAGCGAGGCATTGAAGCTACAAGGTCATTAAATTATTATCTGGGCAGGCAATTGCAATATTCACACTTGTCTCAAGTAGACAAGAGTTATTTCTCCCACTTTGGACACTCCACAGATACATAAACCCCACTTGATCAGGATGCCTTCCATAGATGTGGGGGAAATATCAGACAAGAATGCTTCTGGAACATGGCCATACAGCCCGGAAACTCACAGCAACCCAGCCATGTTATGTATTTGAGAAGAAGGCAATGTAGAAAGGAGGATAGGTTGTGCCTTCCTTAACCAAATGTATTGGGCACACTACTTGGTAAGAGTACAAAATGTTTCCCTTTTCACTCTTAGCCATGAATTCTTTTTGTTGTGACAAGTGAACCATCTAAATGGTCTTAATTCCTGCAGTACATTAAACAAATATGCCAATTTATATGTGTCAAGGGAATATAGAAAGGATAGGTTGAATGTGCCTTATCCAAAATGCTTGGTTCCAGATTTTCCCCCCCACGGATTTTGGATTTTTTTCTTGAATGAAGGCCCTTGCACACAGCCATATAACTCAGAATATGAAGTCAGATAATCCACAATACCTGCTTTGAACCAGGTTATCTGACTCCACATGACCATATAATCCAGTCCAATGTGTATTTTATACAGCTGTGTGGAAGGCGCCTGAATCCACGCTGCCATATATTCCAGTTCAAAGCAGTGAAAGGGGGCTGAGATATTTTGGAGAATGGGACCCATGTCTAAACATGAAATACATTTGTGTTTCGTATACACTTTGTACACATAGCCAGAAGGTAAGTAATCTTTTTCATCATTTTGTGCTTGAAACAAAGCTTGTGTACATTGCATTGTCAGAAAACAAAGTTGTCCCATTATCAATTTGCATGGATAATGTTGGATTTTGAAGCAGTTTGGGTTTGTGGATAAGATGCTCCCAATCTGTATTAGAATTGAAATCCATCACCTTAATGTGGAAAGCTTTCCACATGGTCATCCAGGTGTATCTGCTTTGTCAATTTATAATTGAATTTATGGGTTTTTTTCCCCCAAAAAGACCTCTCTTATCCCAGAGTAGCCAGGTATTCTTAATTGTTCCTATATAACAGCTTATCATTTTACATTTTTAGTCCATCACTTGTTCCATAAACCCTGAGAGAAAGTTTCTCCATAAGGAATAGAAGTAGTTGATAAACACTGATAAGGAGACACATACTTTTCTGGTTTCCAGTTGTAGTTTAGATTGATGGATACAGAATTTAGAGAAGGCATGTAGTAGATACCAGATGCTGAAAAATGCAGAGGAAGTGTTATCCTTTCCTAGTTTGCAAGTCTGTCTTGTTTGGATTTCAGTTATCAACTTCTGAGATTTTATTTTAATTGCAGTGATTTGTGGTTAAGCTCACTGAGACACAAATTTGGAAGATTCTGAAAAGAAAATGGGAGATGCTATTGAGGTATGGTATCCAAAAGTTATATCCTGCTTTTTATACTACTATTAAGTGACAAATGTATGTCCGCCTAACTTGGAATAATTACAGCTGAATTTAATAATATGGTATGATGTGGTGGCACAGCGGATTAAACCACTAAGCTACCTATGGACAATTAGAAATTGAGATGAGCACAACCCCCAGAGTCGGACATGACTAGACTTAATGTCAAGGGGAAACCTTTCATTTACCTTATGACCCCCATATCAGCAGAATCAATGTACTGTATAGGTATTGGTTCTGTTGATAGCGGATCATGCTATATTATTAAATTAAGCTGCAATTATTCCTAGTTAAGGGATTTTGCTTATACACTTTTGTTAATTGAGACTGGTTCTACACGGCATTATATGGGTCTGCAATATGAATGAATGAATTGTTTATTGTACTAGCCATAGGCCATGACATCAGTAATATACTAACTTTATAAACACTTTCCAATATAAACCTTAAAACGTAACTAGAATTAAAACTAAAACAAGTTCTTTAAAATTATGAAAGCAGAAACATGACAATAACAGTGTCTGCTTTGTGTCATTCCAAACCGTTTCCATTTCTGATCCCCAGTATGGATTTTGCTACTTTGGCTCTGATCTTTTGGGCTGCGATTGCGGGGTCTGCAATATATGGTCGGTATAGACTCATATAATGCAGTTCAATTCAGTTTGCTCAGGTCACACCTCTTTTGCGAATCTGCCCAGATTTTGAGGTTTTCAGGGAGGCCCTCCTCTTAGTCCCACCTCCATTGCAAGCTTGGTTGATGGGAACAAGAGAATGGACCTTTTGTCTCCTGGCTACCCTCAACTCTGGAACTCCCTACCCAGGGAAGCCCCCTCCCTGCTATCCTTCTGGTGGCAGGCTAAGTAAGATCTTTTTATTCAGGCAGGATTTTAACGATGAAAGTTTAAAGTGGGAGGTGCTGTGAAATGTTTTGTGTGTGTTGATATATTTTCACTGGTTTTGACAATTTATTTTTAATAGTTTTCATATTAGTGTTTGTATTTTTTTTAGGTTTTAAATTGTATATTGTATTGTTTTTAATGTTGTTAGATCCTTTGGATCTATATGGAAAGAAAAGGTGGGATGATAACAATAATAATATCAACAGCAATTGCATGATGTGGGTCTTGTGGATTCTGCCTAAGGTCTCCTGTATCAGCTACACCTTGTTTTTGGTAACTCTGTTGATAGTCCCATTGAAAATAGTAGAACTTGCTATAATCCACAGTTTCACATATTTACTCAGAACATATCCCCTTTGCATATGCGGAGTTATACTGTACTTTGAGATTTTCCAGTAAGGTGCAGCCTTCCCCTGTGAAGTGTAGTCTAGTTATTTTTTTGTGTCAGGAGAGACTTGAGAAACTGCAAGTCACCTCTGGTGTGAGAGAATTGGCTGTATACAAGGACGTTGCCCAGGAGACACCTGGATGTTTTACCATCCTGTGGGAGGCTTCTCTCATGTTCCTGCATAGGAAGCTGGAGCTGACAGATGGGAGCTCACCTCGCTCCCCGGATTCAAACCGCAAACCTTTCAGTCAGCAGTCCTCACGGCACAAGGGTTTAACCCAGTGGTTCTCAACCTGGGGTCCCCAGATGTTTTTGGCCTACAACTCCCAGAAATCCCAGCCAGTTTACCAGCTCTTAGGATTTCTGGGAGTTGAAGGCCAAAAACTTCTGGGGACCCAGGTTGAGAACCACTGGTTTAACCCATTGCACCACCGGGGGCTCTGGTCAGGTAATAAGAGCTTGTCTCATTAAAATGTGTTAGTTTGCAGCTATCACAAGAATCTTTGAGGTTTTATTATTTTTTATTAGAAATCTGTTGTTTGTACTGTAAAGCTTTTCAAAACAAACCTAGTATGTTCACAAAGTTACTAGCAGACAAAAAAAGCCTTCCATTTTTCTACTGCCCTATAGCTTGGCTGTTGCCTGTAACTGTATGTGTGTATTTGGTATTTTACAAAGTATTGTAGTGTTATTGGTGGGGATAGATGCTAAATTTTCAGAGCTCCTCAAAACTTCAATTGTTGAATATGTCTAGATCAATGAATGAACTTCAGATACTGAATCTGGTGATTGAAAAGGAATGAGAAAAGTAAATCTTTTGAATGTTTATGTTTCTCAGTTCCAAGCACAGGTTTCCCATTAGTTTAGATATAATCCTATTTGATAAAGGGCCATCCGAGCTAAAACCTGTTCAGCTGAAGTTATGCCAAATCCAAATCCCTTCCAACCTAGGATTGTTGAAATTTACTTAGAATTAGCCTAATGTTGGTCAAATTTCTGTTAGCCTTGTGGTTGTGTTCCTACAATATGATTCCTCCGCTACTTCGCCTCATTTTTGGCTCTTCTGTCAGCAAATTTGATCAAGCAGAGGATTTACTTTTACAGACTGCTGTTTTGACAGATCTGTGAAGTCTACTAACAGAAGTGCAAGCATATCTACCAACAGAAGATTTCTGTTGACAGAAGAGGCGTGTGCCTAATCCCAAATTACCCACACCAGTACATCTTCATTTAAGATTGTAGTGCCCAAGTGTAATATTGCTTCATTCAAAGCACAGAACCATTGTGTTTCATGTATGCACGTTGGAAATATATCTAATGATTTTGCTATCTTTAATTCTAGACTAATGTGAAAATACCTTTTGGAAGCAAACTTCTAGATGCTGTTCTTTCTGTTCCTGAGAAGATACTCCCTTATGCTGTGGTTCTCACTCATGGAGCATCTGGTGATATGAATTACTGTCACCTCGTATCTTTAGCCAAGTACCTTGCATCTCATGGATTTCTGTGCCTACGATTCACATGCAAAAGTCTTAACATCATCTACAGAACTAAAGCATATAAGGCAGTTGTGGTATGAAGGACCAACTTCACTTTTTAGTTTTAAAAAGAGAAACAAAATTTTGGGTTCATTGTCAAACCCTAGGGAGTTTAATGTTGCCCATATGTTTAATTGGTATGTACTTATTTTGTGTATTTTGAGTTGCATACGTACCCTTAAAAGTAGATCAAACCTTGTATTCTATGATACAGTTGTATTAGAAACATTTTCTTTTCTGTGTTGTTGAAGGCTTTCATGGCCGGAATCACTGGGTTGGTGTGAGTTTTCCAAGCTGTATGGCTATGTTCCAGAAGTATTATCTCCTGACGTTTTGCCCACATGTATAGCAGGCATCCTCAGAGGTTGTGAGGTAAGTTGGAAACTAGGAAAATTGGGTTTATATATCTGTGGAATGTCCAGGATGGATGAAAGAACTCTTGTCTGTTGGAGGCACGTAACACCTCACAACAGAGGATTCCCCCAGACAGGAAGCAGCCAGGCTTTGAAGCGACAAGGGTATTAAATGCTAATCAAGATGTCCGATTGCAACATTCACCCTTTTGTCAAACAGACAAGAGTTCTTTCTCCCACCCTGGACATTCCACAGTGATATAAATCCCACTTGCCTAGTTTCCAACAGACCTCACAACCTCTGAGGATGCCTGACATAGATGTGGGCAAAACGCCAGGACAGAATACTTCTGGATTATGGCCATACAGCCTGGAAAACTCACAGCAATCCATTTTCTTTTCTGCTGGGGCATTTGCACTGTAAAATTCATGCAGTTGGACACCACTTTAACTGAAATGACTCCGTGCTTTGGAAATCTTGGATTTGTAATCTGGTAATGCATCAGAACATGTTGGCAGAGATGTTTAAAGGCTTTGTAAAACTACAACTCCCATAATTCCATTGCATTAAACCATAGCAGATAAAATGGTGTCAAGATGCACCCTGTGTAACTGATCCCTCATGTTCAATTGCTCTTTCATCTCTGCTGGATATACTATATTTTTGTATGCAGATCTTTTAATAGGTCACATACTCACTTTCTCTAAACAAGATTTTATGTTGTTTAACGGTAATTCCTAGCATACTGTTTCAGTTTATACATTGTTGAAAAAAATTGAAACTTCTGTTTTTAAAGGAATATTTGAGATCATCAGATGCCTACAAGCTCTCTGGCATTTTTGTTGGAGGTAAGAATATTTGACGATGCTGTATTAATACATAAAGAAATCATATTTTACAGTCACCTATTGCTTGTGGGAAATGGGAAACAGCTTTGTCTGAGGGAAAAACATTTGCATTCCAGAAACCTTCAACAGCATATCACTATTAATAAATCTGTCATATTTCATAGGCTTGCTGTGAAGATGAAGTTGACAGATAAAGGAGAGCCATGCATGCAGCCTTGAATTCCTTGGAAGAAAGATGGCATATAGCTGTTTTACGATAGACTTAGACTAGTGCTATGTAGCATCAACATTTTGTTTTTACTCATTTGCTCTAGCAGACCAAAATAAGATACACATTTAGGCTAGTGCTATGTAGCATCAAAATAATGTACTAATTAGCTGTTCATTCACACCTTTTTTTGCAGAATGGTAAGCATGATTAATCCATAGTGGACAAACTACTCAAGGGGAAGAGTGGCCTTTTATGTTGAACCTTGAGGAGTTCAGTTTTTAATATATATATATATAAACCTTAAAGGAATTCCTCTGAAGGGCAATTTCTCCACGTTTCTCCCTATTTGAGGCCTAGGGAAAATATTATTGAAACCAGGGAGCCAAGATCTTAGTCAAACGGAGCAAGAACAGAAATGAAATGAAATTGCTTTGATGCTTTCAAAAGGATGTATAAATGGATGTATAAAAGCCTCCTGAGTATTTTCAAACAAGGCTGGAGTGGGTACCTTGGAGTTCCATTTACCTACCAGCATTACTTTCCTGAACTTTTCTCTAAACAGTATATTACTCACTAAAAGTGTGAAATGTTTTTAAAAAATACATATGTAGAAACCCTGTCTTCTATCCCCCTGATTCTACATGGAATATAGGCCGTTCGATGGGTTCACGAGCTGCTACGTCTGTGACACGTCAAGCTGACCAAGACAATGACAGCTTCATCCATGGCCTGATATGTTTGTCGTACCCTCTTCATAGACCAAAGCTTCAGGCAAAATGTCGGGATGAAGATTTGTTGTTCATTAAGTCCCCTGTCCTGTTTGTATCTGGAACTGCAGATGAAATGTGTAATCAAGTGAGTCCCTAGTGCACTGAAAGTGCAAGAAATAATAGCTTTCCTTACAATGTATACTCAGTATGAGAAAACTTGGTGGGTTTTGTTTCAAATACAAACAGTTCCCAAGTTATGAACAAGATAGATTCTGTAGGTTTGTTCTTAAGTTGAATTTGTAAGATGGAACAGGCATTTTTTTAAGGGCCATAAACTCCTGTGGTGTTTCTCTTCCTGTCTGTGCCTCTGTTAAGAAGATTTTACCTCATTTTCTGTCCTTATGACAATTGGATTTAGAAAAAAAATGGCTATTTGTGGAAACATGAAGTGGTACTAAAGCTTCAGTTGAGATCTATTTTCCCCATTATAACTCTTTCAGGAGTGAATTTCCCTTCCTTTCTCTCACTTCCTGTTGTCTCACCCCTGTTTGTAACTATGAATTGTTTGTAAGTCAGATGCTTGTAACTCAGGGACTACCTGTAAAAAGTTTCAGGGTTTGCATTGCTGATTCATATCCTCAAATTCTATGCCTACAGATTTTTTTTCTTAGTATGATTCACCCTTTTGCATTTATATACGTTTGTTTCACATCTTCCCCTTTGCACTTGTCCAGTTTCATCAAAAACAAAGCATGGTTGCAGTTTTAAAATGTGGCTTTAAAAGTATGTCTCACTTATCTCCAATGTATCATATCTATACCTTTGTTACTTTTAAGTTCACCTTATTTTCCTGGAATGTTATGGATTTTATTGGGGTCTTACTTCTTACTTCTGGTTCCTCTGGTTATATTAGGCTGAGAAGTTAGTTAGCCTTCCTTATAGGTTTGACTTTTGTAGATTTGGTTAATGAATTCATCTGTGAATAATCAAAATAATTAGTGCTGGAGAATATAGGGCCATTCCACACAGGCCTTGTATCCCAGGATCTGATTGCAGGTTTTCTGTTTTAAACTATATTATATGAATCCGCACTGCTAGATAATCTGGGATAAACAGAAAACCTGCAATCAGATCCTGGGATATAGGGTGTGTCTGAAAAGGCCCATAGAGATTCCTAGAAAGATACCATCTTTGGCTTTAAAAAAGCACCCCACCCCCTTCTACATTTGTGCCGGTCCTTTGTTCCTAACCCAGTGAATGTGGAGGGCTGGCTGTACTTTGCTGATGCTAATGGATTTAAAATGTTTTTATCTGTATTTTACTGCCCTTATTCCCTCCATGTGGCCAAGGTGGGGTGGCTTCTACCTACATTGATATCCCTCAAAACCATCATAACTGACAACAGAAGTAATACCAGGCATGTGGGCCTGTGACTCTGACATCACCATTTTACTTCTTTTTGTACTTTTTAGTTGACCCAATAAAGATATCACTTTTTTGTGGGTGTGGTTTTTAGGCCAAGAGCTAGTGCCAACTTCAGTATCATCCAGTGGTTTTCCTCTCTGGATTATCCATCAGGGTATATGTCTGACTTCAACCTTAAAAACATATGGCTTTTCAGCTTTCTTGTGCTAGGGGATATGTTGCTGTTCTGAGGCTCTCTGAACGTTCCCAAATCAAAATGCCAGGATTTATCACCATTGGCTATATCAGCTAGGGCCAATGGAGGTTTCAGTCGGAACACATCTGGAGGACTACATAATTATCACTCCTGCACTAATAGTATTGACCTATAAATCGCATCAGATCGATTCAGCACAGACAATGACAAGGAATTGTAACAGTGGCTAAACCATCGTGAGGGGAAAGGGCTCCTCTTACACTATGCTATTTGTAGAGTTATTGATTGCTTTGTTGAAGTAATGTTAATTTATATTGGAACTGAGTACTTAAGGTAGCTGTATCTTGTTCCTTTGTTTTAATAGCGCCTCTTGGAAGATATTGCGGTCAAAATGAAAGCACCTAAGAAAATCCACTGGATTGAAAAGGCAAACCACAGCATGGCAGTGAGAGGACGTACTATGGATGATGTCCTGTTGGAAGTAAACATGCAGGTTTTGTCTTGGATCAGAGAAATCATTGGATAAGAACTCTTACTTGCTAATATGCAGATTTCACTTCATGTGAGTGGTTGATAACACCTTTTATAGGGATAAAATGTTTCCATCAACACAAAAGTAATGCCTCACTCAAAAAAACAAAACCCCAAACAAAACGAAAAACACACCACTCCAATCCTGGGCATCTTCTGTAATTCCATTGTAGAATGTTTTGTCCTATCCGTATATTGAAAGAAATAAACTTTGATTTTAGCAATGTTTTTCCAATACTTATTATGTACAATTATGTTATGTAAAAGCACGCTCTCTCTTTTTAAAAAGTTAAAGTGGAATTTCACACATCCCATTCTCTATTGTGGGCCATTTCTTGTACCTCTATTCCATATATGAAATGGATAGAAAAGCAATATGCCCTTTCATTTGCTAACATATAGTAATCTCTTGCCCATGAGCCTCATGTTTAATTGAATGGTTTATGAATTGTTAATTGTTGTTACCACTTTCCTAGGAGCCCCCAGTGGTGAAATGGGTTAAGCCTTTGTGCTGGCAGGACTGCTGACCGAAAGGTCTGCAGTTTGAATCCAGGGAACTGGGTGAACTCCCCTCTGTCAGCTCCAGCTTCTCATGTGGGAACATGAGAGAAGCCTCCCACAGGATAGTAAAACATCCAAGCGTCCCCTGGGCAACATCCTTGCAGACTGCCAATTCTCTCACACCAGAAACAACTTGCAGTTTCTCAAGTCACTCCTAACATTAAAAAAAAAACACTTTTCTTATAGTCTATCAATATTTGCTGGTGCTGCCTCTTTTTCTGCCATTCCTTCTCTCAAAAAAAGTATCATATATAAATAACTTATGGCGGAACTGTAAGTGAAGCAGACCTGGAAAGGCATCTCAGTGATGCAGTTGATCATCCAATTCCCATGGATATATAATCAGGAAAAGGGTTATTTTTTAAAAATGTAGTAGAACTATGTAACATGTGAGCTATATTAACAATAGATCTGTATATTCTGCAGGCAGATTCAAAGTCTAAAAAGCCCTTGCTCACCTACACAGAAGGGAACATGTGCAATGTTCAGAACCAGATGTACACACAAGGATTTGGTAATGGGGGCAAATTTTGGTTCAGAATGTAGGAAGATCTAGGCACACTGCTTTTCTGCAGGTGGAGAGTGCTGATGTGTAGAAGCATCCAAAGAAGATATTTTTAATCTTGGTAGATCTGTACCACTTGTGCTTTTTCCAGCAGGAGAGGACATCCTGAAGTGGATTGCTCCTCTACTTACTCAGGCACAAACTAAACACCGGGATTGTGGCGCAGCTGGCTGAGTGTCAGCTGCATTAAGATCACTCTGACCAAAAGGTCATGAGTTCGAAGCCAGCCCGGGTTGGAGTGGGTTTCCAACCAATTGTGTGTAGCCTGTTGTCGACCTTTGCAACCCGAAAGACAGTTGCATCTGTCAGGTAGGAAAATAAGTGTGGGGAGGCTAAATTAATTGATTTATGAGGCCATAAAGAAGACTCCAGAAAAGCATTCCAGCAGGGAAGCATGTGGGGAATGCAGAAATGCTTCATCAGCATTGCAGATGGACGATGAAAGCGACAGCTCCCAGAAAAAGTTAAATAGCGTCTGTGTGTACGTCTGTATATGTTTGTATGTCAAATATGGGCACTGAATGTTTGCCATATATGTGTACATTGTAATCCACCCTGAGTCCCCTGCGGGGTGAGAAAGGCGGAATATAAAAGCTATAAATAAATAAATAAACCAAACTTCCAAGCGGGGGTCCAGTAGGGGAAGCAACCCTATCAGAGCTAGCTAATTTCATTCCTGCACTCACTCTGCTAGGTCATCTATTTTCACTTCTCTTCTGTCTTAAGACTCTTTGTCACACAAAAAATCTTCCTTGCTTCTTTCTCTGGGCAAGTGTAGAGGGACCAGTTTCTCAACACTCAGACGATGAAAAGTCGCAGCCTATCTAGGGATTTGCTGTCACTTATTTTCAAGAGCTTGGGTAAAGCTCCAGACAGAGTGGAGACAAGGATAGCGCTGAAGAATGCCTGATTGTGCTTGGACAAATGCGATGATTGTTGCCATTCTTCCATAACTGCATGCCACCACAATGTGACCCAATTTGGTTCTCTGGAAGAAGCAAGTATTCCCTTTGTTGCTGAAGTGAGCACAGGAGGTGCTTTGTAAGTTTTTCGGCCTTACTCTTCATCTGAGTAAGTAGATTGTGGCTCAGAAAGTTGCAATTTTAGTCTCAGGATCACATATTTACTGCTTCCCGACAGCTCCGTTTCGCAACAGGATTGTGGGTAAGGGGCAGAATAGAGAATCATTTACCTTGTTTTTCCTGATGTGTAATGGAGCAACCCGGGGGGGGCTCTTTAAACTGACTGCCGTCACATGTGAACCATTTCTCCAAGTGCTCCAGAATTTCAGCCTTCTCACCAGTCAACATTTTGGAGCACTTTAAACCAAGGTCCTTTAAAAAGCTTATTATTTTATTTGCCCCACCTTCCAAGGGGGCTAAAAAGAACCTAGTGATTCCAGCCATGAAAGCCTTCGGCAGTTCTTGGATCCCTTAGAAATAAAAGATAGAAACGAAGCCCTGGGTTCTGTGGGTAAAGAGAAAGTTATCTATCCATCAAGCTCGGACTTTCTTTTGTCCCTTCATATCTTCCGTTAGAATTATCAATGCCCATGCCACATTTTTATTCCATCTCTAAGTTTGACGAAACAGTTTAAACATCTTGTGTTGGAAGAAATAAAATATTGTCTGGATATTTAGACAATACAATGAGTCCTACCCTCTAAAAGATGGGTGGCTGTTTCTCTTTGTTCCTTATCCCCTAAAATGGATTATTAAAAGGAATCCTAGATTTGGAATAGGTGAATTGATTTGTGAAAAACCAACTAACAAGAGACCATAGTCCAAGTCATCCTTGAAGCATTTTATCCAAAGGATTTTCTAACCCCCTTGGTCATCCAGCATTTTATGTTTGGAAAAAAACTTTTAGACATAGGCATGTATAAAAAAATAAATAAACAATAAGCTTCAAAATGTAGGAAAATGCATGTCTTTGCATAGATCTTCCAAAATACTGATTTTTTTCCATTTCATTTTAAAAAATTAAATGAATCTCTTCGTGTTTGGTGCTGTTTTGTAACCAACTTTCCTGCAGACCTTATGAAAGGGCCTCTCTTTGAACAGCTGCTATAGACAAGAGACTTGAAAAGAATACTGCATTAAGGAAGCTTAGTATAAACCCTGCTAATCAGCTTATTTGAGAATTGCTGGCACAGTTTAATCATACAGTAGCCAATTATATTAACAATTATTTACAAGGCTTCCAGCTGCAGGATTTCTGTCTTGTTGGCTCTATTAAAAGTGGTACTATATTAGATATTGCAGTGTTGTATTTCACATTGTCTTCTGGTAAGATTTAGTGGATTGTACAAAAGGATGTAAACCAACAAAAGCATTGCGTGCAGATCTGCAATCTGAAATAAAGGTGCTGTTAAAAGAGATGCCATGTCCTGCTTTCCCAATAACTGACTTCAATGCATGACCTCTATTGTTTTCTTTTTCTGTAGAGAGGATAAAGTGTACTACTGTTCATTTTACCTGACCCACAGTGGGAATTGTGACTAGTGGTTCCTAACCTTGGCTTGCCATTTGTTGTTGGACTATGTTCCCCAGAATCTAATAACCATGCTTACTGGAAATCTTGGGATTTCTAATCCAAGAGTATCAAGGAACTCCAAGTCATGAGCTACTGTCACATATTTCAATTTAGAAGTTATCCTTTTTCTGCTCTTCTCATCTGCTTAACTGGTGATTTGATGTTATTCAGGGAAGACCTCTGTGTATAGAACAGTAGACAAGTTGACGTCTACTGTGCTTCCCTAGATTAAGGAAGAGGCATGAATGGCATTCATGTAAACATATTTTCAAAGCACACAGTAATAAGTAGCTATTTTAATACGATTTCTGAAGTGATTAATGACAAACACAAATTAACTTAGCCAGATCCCCCTTGCATTTCTTTTGTCCAAGTACAACTGGAGTAAGGTAATGAAAGCATGTAGAGACATTACTTTTTGCAACAATTGCAAAACTATTGTTTGGGTATTTTATTTATGTATTTTTACATCTGTAGGCCACCTTTCAGAGCAATACCTAAAACTCTTTTCCTCTTCAACATGAGGAGAAAGTACTGATATTTAATAAATTACGAGGGTTGAATGAAAAGTAATGCCTCCACCTTCGTAACTCCTCAACAGATGGCAGTACTGGTATGCGGCAGGTACTGGCTTGTTTAGCAGACTCTCCTCTACAGTTCCATCTTGGCAGGAAGCCTTAGCACCTCAAAGGAGATTCATCAGAGAATGCAAGCTGTTTAAAAAATGTTGAGGTGACACCTTATGCTGTCAAGAATTCAATGACTGCACGTTGCTTATGTTGCACTGACTAACCATCTGCGCAGGGTTCCATACTTTGCACTTTAACAACACAACCATTCAATGCTAAGGCTTCATGCCAAAATGGAACCATAGAGGAGAGTCTACTGAACAAGTCAGTACCTGCTGCATACCAGTACTACCACCTGTTGAGAAGTTACGAAGGTGGAGGCATTACTTTTTATTCAACCCTCGTAATATATAGCATGTATGCAATGGAATTGTCATTGTCACTGTATTCAAAAGCTTAGATTGTTATGGGTTTATTATTTTTAAACACCATGTAATGTTAAGGTCTTCAAGATGAAGAGATGAGTAGTACAAGAGCCCACAAGCTGATAATTCCCCACAAGCCTTGACTGAACACACTTTTATTGTTGGTTCATACTGCAGATAAACATTTTAGACCCCCTGTATTAAATGTAGAAGTTAACTGAAAGTATCTAAATTACCTTTGAATAAAAATGACCACAACTTTATGGAAAGAATATTTATTTTTCTTTAAAAAAACGTACAAAACCAATGCTATAATACTGCACATTAGAAGATACTTGGGCTATTAAAAACCCAGCCTTTCCATTATCCTCTGAAGTTGATGAAACATCAAAGACGGCAAATATTTCAAGCACTTTTCTTTCTTCCAATTAAAGTTCCTCTTTAACCTGCAAGAAGCAAGAAAACCCAGCTGTTGGTTGCTTCACTATTGAGATAGTCCTAAAGAATGTTAATTTATCTGTGTTTTTCTGGGATGTTCTGGTATACAAAACCCTTTGTTCTGTATAAAGTTACGATTAATAAGAGCTTCATGATCTTTGATTACTTGAGTCTACTTCGTACTCCTAGATTGCATTATACACTCTTATTTGGATGGATATAGAAATACTTCATTTGTGCATTTTAATTTCACTGAAGAAGGTTAGTACATGTTTGAAGCCTGCCTGGAAAGAATTTGAGAGCTTCAAGTATGCTTCTGTTGGTAAAGATGGATGTTGCTTTGGAAGTACCATTGCCTTTCCTTCACAATTACATATCAGTAAATAGGTGCACTGTTTCCCTACAATCCTATTCTGCCCCCTTATTGTGAAGAAGATGTTGCCCTGGCTTCTTCAGTGCTGTGCCAGCGGAGTGCAAGCTTTGCCAGGTTTTACCAAGATGGTAAGGGTTCAAGTGTGGCCTTCTTAGTGAACAGCATGCTGGATGTCCGAGAAGCTACTTTCTTTGCCTAGGTGTTTTCCCTGGTTCACAACAGCTGAGAGGCTTTCTCCCTCTGGTGAACCTAGGATTATTCTCAAGTAGGTTACGCTTTCTCCACTAGCTGTACAAGAGCAACCAGTACAGAAGACCACTACCTGGACATATGGAGGTGCAACTCTCCCACTCTTCAATCAAGATGTTGGTCATTATGTGCACTAATGAATAATGGACACTCAAGGTATGGTATTTAAAAAAATAACTCCCTTGCATTTTCTCTTAATCAGGTATGGTCAGTATCTGTGTCTGAAAGCTGTTTAAAGGCTCTTCAGGTCCCTGGGAATTACACCATCCCTTGTCTCTCCTGATTATTACGGCCTCTTTCACATTCCCTGTTCCAGACCTTCTTATCCATAGGGATGGGAGGTATACAAAACAAATTGAAGTACATATGTTTGTTGATAATCATTTTCTTCACTCGCAAATCTGGTACCTGGTTTAATGGGGAGGACGGGTTTGAAAAAAATCCACAGCGCTAGCAAAAACTGGAGATGCTTTCAAAAGGGAGAAAAGGTAGTTACTCATGTATAGGATCCCTATTCCTGGTGTCTGGGAAATCCAGTCTAAAGAACAGTGGCAGATTTTGATTGTCTTTAAGTGCAGTATTTCCTTTTAGGCATATGCCATTTATAATTGAGTATAAGCTGACCCGAATATAAGCTAAGGCACCTAATTTTACTACAAAAAAACTGGGGAAACTTATTGACTCGAGTATAAGCCGAGAGTGGGAAATGCAGCCGCTACTAGTAAATTTCAAAATAAAAATAGACACCAATAAAATTACATTAATTGAGTCATCAGTAGGTTAAATGTTTTTGAATATTTACCATATTTCAAAGAAAAACAGTAAACTAGCTCTAAGTAGAAAAGTAGGATCAACAAAACAATATGGTATCAGTAATAACATAATAGTAATAATATTAATAATTATACTCATTTGTATCCCACCCTATCTCCCCATGGGGACTCAGGCCAGCTTCCAACATAGTAACAAGCAAACATTCAATGCTTATATAAACAATGCAGAGCTAGATATAGATCTATAATTATATATACAAATTTCACATATGCATTTCCCCCTGAAACGTTTGCAAATCCTCTCTCTATATGTGCATTTCCCTCCTGCAATATTTGCAAGCTTTATATATCTATGTTTATATCTACCTAGGCATCTCTGTGTGTGCATTTCCCCTGCAGTATTTGCAAGCCCTATATATCCTTTCCATTTTCAAAACATTCCCTTCTTCTCTATTTCTCTCTCTCTCCCCCTGTCTTTTTTTTAAATAAAAGTTTCCAAAATGGGGAACTCCAGCCTTGGAGAAGAAGTGGCGTGAGGGAGGCTTTGGAAAAGAAAACACACTGTTAAAGGAGGGGAAGAGGAGAGAGAAATATATATTGCAAACAATGTCCGGAATCAGTTGTCGGAGCCTTGATTCCATTATGAGTGAAGGGAGGCTTTTTCAGCCCCCAAAAGGGTTGAAAAATTATATTCAAGTATATATGGTACATTAATGCAGCGTGGTAAGGGTCACTTCTGAGATAAGACTCAATGTGATTCTTGCCTCTGGTGATCCCAACTAGTGAGACTCCAACCAGTCATACTTCTTTCTTGAACATGATAACTTAAAAAAAAGTTGTACAGATTCCCTTCGTGCATCATATGTTCAGGGAAAGTCACACTAACCTTCTTCATAGGTTGCTCTGACCCAGTTTTTAATTTGCAACCATTTCTGGGTCAAATGCAACTGAATAAGCTCACAGATTGTGATATTTTCAAAGGAACATGCTGTGATTTCAATTTGTCTCTTTCTTTTTGAATTTTTTTAAATAAACCCAAGAGTTGAATAGAACATGTTTGAATAGAAAAAGCAAGCACAGTAACATTTGTAGGTCAAACATGATTAGTAATACTTTTTTAAAAGGTTTATATTAGAGTGTGCATAGGCCAAGCATTCCATAAGCAGTTATTCTTCTTTTCTTAAAACCAGCTCCAATGTAGGACTATCTTATCACAAGGTTTTCTTCTTTAATAAAGCATAGAATACCCACATTCACAACTTCTGCGAACCTACAACTCATGGCTTTTCCTACTGTCATGCCATGATGATTTAGCAGGATTAAACCCTTACCAAGCATCATTATTAGTATTCTACTGAAGCTCTCAGCCTTATGAAAATGTCTCTTTTTTGCCTTATACTGTATATGGGAAAATAGTAAGGGATTGCAGTTTGGCACCAGGAGCAAAAACTGCATCCCATATTTGAGAATCTACATAAAAAGTATACAGTGTTCCTTCTTGTCCTAATAGGACATGGAACAATGGATTAAAGTGACAGAAAAAGAGATTAGGAAAAACCCTCAATGTTCAATAGAGGAATACACTGCCTTGGCGTCCTTGTTGGAATCTCCTTGTTGGGAGGCTTTTAAGCAGAGGCTGGATGGCCATCTGTTGAGAATGCTTTATTGTGCATTCCTGCATGGCAGGGGGTTGGACTGGATGGCCTTTGTGGTCTCTTCTAAAGAATTGACTCTAATCCAACAGTTCCTAAAATGTTAACTTCTACATCAGTGGTTTTCAACCTGTAGGTCCCCAGGTGTTTTGGCCTACAACTCCCAGAAATTCCAGCCAGTTTACCAGCTGTTAGAATTTCTGTGAGTTGAAGGCCAAAACATCTGGGGACCCACAGTTGAGAACCCCTGTTTTACATACTGTACCTTTTTTCTGTGGCAGCTACAAGGAAAGAGATCTTCATCAGGCTGTTCCACTTTTTCCATACCATCTCTGACTTTGGGATCGTTTATTTGTAATTTGGAATACTCCTATTTTTAAAAAAAATGAAAACAAAATTTTATTTAGTCTTTCAGCTTTGACAGCTTTGCATGGATAAATCTGTATCTAACAAAATTTACCAGTACTCCAAGTAACCTCCTGGAGAACACGAGATTCAGTATCACAAGAACGGTAAGCTGATACAGTCTGCATCTGGTGACTTGCTGAAATATCAGTATCTCCGTGTTAATGCAGAGACATTTTCAGCTGTGTTTCGGGAGGGGCTTTCTAATACTAGGGTCTTTGATGTCTGCTGATGACTGCTTTGAGGAACATATCCTTCTATGCTAGAATGGGATTTCAGTGGAAACTGGAATGCGTCTTTAGCAAAATTCCAGCATGATTTTGTAGGTCATACCTTTCACACAGTGCTTACTTGCAGGACTTGATTATTTAAAGATGACCCCTCAATCTGGGGCAAATGCTTTAGTAATGGTTTGCTATATTGTGCTATAGACAGACAGACAGCGGAGCATAAAGATACATAGTATGAAGAAAAACTATAACTGTATTTACTGTCTAATTCAGAAATTGTTTTGCCCAAGATTTCAAACTAGGGCAATAATCTTAATTATGACAGATATATAGTTCCTTAAGCTTCTGCAAGTGCTTCACAAGTCCCTTATTTGCAGTTTCAGTGATTCACATCAGATAAAATATTTATATTGTATGTATGCATGTATGTATGTATGTATTTATAGCCTTGCTTTTTTCTCAGGACTGAAACTCAAAGTGGCACACAACTATATATTCACAACATACAAAAGATAAATATTAAAACAAAATTAAATATATTATAATTATTAAAACAATTCATTAAAATATATTATTAAAATAAATATAAAAAGCTAATAAAACCATTCACTATGCCCCCTGCTCCATTCTTAAAAACTATCTTTCTTAAAAGCCAGCCTGAATAAAAAGGTTTTGGCCAGCCACTAGAAAGACAACAGAGAGGGGTCCCTGGGAAGGCAGTGCCATTGCCCAGTGGCAGCCACCAAGAAGGCCCTCTCTCCGGTTCTCCATCATCCGTGATTGTGATGGTGGCATTTTCTAGGTCCCCCATCCTGACTCTATGGTATTCTTGGGCTGGAAGGCCTTCACTTCAACAGACTATGTTACTATTCATGGTTTCATGTATCCATGCAAAATCTGGGAATGTATCCCATGCAGATATGGGGGGTGGGGAGGTCATATTGTATACAATGCAAATATGATGAATGAAGCAATGAAGATCCCACGGGAGGAAGCGTTCTGTTCACAAGGATAGACATCTTTCTTCCTTATTACTGAAATCTCTGCTTATGAGGAACATGATTCTCAGTGTCAATCACAGGCAGCATAGTCTACCCTCTATCCATAGTATGGTTGCTTCAGTGCTTTCATTCTCAGGGTTAGAATGGAAAAACAATACTGATATGAGTTTTCCTAAGTATTAAGATCCTCACAGGAGGAATCTCACTTTGTTCCCACCAACATCACAGGTTCCTTTGATGACCACAGAACAGAGATTCTTCCCAACATTTACTTCCAGATGCTGAAATGACCTCTTTTGTGATGCTAGATTGGCCTCCTCCCTACTCTCTTTATAATAGGAGGAAATATGTAAGCCTTATTTTAAAGTTTGCTATTTCAGCATTTATTGTGAACAACTTTGTATCTTATATTTGGATAAAGGTGTGATTTAAATAAGGTAAAGCAAATTTACAAACAAAAATTAGTATATCAATCTTTTTTTAAGGAATAGTTTTTGGCTACTGAGGTAAAGACCAAGCACGGAAATAAAAATGTGACTGATCACCAAAAAAATCATATTGGTTTTTCTGACATAAAAGATATTTTAAAGAGATAGCCATATTAGTTCTCACAACATCAAATGGAAAAGTCTAGGAAGGAATTCTTAAAACTAATTTATTTCAGCCGGATATCTTGTGGCTTGCAAACCTTCAAATACACAAATTGAGTTAATATGAAACCCATGTTACGTGGTTTTTGGAGGTGGGGGGGATCAGTGTATTGAGATAGTATATTATTGTTATATGCCTTCAAATCATTTCCAATTTATAGTGAGCCAATAATAAGGTTTTCTTGGCAAAATTTAAGCAGAGGTTTGCCATTGCCTTCCTGCAGAGAGAATATGAATTACCCAAGATCACCCAATGACTGAGGATTCAAATACTGGTCTCCTAGAATCTTAATCCAATGCTCAAATAGTTATAGTATACTTTAAACTACAATTTTTAAAAACTCTACTCTACTCTGCTGCTAATGAAATAGATGAGTTATCAATCAACACAGAAGACGAGAGTATTTGCTAATTTCCATCTCTAATCCTTCAGTAACAATACAAGTATTTAATAAGTTTGTATGGTAATTTTGTACAAAGTGACAAAGACAAGGACAAGCAGACTGAGAGATAGCTTTTATCCTAGAGCTGTGGCTATGTTGAACTCCATGGTTTTGCATTGATGTGGCATTGGAGGCTGTGTTGTGGAGGGATGGGTGTGTTGTTTTATGATGAAGGCATTTAATTTTTTTGTGCAATAGCACAATGACAATAAAGCTATTCTATTATATTCTAATATAAAACACTACAGGATAACTTACTCCATAATGATTATTGAGGAATACATGGAATATGAATTCCTGAAAAAGTTTTCAAAAAACTGGTAGGATCAACCATCCCAAGTTCAAAATGATCCAGATTTATTCAAGAGATCAAAGAGGGACAAACCTGGAAAAGTTTGACATAATAACAGAAGATGTGGTCTCCCATGAGATTATTTCTTGCAAATTCTTGTCCTGCTTTTGCAATATTCTTTGCCTGCCATAAAGAAAAATGGGAGGTAGGGAAAGAGTTAATCACTTTATGAATAAATCTGGACAGAGGCTGTGAAGCAATCACAAATCTGAAAGAAAGAATAAAATGGTGATATAGGTTTTCAGATGCACAAAAGGTAACTCGGGCTTGGTATTATGAGTAAAAATAAATAAAAATAGGTTAGAGAAAAACCATAACAGTATTTCTAGTGAAGCAGATAAAGTAAGTGTATTTTACAATCTTGATATGGTGATTTTTGGGAAACTAGTTAGATTATGTTGCCTACAACAAGATATCACAAGGTACATGAAGGTGCACAGGAACAAATAAGCTCATGCTGTATTCCCTTTGAATAGAAAAACTTGTTTTGAATTTATCTCTGAAACTGACTTGATGAAAAACAAGGAACAAAGGTGAAGTATAATAATCTCCTGCACACAGAGATACGGTGCCCCCTATCTTCTGTAGGACAATAATGCATGCATCACAAAGGAAAAGAAAATGAGAACATAGGTTTCAGACATGCTATACAGAGGGGTTTTACTATGTGCTGGTATATGGTCTCAGGACCCTCTGTTGATATATAAATGGTGTACGAATTGGTTCCCCTTATATAAAATGACAAAACAAAGGATTGCTTTTAGGAATTTTTAAAAGAATATTTCTAAACTGTAGATCAGTGGTTCCCAATCTTGTTTTCACCAGAGACCACTTTGACCAGGGACCAGTCTCCAAATTAGTACCAAAAGGGTTATGAATCAGTTTTTGGTCAACTTTAGATTCAGTTTGGTTATTTTGTATTTGTGTATTGGGTGTACCACATCAGCTCTAGTTTCTGATACAGAACATATGCCATTCCTTAGTCACCATCTGCTCACCCACATAAAACCATATTTAATAAACCTCGGCACTATAAGAAAGTTTTGCAAGATCAGTCGCTCTTGTTGCAATGGTGTAGTAAGGTGGACCATATTTTAGTCCTTGTGAACCACTGGTGGTCCACGGACCATAGGCTGGGAACCACTGATGTAGATGGTGGAAGACATTGATTGAGAATCTGTTGATACAGAAGGCTGACTGTATATCATAACCCAGAGGTGTTATCCTCTTTAATTGCTTAAGACATGATTAGTTTGATGTGTTATCCATAAAAATAGGGATAAGGATTTCCCACAGCACCTAATAACATCATGATCATTTTGGGAATCCTTGTGTAGTGTTTGACATAGAGGGCTGTGCTTCTGTTTGAAGGTATTATCTGTCTGTGATAGACTATTTTGCAGCAGCCCCTTAGGTGCAATGGGATGAAATCTGATGATTTGAGTTTGCAGCTTCTCAGTCATGCTGCTCATTCCACTCTCAGGAGGTGGGTGAGTGGGTGGAATTAATAGGGATTCTCTCCACATTTCAGGTAACAGTGTTAGTCCCTTGAGAGCTGTGGCTTGCATGCATTGGGGGAGGGAACAAGAGGAAGAGCATTTCTCAGGGTGTTGATCGGGGGGCGGGGGAGCTGGAGCTTACATGCAAAGCGGCTACCACTAAGATGCACCCAAGGTGGTGGTAGGTGGATGGGTTTGAGTAGTACTCAAACTCCCTTCTTATCTCTTCATTTAAGCAACGTGAGCATATGTAGGATTGTCTGTTTTTTTGCTACCCTCATGGTGTTCTGGCACCAAGCTTCCACCGATATGTAGGAACCACTGTATTTTGATTTAAATTGTAGTGCTTAAATAGTTCTTTTACAAAAATACCATTACTTTTCTAGCTGTACTTAATTTTATTATAACATGCTGATAAGTTGGGGGAAAGATGGGATATAAATTAAATACGTAAAGAAATACATAGCATGAACAAGATCTCATCCTGATACCCTGCTATCTCAAGGCAAGTCTCGGTAAGACTCCTAGAGGAAAATATGGAGAGTTCTTGAAGGCAATCCCAAGCAAGAAGGTGCAATGCCCTGACAGTTTCCTCTATTCCTATGACATTACAGGAAGGATATGTATCCTAAATATAACTGCTAGCCGATTCAGTGAAGTACATGGTGCGTTTTCCCTTAAGATCCTCAAGTTGGATCTGAAGGGTCTCTACTGATATTATGACCTGCTGAAGTGCTCTTGACAACAGCAAAATATATATATTCCACAGTCTGAGAGACAGAAGGATGTCATCTCTCTCTCTCAAACTATGGAATGTCCTTTCTTGAAATTACAGTATTTCCTCACTCTCAGTGCTGTCAATACACATGTTTAAAAGCACCATTTTAATTTGGCCTTGTAAACTACCATTTTAATCTTATGTGGTCTCAGTATTTTATGTTTTTGTTTCAGCGTCATGAGAGTCTTGATAGAAAAGTGGTGAAAACAGTGTAAAAAGTCAGATTTTTTAAAACATGTGTAAACTGCATTTTAAAACTGTATCTACTTACCTCTTCATCATGGTCTTTTGCCCACTGGAGTTTCTCCAAGAGATCGTTCAGGTCATTTTTAAATGGAATGTAATGTTTCCAAGGCTGTAGCTCATTATAAAAATGTTCATAATAGATTGAATCCTGTTTGAACACAACACTGTTTCCCGCTAGGAGATAAGGCAGCCTGTATGCAGCCACTGTGCCATCAATATTAATTTGGTATTTATACTGTAAAACAAACAAGCAAACAAAAATGCACAATTAGTAAGACTGGGGTATAGGCCACTGTGAGGATAAACATACCCTCACACAGGAATCACCACCAGATCTGCTTTAGTAGCTTTGAAATTGCTTTTACATTTCAGTAGAAATGTAATTCCTTTTATCTATCATACCTTGAAGAAATCAAAAAAAGAGATGTGCTTCACAATGGGGCCATAGAGACTTTCATCATGCTTGAAAAAGAAGAAGTTTGTGAAGGCTGCATCAATGATGTCTGGGTATTTTCTGCTCATTTTGACCAATTCAAGCCTCTCTTTACGACTGTCGCGACCCCTCCATATTGCTGTAGTGTTCTTTTCTTCCCATGGTGGCCCAGTGTTTGCTTGAACAGACATCATGTCCAGACTGACTCTATCAGAGAAAACAGGTAGGTAAAGGTAAAGGTTTCCCCTGACATTGGAAGTCTAGTCATGTCTGACTCTGGGGGGTGGCGCTCATCTCCATTTCTAAGCTGAAGAGCCCGCGTTGTCTGTAGACACCTCCAAGGTCATGTGGCCAGCATGACTGCATGGAGCGCCATTACCTTGCCGCAGAAACGGTACCTATTGATCTACTCACATTTGCATGTTTGGATGAATGTGTAATAATTTCCTGTGCCAAAGAGGCAGAAAAGACTTCATAAGGAAGAGCAGTGAGACTCCCTCCTTTTTAAGAATCCAGTGCTCTGTTACATTTGTTTGATAGCACCCATGGAAGATTTCCAACAATTGCTGGGCAACCTAGTATAGTGGGAAGTTTTCTATTGCTTAAGAAATGGGGCCCCATTGGTAAAACTAGACAAAACCATTTAAACTGTCTGCAAATTGGGAGAGGATGCTGCTATTCTACCTACAATTACTACCTATAATAGTGATGATTACTGTTCTCCAGTACTGGTCATGGGACATCAGTGCCTCACCTCACCTGAGATCCACAAGATAGCATAGTGCATGCAAGACATGGGGCAATTGTTTAATTCTGTTCTCTAACAGAAAGGCAGAGCCAAAGAGTTGCCACCAATGCCACAGTACCCAGCACCTGTAACCTCAGCTGTGCACCTAATGTTACTGGGCCTTGCAAAGGCTTTCTTGAACAGTGGGTTGTTGTGGGTTTTTTCGGGCTTTCTTGAACATCTCCTTCCATTGCCTCTACTCTTCTGAGAATGCATCCATGTTGTAGAATTAATGTCATTCGATACGACTTTAACTGGCATAGCTCAATGCTGTGAAATCCTGGAAGTTGACTCGGCATTTTATATGTGGTTTTTAATCTGTTTGATAGATTGGTATGAGTTTTAATTGTTTACTTGATTAGATAGTTTATATTTTTATGAGATGTATTTTATTATTATCTGTGTGGCATTGAATTTTTGCCAGATTTATAAGCTGTCTTGAGTCCCCTCTCGGGTCAAGAAAGGCATGGTAGAAATGAAGTAACAAGCACTCTTAGTCAGAAAAGGCTTCCATAGAAACTCCATAGTTCCATAGTATTGAGCCTTGCCAGCTAAAGTCACTGCATTAATTCTACAGTGTAAATGAACCCAGGGGGCAGAGGCTTTGTTCTGCATCAGGAATCAAACAATGATTGTTACTACCTACCACTCAATGAAGGAGAACTTTAGTTAAATTATCTGGTCTAGACTTTTAGCTCTTTTCTCCTGAGTACCTGTCTGTATTATATAAGGAGAAAAAAGGAGAAGCAACTAGTTCTACAGTATAGCTGTTCATCAAGACCAATGTTAATCCAGTCCTGTATACCCGTCATAGCCATAGGAGGCACCATAGGACTGATGTTTTTAGTGATGCCGCAGGTATGGGAGGCAAAATAAGAAAAAGCATAAAGTTGAAGTAGTTTGTCAGTAATCAGATCTATAATAAGTTTGTACTTCAGCTATGTATATAGTAAGTACACTGAAGTATTTTGATTGCTGTTTGTTTTGTAGAAAATGATAGCTCGGAAATGCAATGATTTCTAGCATATTTATTGAATTTTCAGTTTGACGGTTCCACCCAAACTCCAAGGAATACATCATCTAGACAGTCCTTCCATCTCCCTTTTTGTCTCTCATGTTCCATCCAAAGTTGGTGGTTTTTTGTAATAAATACTGATTATAAGAAGCATTCTTTGAAAACATAGTATATTTGTCATGCCTTCAAAATGTGATAGGAATTCTTACCGCCCCATTGTTTCTAAAACTGAGTCAGTCAGATCATAAGTTGGCATTACAATGTCTTTTGAATCATTGGATCCACACCATGAGAATATGGGATGGATGTCCTGAGAGGATTTCTTTTTCTCCAGAGGCCAATCTCCCAAATTGACAAAAAACTCTACATCTGGCATTTTTACCTAGAACACATTGAAGCAAACAAATCATATTATACTATTGCATTGGACCACACTTTTACCACCTGGAAAATGACATCTGTTTTTCATTTGTATGATTAATAGAGTTCATATGTAATTAATGGGGAAAACATTATTTAATGAAACATACTATGGCTCTTGAAGAATTAATTATTGAACGAGAATATTGAAATCGATTCTAGCTCTTGAAGAATTTCTGGCAGGTATAGCAGTATTGCTTTTCAACAGTCTTCTGGGCACAATTTAAGAAATCTTTAGAAATTCAGTTTCTAATAAATGTAGTACATTTGTATACTGTGCATACCTTAAACTTAGAACAGCGCTGTGCATACCTTAAACTTAGAACAGCCCTGTTAGATAAAGTTATTCACATATTTAAGGAATATAGGTTGGGAAATGAAGCCACAAGAAAACTGGCTTGAAATTCATTTTTTAAAATCATTAAATTACCAGAAGATACTGAGCTTCTCTGGGAAGTAGTTTGAGCTTGTTTCTGACATGCAAAGTTAAGCTGGGATAAATTTATTTCAGTCATTATACTTGTATTTTCTTCCGTCTCCTCAGGATAAAAAAGGATATGTACAATGAAGAATAATAACAAGTCTAAATCTTTAAGAGTGTAATGCCATCTGCTGGTCTTTCTGCAATCTCAGTGTAAATTGGAAATCATATTTTTCTCAGCTGCTAGCTTCAGGCTATATTGTATATATTCCTAAATTCTTCAGTCGGCTTTAAGAGATCATAAGATTGTTTTCTTCTGTATTTGGGATGAAGTGCATCAAAGACAAAGACTATTCAAAATGGGCTTGAGGGCTTAGAAGAATATCATAGGTTCCTCAATTGGAAGTCAATAATAGAAGATGTATCTTTCAAAGCTGTTGATCTGGTCTAAAATGTGCATCAAGATAGATGTGACCTGAGTGTGTTCTATGAGCTATGTTCTCAATACACACAGGTCAGCCATCAGACTCAAAATTTGATAGCATGAACTTAATGTGTACTGGAGGTCTTTCTGGAATGCTCGGGAGTCATGTGGCACGTACAAGAGAGCAACAAAACAGCTCCCTAAAGGCAGATAAGCCGACACTGGCTACACAATGCATTTATCTTGATTCTTAAGATTCCACCCAATCTCCAGAGGATAAGGCTAAACAATTGCTTTATTGAGATTACAAGGTAAAGAAGGGCATAACCAATAATTCAAGTCACAGAACTACTTTTTTGGTTTGGTTTGGTTAAAACCAGTCAGGGTATGGGGGTGGGGAGGTCAGCACTATTGAAACCATGAGTTGTGGTGGGGGTTAGTTGCTAAAATTTCATTTACCCAAGCTGCTATTCACATCTACTGGTGAAATGTACAGTCCTGCATGACTATTTCTTTTACCCACAGGGTTGGGGTGATTTTCATGGTGGTTTACTATCTAGTCCCAATCCAGGTTTGGACCTCCATAGATAATTGTGTGTGTGTTTGTCTGCAAGTAGCCTGTTTTGTGGTGACCACATTAATTTTATAAGGTTTTCATAAGAAAGGAATAATCAGAGGCAGTTTTACATCTTTCTTTCTCTGAAATGTAACCTGTAGTACCTGGTGTTCATTGGCAGTCTTCCATTCAAGTACTAACCAGACACAACCCTGCTTAGGACCTGATGAAATATGGTATCTTTAGGATATTTAGGAATGCCAATACAAAACCAAACCACAACTGTACACTCATTTAGAACAAAGTGGAATATTATGAACCACACATTTGATAAACACTGAGAAAATACCAGACATTAATGTGGTCTTCAGTTCTAAGACATTTTTTTCCTACATAAGCATCTCTAAAGATGGGGTGTGTCTTAGAATCGCAGGTGTAACTTATGTATTTCTGTTGTTGGTACTGAAATTAGGGTGTGTCTTATAATTGATGGTGTCTAACAATTGAAGAAAAACGTAATTTAAATAAAAATAAGTATTATTTGTAACTAGAATGGATTTAAAATGTGTACTCACTTTTCTTGTCAAAGAAAGTAGAATTGCATCCATGAAAATCCTAAAGCCTACATGTTCTCCGTGGGTCTTTATATAAACCTAAAATGATTAAAGGAATGACAGAATTAGATTTCACTTTCAAAGACATAGAGCATCTAAAGTAAATAATGTCTGGTTTCAGTTTGTGAAAAACTACAGAAAACAGTAACATGGGATTTATGACTGCCAATAATCCTGCTGTTGCTATTAATATATTTTTCCACCAGCATACTGAGCCAACACTAACAATTTATTGAGTACTAATTAGAACTATTTAGGAAGAATTTGTCACGTGGAACTGATGTGTTCCAAAGCTTTAGTAGAATCTACAAAAGGAAAAAAAACATCAGAAAAAAAAGAAAAAGAACAACCATCTTTCATAAAAATGTTGCTGATCCAGTTCCAAGGGGGTGAAGCCAATACTCAGCTGTCCTGGAGAGTTATTTTTGCAGGAATAGGGAACATCTTTGACCCTCTGGAAAAATGGCCAACTCTCAGAAACCCCAGTCAAAGTGGCCAACAGTAAGGGATTATGATGACCATAATCCAAAAGGTCTTGAGGACAATTGTAGCACCCTCATTATCTGCATGGGATACATCCTGGGCATACCACGGTTACAGTACCTGGACCCTTAGATACAATGAAACATCACTAAATTATCTGAATTTTGGTCTCAAGATATCACAGAGTTGAGATAGAAGACCTAGAGATATGTAGATATATGTAGAGAACCATCATCTCTAGAACTCCATACCATATACCATGAAATTGCCTGGAAGACTTTGCAAATTCACAGATACCATTTCCCCCTGGACATGGCTAAGTGAACCCAGAGATATGTTTTCATGATTATGGGGGTCTTACTGTATTAGACTTTCTTGGAAAGAAGCAGCCTTGTTGCACGTGGCATTTACTGCCATAAAACAGGCTGATGGAAGACATGCTATACTTTTAAGAGGGTTTATAGAGGGTTATAAAGATTGATAGGTCTATCAGAAACAATAAGAGAAGATATCTAAATTGAGCCTCCGGGTTTATTGTGAAATCCAGATATGGGGACAACAACATTGAATGCAATCATGGTTTCCATATCTTTCCCATGACCTTCTGTAGGAATCCTACTTGCTGCTCATTCAAATCTAGATGGGCTTCAGTTTGATCCAGCATTAAAGTCCATGTTTTTTTCTTGACTGTTTCTGATTACTTATTTTATTGACTGCATTTAATAATAATAATAATAATAATAATAATAATAATAATGGATCACAACTCACACAATCCTATGATTGGCTATATTGGCAAAGGCTGCTAGAAGTTGCAGTCAGAGGGCCTCTGTTGCTCATCCCTAATTTAATAGATACATACCCCTGTGTCTCTCTTAAGGCCCCATCTACATTGCCATATAATGCAGTTCAATGAAGTTAAACTGAATTATGAAATTCAGTTCAATGTAGTTAAACTGCATTATATGACAGTGTAAATGGGGCCTAATGTTGCATCTATACTGTAGTATTCATTCAGTTTTATACTATTTAACTGCCATGCCTCAAAGCTATGGAATCCTGCAAATTGTAGCTTGGTGAGACACCAGCACTCTTTGGAAGATAAATACCTTTAAAACGACAACTTCCATGATTTCATTGCATTATGGGAGATAAGGTGGTGTCAAACTGCTTTAATTCTACAGTGTGGGTGCACCCTTAGAATGGTACTCATGGTGACTAAGAATAATAAATTTCAAATAAAGCAAATGCAACTTAAACATAGATGAAATTAAAACATACCAATTAAAGTGCTTTCCAGAGCAGCCCTACCTGAATGAAAAGGCTTTGCTTCAAGCAGGACAGAAGGCATGAGCCTACTTTAGCCTCTTTATAAAATGATCAGGAAAGAAAATGGCTCTGCTGAGATTTGTTCTAATATTCCTAGCCTTCTGCCTCTCTCCCTGTATTCTGAACTCTTATCTGCTTGCCAGGTAGTTACATACTATTAGCCATCTTCTTGCAGGTTTGATCCTAGAAGAGCTGAAAGGCAAGTATCTGACAATACAGTGTTCCCTTGCTACTTTGTGGTTCGCTTTTCACGGAATTGCTACTTCATGGTTTTTTTAAAATATGAATTTATATAGTGAGGAAATACTGTGCAGAAAGGCCCCGCCTCCTCCTCCTCACCCTCTTTACCTTCCAGAAGCGGCAAAGGAGGCACCCCGTCGCCGCCTGGGCCCCTTGTCACCACTTGGATCCCGCGATGAGGGCGAGGAGGGAAGAGCCTCCCCCTCACCCTCTTTACCTTCCTCTTCCTCCTCCCTCCCATGACGCCTCTGCCGCCTCTGCCCAGGCGACGATGAGGAGGAGAAAGAGGAAGGCAAAAAGGGCGAGGAGGGATGAAGAGCTGCCCCTCACCCTCTTCACCTTCCTCCTCCTCATCGCTGCTTGGGCCCCATGACACATCTGCCGCCTCCTCAACTGCGGCTGCTGCTGCTCCCAAAGGTAAAGAGGGCAAGGAGGGAAGGGGAGGGGGCATCCCTATTTTGCAGAATTTCACTTATTGCGGGTGGTCCTGAAACATAACACCCGCTATAAATGAGGGACCACTGTACTACAACGCTTCATTCACTGCAGATCACACACTAGTGTGTTATCATAGAACTTTTATCAACCAGTGTACCTTATTGTCTTTTATAGTGTAATGGCACAAGCTCTGCCTCTGGCCAAACCGTTGTGAAATTTCTTTGGCAATTTTATCAGGATCGACAGTAGGAAAATGTGCCAGATCTCTCTGAATTTGGGGAATAGACTGAGGGCAGCTCATTTCCTCCAGCCAAGCATTTCCATCTTCCTGAGGGCAATCACAGTTCTCATGGTAGACAGGCCCTGTACACAATAAAGGTGGTATAAAATGTGGATTACTAGTTATATGCCACATATAATTGAGGCCTAATTCAAGAATTAGTTCCAGTTAGTTTGAAGAATTCTGATATATTCTGAAGAAAACTGACTTCATAATGTCATACGTAAGCACAAAAATACAATTTTGTTCCCTTTTGTTTCACAAACTGTAGTATACTTCTTCTCCACCTGAGCATTCTTGCATAGCCCTTGTGGTCTTTTCCAACTCTATGATTCTATGTTAAGTAAAATGGGAATTAATTACATAAAAATAGGAGTGGGGAAGGAGAGAGTGGGAGACAAAGAAGGCGATCCTGCTCTTGCAAAACTGTGAGACATCAGATGCTGAGCAAGACTTGTTAGGATCCACTGGCATCTAGCATATATCTATGTTCTAAGTAGTCAAAATGGGTAAGATCTAGGATCCAAGGCTTGGCTATTTTTGATGTTGGAATTTAACGTGTTTATGTCTGAATTATATTTTGATGTTGGAATTTAACGTGTTTATGTCTGAATTATATTTTTTTGTGTTCTGATAAGCTGGTCAATAAGGTGGATAGAGCAAATAGTAGCATAAGAACAGAGCAATTATAAATGTCCTTAGATTGAAGAATTTGACAACATTCCAAGAGGCGAATCATTTGAATAAAATTAATCATACTTTATACTGACATCATTATTTTATCTAGCTGATATGAGAAAATAATATACATTATTTGTCCTGTTGGTGTAAGAAGCCAACTGTCTATTACGGAAGAAAGTAACATACTGATACACTTCTCTGTAAAAGAACAAGATTGGAATGAAAAGAGGCTTAGAAAATACAATAGTTACAAGGTGTTGTCAAAGGCTTTCATGGCCAGAATCTCTGGGTTGCTGTGAGTTTTCCTGGCTGTATGGCCACGTTCCAGAAGCATTCACACCTGATCTTTCACCCACATCTAGGCAGGCATCCTCAGAAGTTGCGAGACCTCATAACCTCTGAGAATGCCTGCCATAGTTGGAGGTGAAACATCAGGAGAAAATGCTTCTGGAACATGACCATACAGTCTGGAAAACTCACAGTAACCCTATAGTTACAATATCTGCAAGGGATACATTCTAAGATATCACAGGGATATGCAAAATCATGGGTACTATTGAACCTTGTTGAATGAATGACTTCCAGAAGAAGTGTACAACATGAAATGCTTTGGCTCTCAGATGGGTGTAGCACTTTTCAAAGTTTTTATTACTTTTTTTCATTCAGGTTACAACTTGACAGAACTGTTATTGTTACACTCAAAATGATACACATCTGTTTTCTCTTTTAATTCCTAGAATCATGGGTTGGCATTTTTTTGCAACATACTAGACTTGTTTATTAGAGCAATTGTCTGCCCCAACTTCAGCCCAGTATTGGACTGCACACTATTGCCAACTTTGTGTTATAAACTATACAGTGTCAGTGTAACATAATCATACAGTGCCATTTATACCTTTTAATATATATGGAGATTTGGCAATATGCTTGTTTTTTGTTTGAACCTCAATCTTCAGACTTTGGTAGGTTGCATACATTCTGTACCTCACAATGAAGGAGCCATCTTTCCTGTCTAATATTTGCATGCCCACTCGTGTAAATTGCTCCTCAGGAGCTGTGATCCTCACTTGGAAGGCATGTTCACCTGGAGAGACAGTAAACCTATGTAGGAAAGACACAATTACAAAATGAAAACAAATTACTCTTCTCATGACTATGATTACAGGCTTAGGATAGAAAACTTATGAACAAATTTGGAGGTTTTTGAAGTCTACAGTTGAATGAAATCAACTCACAGCTAGACTACTTCATACTGCTTCCAAGATATGTGTCAGTAGTTTTCAAACATTACTTGACAACCACTGAAAGTTTGGTTGTCAAGTAATCTCTTCCTCCCGCAGACCTTGAGACCTACATCTTAAGATCTGCTAGAATCACTCACACCACAGCAATTCAGATTTCTATGTAAGGTTGTGAAAGTTGGATGGTAAACAAAGCTGATAGGAAGACAATTAACTCATCTGAGGGCCCTTTCAGACTTTGGACTGTAGCCATAAAAGGACAAGAATGACAATTATTTTCCCCCAAAAGCCCCAGCCTGCCCAAAGCATCATAAAATTCAAGATAGATTTTTTAGAGTTGCAAAACATTATCTAAAGTCACAAAATAGCTTTTTAAAAAAACAATCATAATCCTAAACTTCTATCTTGTCGATATTATTTGGATTCAGAAATACATATAGAAAGCATGTACTGTGAATACTAAGGAAAGTGTAGCAATGGCACAGTGAAATGATCTTCATAAACAGATCTGTTCAGGATGGGCACACTCAAATTCCTTCTCTGAAGGGATCATATGGGTAAAAGGGGGTGTATTGCCCTATTTCCAGCCCTTTGGAGCAGGCTCAGGCAAGGGTGGCCCTACTTATGTTGTTGGACTTCAGCTCCCATTAATAGCATTTGGAACTGCTTTATAAGGTGTGTGTAGACCAGTGATTAAACCATCAGGTCTTCAGGCTCTTACAAAAGGAGGGGAGGGATAGGGCCTGTCTTATTTCTCCAGGAAGGGCATTCCAGAGGCAGGGGGCCACCACCGAGAAGCCCTCTCTCTCGTCCCCACCAACTGTGCTTGTGACGGTGGTGGGAACGAAAGGAGGGCCTCCCCAGAAGATCTTAAAGTTCGCGCCGGTTCATAGATGGAGATGCGATCACGAAGATAGGCAGGGCCCAAACCATTTAGGGCTTTATAGGTCATAACCTGCACCTTGAATTTGGCTCGGCAACTTAGCAGCAGCCAGTGAAGCTGTTTTAAAAGAGGTGTTGTATGCTCCCTATAGTTTGCTCCAGCAAGGAGACTGGCTGTCGCCTGTTGTACCAGTTGGAACTTCCGGGCCGTCTTCAAGGGCAGCCCCACATAGAGCACATTGCAATAGTCCAATCTGGATGTAACCAAGGCGTGGACCACGCTGGCCAAGTCAGACTCCATGAGGTCACAGCTGGTGCACAAGTTTAAGTTGTGCAAAGGCCCTCCCGGCCACTGCTGACACCTGAGCATCAAGTGACAGCATTGAGTCCAGGAGGACCCCCAAGCTACCGACCTGCGCCCTCAGGGTGAGTGTAATCCTGCTGAGCACAGGTTGCCACCCAATACCCCGGTCAGCCCCATGACTGACCAGGAGGACCTCTGTCTTGTCTGGATTAAGCTTCAACCTGTTAGCCCTCATCCAGTCCATCACAGCAGTCAGATATTGGTTCAGGGAGCACTGTGGACTCAAACCATGATGGATCTGGACCAAACTTGGCACAAATACTCAATATGTCCAAATGTGAACACTGGTGGAGTTTGGGGAAATAGACCTTGATATTTGAGAGTTGTAGATGCTGGGATTTATAGTTCATCTACAATCAAAGAGCATTCTGAACCTCACCAACAATAGAATTGGGCCAAACTTCCCATACAGAACCCCCATGACCAAGAGAAAATACTGTTTTCTGATGGTCTATGGTGATCCCTCTGACACCCTCTTGTGACCCCCTGGGGTCCGGACCCCCAGGTTAAGAAACACTGGTGTAGACTCATATAATGCAGTAGTTCAATGTAGTTAAAAAACAGCATTATCACACTAGAGAAAAAAATCCACTTAAAAGTGCTGCCTCCTGCAGAATTCTGGGGTTGGTGGTTTAGTGAGGCTGCTAAAAGCTCCTCCCTAAACTACAAACCCCAGAATTCTGCAGGAGGCAGAAACCGGATTTTAAGTGGATTTTTTCTCTAGTGTGATGAGGCTGCCTTCACCATATAATGTAGTTCCAAACTGCACGATACAGCACTGTAGATCCAGCCAGTGTTGTATAGTGGTTTGAATGTAGGACTTCAAATATGGTTTGAATCCCTCCTCTGCCATTGATTAAATCTTGCTCAGCCAAGAAAATCCAGAGTGATCTTGGGCAAGTGACTTTCTCCCAGCCTAAGCAACCCCCCTTTGAAGGAATCTTGCCAAGAGAACTCCATAACTCAGAAGAAAAACTTGAAGGCACCCAACACCACATCTGAGACACAAGGGTTGTGCTTACCTGTTTCCTTCCGTGTCTACAGCCTGGACATAAAAATATCGCGCAGGAAGGACCACCTCTGCTCTCAGGCCTGGTCCCCATATTAAACTCTTCTCTGGGCTGAGCTGGCTTCCACCAGCTGACTCGCAGATCGCCAGAAGAAGGGTCCCCAAAGGCAAGCAGCAAATCAGCCAAAGGCTACACATTTACAGGGCTTCCTCTGAAGAAACAAGGCAGGACAAAAGCCGAAGGAGAGGCAAGCAGGAGGGAGGGACAAGGCCAACGTTTGGGTCCTCCAGAGGCGGAATGCTCAGCCCTCCTCTCCAGGTTCCAATCAGAGCTGTTCAGTTACACATCTTTTGCCTCCTCTCCAGATGCAAACTCTAGTCCTTTACAGCCCTTCTGCATAAACTACAAAGGAGAAGTAGTTTGGCTCTGGACAATTCATGAGGGAAGGGAGGAACTATGTGAAAAAGGGACCCCAAAGCACCCGATCCTTCTCAGAGCCTTTGTCTTGCACTTCCAGCCCTTCTTATGCTTTCACTCCCTCTTCAATCGCAGAGGGGTGGAGAGAAGGAAAGGGGATGGGATCATTGGTCCAGCAAAGCTTCTTCCGAAGGAAAACAAATCACATGGGAGTCCCTTCCCAGGCCCACGAGTAATGCTGGGAAATGTAGTTCAGAGAGATCTTGGAAGCTATCTGTTTTGCTTAACTTGAGACGTGGATCTATTTATATTCCCTTCTTTAAACTTTTGAAATAAAAGTTATTTTTGCACCAGCTCTGCCAGAATCCTACCCAGCATGTATTCTCAGAACTGTAGCACAAAAGTAACTTATGCTTTCCTCAGGAATAATGACACCTTGTATCAGAGCTCTTTGCGTTTGCTGTGAGTTTTCTGGGAAGTATGGCCATATTCCAGAAGCATTCTCTCCTGACGTTTTGCCCACATCTACGGCAGGCATCCTCAGAGGTCTGTTGGAAACTAAGGGATATTTATATAGTTGTGGAAGGTCCAGGGTGGTAGAAAGAACTCATGTCTAATTGAGGCAAGCGTGAATGTTGCAAATGGCCACCTTGATTAGCATTTAATGGCCTTGTGGCTTCAGAGCCTGGTTGGTTGCTGCCTGGGGAATTCTTTGTTGGGAGGTGTTACTTGGCCCTGATTGATTCTTGTCTGGAATTCCCCAGCTTTTTTTTTTTTTAGTGTTGCTCTTTATTTACTGTCCCAATTTTAGAGGTTTTTTAAAACTTGTAGCCAGATTTTCTTAATTTCATGGCTTCCTCCTATCTGTTGAAATTGTCCACATGCTTGTGGATTTCAATGGCTTCCCTATGTAGTCTGACATGGTAGTTGTTAGAGAGGTCCAGCATTTCTGTGTTCTCAAATAATGTACTGTCAGTGGTTCCCTTGATGTATGGTAAGAACACTTTTCTCCTGGGTGGATCTTTGTCTTTACTCTCACATCATAGGGGAAGCTGATGAAGAAACACAACATACAAGCTATCTACAGACCTACTTAGAAAATCCAACAAATGCTACATTCAGCAAGGGACAAAAGGGATCTTCTCACCTCTTCAGGAGTCTACCATATACTATGTAGCTGTGGACAAGTCTACATAGGGACCACCAAATGCAGCATTGCCCAAACACAAATCAAGGAACATGAAAGGCACTGCAGACTAATTCAACCAGAGAAGTCAGCCATAGCAGAGCACCTGTTGAACCAACCCAGACACAGCATATTATTTGAGAACACAGAAATGCTGGACAGCTCTAGTAACTACCGTGTCAGACTACATAGAGAAGCCATTGAAACCCACAAGCATGTGGACAATTTCAACAGAAAGGAGGAAACCATGAAAATGAACAAAATCTGGCTACCAGTGTTAAAAAAAGCCTTCTAAAATCAGGACAGCAAATAAAGAGCAACACTCAGAAAGCAGGGGAATTCCAGACATGAACCAATCAGGGCTAGCTAACAATTTTTAGGATGCCACAATGTTTATTCAGAAATCTAAACATTATTTCAGTACTAATGGGAATTACTCTATTCATGTCCTCTATTTTTAAAGCCTTTTCCTTTTCTCACAAAACACCCTATTTTGAACTTGATTCCATATATTCAGAGGCAGTCTTTTTCATATAGTACTTGCTTCACATTATGCATATCAGGTTATAGCACCTTTGGCTGCAACTAAGCAGTTTTCCTTGTTCAAATTAATTATTCCATAAAGCCCCTAAAACAGATCCTGATGGCCAAATTACAAGAAGGACTATAAATATTTTAAATAAACATGTGTGATAGATGCCATCTCTTTTTCTTAATGTGCTTCTAGATTAGTTCTCCAGTGTTTCAAACATGGGGTGGGTGGGTAGGGTGGTGTGTGCATCAGGAACTCCACAGTTATTCAACCTTTTCTTCTTTAATGGACTTTTCATGTATGAAAAACACAGAAGCAATTATAATAGATGAGGAAAGCTATGAGTGAAGGATGTCATGATCTCTGAGGAAGTTTCAAGACTGGGCTTCTACAGGTCACAGTGCAAAGATATTCTTTGTGCAGTTCTTCAACCTTCAAAAATGTGCCTTCCCGGCTCATTAAAAAAGCAAGAGAAGAGCTGAACAAGTGGGTCAGTGGAGTGGCCAGGACCTCTTTATGAGGCAATCCCCCAAAATGCTTAAAGGAGGAAGCTGTGACATCTCAGTTGAAAAATCCCCCACTTGCCTTATTAGATACTGTATGTACTGTAAGGCAACCTCATGTATAAGTGGGGGGCAGATTTTGGGGGGCAAATTATGGATTTTATATGACCTGTGGATATGTAATTGATGGTCATTCTACTAGGAAGGGAAACCATCAATGCCGCCTGAGGGAGGCAGCTGCCCCTGGACACTGCTGCCATTTCCCCACCCAGATATTTTAAAAAGCCAGAAGTAGTGCCATAGAGGGGGTCAGGACTTCTTTTAGGTACTTCCAGAACAGACAAAGCTCTTTTCTTTTGCCACTGTACTCGGACAAGAAGATACCTGTATTTATTCGAGTCTAATGCACCATCAAATCTAATGCACACCTCAATTTTCAAAACCTGAAATTAAAAAAAGTATTTGCTAGTAAGTGTCATGTACAGCGGCAAAAGTCCACTCTTTGTAATTTGGCCAAAAGCTTGTGTTACAGTGGCTGCATGCTTATAATTCCCTCTTTAAAAACTAAAGTGTTTTAGTTCCAAAGTTTTCAGCAATGGGAAAGAAAACCTTAGGGTGCATCTATGCTGTAGAATGAATCCACTTGAACTGTCCTGCCTCAATGCTATGGGGTATTGAGAGCTGTAGTTTGGGATCCCGTAGGCTGCCAAAAAATGCTGATCTTTTACCAAACTGCAAATCCCAGCATTACATAGTATTGAGCCATGGCAGTTAAACTAGAGGTGAGGTCCCTCCATAGGTGCTCCTGAAGCGGTTTCCCCTTTTGTTTTGGCTCAGCACTAAGATTAACACATTATGTGAATCTACTGTGCACCCTAATTTTGGGAAAGTAATTTAGTAAAAAAATTAGATTTGAATAAATACAATAGTTCCCTTTTTTTTATAAGAGTTAAGGTGTAGTACTCACAATGACTTGTGGATACATCAACCCAGTTTTTGAGTTGATCTTTTTTACTTTAATTTTTTAAAATTTGGGTCAAACAAGTATAACATAACCACATTTCCTCATGAGGAAGTTTGGAAGATAACATAGGCAATGTATACAATATATATATTAATAATTTAACAAAAAGAATAAAAACTTCATATGTAATCCCCTCATCCCTGCTTGTATCCAACCCCTTTTCCACTATTTACCCCCTCCTCCCTTTGGGAATAGTTGTATATTTTCTTTATCATTCATTCTGTTTGTTGGATCGTAAAGATAGTCTGGTTCAATTCCTCATATTTTCCATTGCTGTTTAACTTGGCTATGAGTTCTTCCCATTTTCCTTCCCATTTCCCCTTGGGTATATTTCCCATTGGTATATTTATTTTTCCTATCCATGATGTAATTTTGAAGAATATAGTCTGCCAATTTTTAACTTGATTAATATTTCTAGATTTATCTATCTGTCTAGGTAATTTTATACAAATTTGTGATGATATTGTGCATGGAACCAAATTTGTGTCCAGCAAACCATCAGAAAGCAAAGATGTCACAATCTCAGATCGTCATGTGGAGTGGATCTACATTGTATAATAAATGCAGTTTGACACCACCTGAACTGCCATGGCTCAGTGCCATGGCAAAATGGGAGTTGTCGTTTGGTGAGGCCCCAGCACTCTTTGGCAGAGAAGGCTCAAGACTTTGTGAAGTTGCAGCTTCCATGATTCCACAGCATTGAGCCATGGCAGTTCAAGTGGCCTCAAATTATATCAATTCTACTGCTGTGCATGGACAAAACGGGAAGTTCTGAGTAAGGGGTGCTCCAGCTACATTTTATTAATTTATTTTATTTATTTACTGTACAGTAACTCAAGCGACTCAAGACGGTCAGTACACATAATATCAGAATACAAATTAAAACATAAAAAATAATATAAAACCACAACAACACAATAACATGTTATTCCCTGGCTTCTGGAAAGCAGCCAATGGCGTTGCCCCCTTCCCGTGCGGCCAGCAAGGTAAAGTCATGCCCCAATCAGATCCCGATTTAGAGGAAATCTCGGAGCAGATTGGAGGAGGCGGCGCCCGCCGGAGAGGGGGGCGGGGCCTTCCGCGCGTGCGCAGGGGATCTTCTTCAGAGCGGCGCGAGCGCTCTTCCCCTTCTCCTCCGGGCTGTGGCGCGCGCGCGAGAGAAGAGGTCCTGGCGGCGCGGGCGTCGCTTCTGCTGCTGGTGGAATTCATTTCCAGGCAGGAGAAGGACGGAGAGGGTTGGGAAGGGCTCTGGTAGGCCTCTTCTTTGCTCCCTCCCCGGAAGTGCTTCTCCCAGGTAAGCTCGGTTGCCTCCCCTTTGGGTGTTCGAGGGGAGTGGAAGAAAGGAAACCGGTCCGGCTGTTTCTGGAGCTTAAAAGCCAAAGCAAGCAAAGCCCCTCGTGCTTGTGGTCTGCACAGTAAGTGACCAGATGGGATGCCAGCCACCATGCGCTAAGAAAAAGGGTTCAGCAGGTGAATGGAGGAAGCGAGGACACTTGGGGGGGTCTCTGACCCTCCTTCCTCTTATTTATGTGCTCTGCTGACTTAGGGTTTCATCTACACAGTAGAATGAATGCACTTTTTGAAGTGCCCAGGCCCAGTGCTATGGAGCCCTGTGAGTTGTGGGTTGATGAGATACCTCAGCTTTTTGACAGAGAAGGCAAAAGACCTTGTAATACTACAACTCCCATGAATCCACAGCCTTGAGACATAGCAATTACAGTGGTGTCGGACTGCATTAATTCTACAGTGTAGGCACACCCCTAAATTTTGCCATTTTGTATTGGAACGCATTTTATTGTGCCCTGCTATATAAAGGGATTTGAACATCTATGAATTTGGATATCCATTTGTTCTGTCATTATAGTTATGTTTCTTATGATAGTTCAAATAGCCTGATGCTATCATAAACTTGCATTTACAGCCCAATGAAGGTCAGAGCAGATATCTGCACTACAGGACTGTTGTAAGTTTTTCGGGCTTTATGGCCATGTTTCAGAAGCATTCTCTTCTGATGGTTGTGATCAGGATGCCTGCCATAGATGCTGGCGAAAGGTCAGGAGAGAATGCTTCTGGAACATGGCCATAAAGCCCGAAAAACTTACAGCAACCCAGTGATTCCAGCCATGAAAGCTTTCGACAATACATCTTCACTACAGTTTTACTGGCAATGTTATATACACCTCCTAATAAAGGATTCCCCAGGCAGGAATCAGCCAGGCCTTGAAACTGCAAGGATTTGGAGTGCTAATTGCAACATTCACACTTGCCTCCACTTTCTCTCACTCTGGACCTTCCACAGATCAATAAACCTCACTTGCTTAGTTTCTACCAGACCTTACAACCTCTGAGGATGCCTGCCATAGGTGTGGGCGAAACGTCAGGAGAGAATGCTTCTAGAACATGGGCATACAGCCTGGAAAACTCACAGCAACCCAATGTTATACACATCCCAAACAGTAACTCAATCAGCAATGGAAAGAAGGATGTGTGACATGACAATAAGAGATAAAGTCCGCAATAAAGAGCTGTGTCAAAGAACCGGGGTATGTGACATGGTCAGTGAAATCTATGAGGCAAAAAGAAGATGGGCCGGGCATATAGCACAAATGAAAGATGATTGATGGACATGTCGACTAATGAACTGAATACCAAAAGACCACAAACGACCCTTGGGCAGACCTCGTATTCAATGGTTAAGCTATTCGGCCATAAATGGAAAATAAAAGAACAGGATCGTATATTTTGGCAAGTGGTAGATATGTGTGAAGCCCAAGGGAGTGGATTGATGTCAAATCAGATAGGTTAGGCTATCTCCTGTATCTATATAGAAATATATGCTATTTCTTTACTTTGTTTACTGAGCCTAACCTCCCATCTTGGGTGCATCTACTCTGTAGAATGAATGCAGTTCAACACCAGATAACTCAGTGCTATGGAATCATGGGAGTTGTGGTTTTGCAAGTCTTTTCTGCCTGAGAGTGTTGTTGCCGCACCAAACTACAACTCTCTTAATTCCATCACATTGAGCAATGCCAGTTAGAGTGGTCTCAAACTGCATTCATTCTACAGATGCACCCTTTGTTTCCATTGAGTTCTGGATGGTGTACTTGACTCTGTCTCCTCTCTCCCAGGTAAGATAGTGCTAATACTGTCCAAAGCTCCCTCGCACTGAATTTCCTAGACCAATAGAGAATTGAATCCTTGTTCAAGTACTATATACTAGGTTCCATATGGAGCTCCCAGTTTTAGTGGCATTGCACCTGTAAAGACAGGAGACAATATGATAATCAAACCAGATTATCTTCATTGGCTGCTTGTGTGGGCAGCTTGTGCTTAAACACTGACTTCATGGTCCTAGGTGACAAATGAGCACATTCACAGCAGAAGTCAAAGATTCTTGTTAGCTTTGTTTTCTGGAGTGGCAGCTGTGGTTGAGAGTCTTCCACTGTTTTACAGTAGGCTTTTTAAAAAAGGGAGATGCTAATAATGGCTAAGGGCTGGATGTCTCTCCATGTGAGCAAAGGAGATTTCTCTAACAGTGAGTGCCTTTCTGTTGTTCCAGATATTTCACAGGTTGAATTATGCATCATTAAAGCAAGTTGGTTCAGATCCCTAAATGTATATATGTTTTATTTATTTCTTCCAAGTATTTATATATCACTCTTCAGCCACAAGGGCGCTCAAGTACGCTGTTCTTCAGTAACGGTGTTTTTCTTCTATTCTAAGGGACCATCGACTCTGTGCTACCAACAGAAAAAAAGTTTTATTTAAATACATAAAAAGCACCCGCAATTCTAAGACATACTCTATTTTTAGAGATGTTTATATACAGGATAACACTGTGCCTTAGAAATGAAGTACAATATACCATATTTCATCAGATATTAGTTGTGCTCCCCCTTTCTTGGGTGTCAAATTGGTATCATCATGTTCCTAACACCTCCTATTTTGCCATTTAGAAAAGGGGAGAAAGTGTGATTAGGTAAAGGTTTCCTCAGACATTAAGTCTTGTTGTGTCCGACGCTGGGGGGTGGGGGTGGTGCTCATTTCTAAGCCAAAGCGTCGGCGTTGTCCGTTGACGCCTCCAAGGTCATGTGGCCAGCATGATCGCATGGAGTGTCGTTACCTTCCCGCCAAAATAGTACCTATTGATCAAATCACACGTGCATGTTTTTCAACTGCTAGGTTGGCAGAAGCTGGGCCTAAGTGAGATCTCACTTCGCTCCCCGGATTCGAACTGCCAGCCTTTCAGTCAGTAAGTTCAGCAGCTCAGAGGTTTAACCCACTGCGCCATCAGGGGGGCCTCAAGTGTGACTAATATGTGGTGAAATACAGTATGTTTAGAAATGTCTTGACATATCATGTAAATGTTCTCACAAGGCAGAGCATTAGTTTTTATGTATAAGCATGGGATACTTAGACATGGGTGTACAATTGCTATTGTAAACAAGTCATGTATCTTCCTTCAGTAACTAACATTACGCATATCCACTGAAAGCATCTTTTTTATTATTATTGCAGGTATTTCAAAACAGTGCTATAACTCTGGAAGAAGTGATGTAGACAGCGTTTTCAGTTCAGAGGGAGGCATATGATCTTGAAACAGATTTGTTCATTCAATGCCTAACGTTGCAGACTCTCAACTAGAGAGTGCTCCTGGAGAAAATGGACCTGAAACCAAGGCTTCAGAAGTTAATCTTCATGAGACTGTAAAGCAGTTTTGTGCGGCAGGTGCCTCTGTTTCCTCTCTGGGACCCAGAGGGGACAGGCATTACCCATGGAGCTGTCCTGTGACTCACACCCGAGAAAAGTTTTACACTGTCTGCTCAGACTATGCTTTCTTAAACCAGGTGACATCCATTCGCAAAAGCCCAAGTGCTACAGTTAGTGCCTGCTTACAAGACAATACTGCCTTAAGTGCTGGGAACAATTCTGGTTTCATTGGTGTTCGAACTGGCACATCAGACATAGTTTACAATGAAGATGCTAACTTGGAAAGTCTGGCCAGTAGCCTGGGAAAACTCCCACTGGCATGGGAAATTGATAAGTCTGAATTCAGTGATTCATCCCCCGATCTGAAGAATCAAGCAGGTACAGTGAAAATTCTGGGTTAAACATTTAGATGGTCAATGTTTTGCTTTTATAAGTGAAAAACTATTCCAGAAAACATTTTGTCTCCTTTCAGTGGATTCATACATTATTTTTGTTGCAGCAAATATAACAGAATTACCTATTTGTAGTATATTATAAAGAACATCTGTGGTTTCATTTATTCATGTTTGACAAACTGTCCTTTCTAGGCATTTTCTAGTTTCTCCAGTATATAGTATTATTCAGCCAAAAGGTATTCATTTAATAGCGTTCTTTATTATGCATAGTTTTGCATAATCTACACAAAGTCCTGGAACATATCACAATGGATATGGGGGTCTTACTATAATTCTATTTCTACAAACACATTAAAAATAAGATAGACACCACTACTGATTCTAAATCTAAATGAAAGTAGAAATAATAAGTAGTATAAAGTCCTAAATGGTACCGGTCTGTCCAAACGTATCTCCCTCTATGAACCATCTTGGAGGTTAAGATCTTCTGGGGAAGCCCTGCTCTCGGTCCCACATCCTTCGCAGGTGCGGTTGGTGGAGACGAGAGACAGGGCTTTCTCAGTGGTGGCCTCTCAGTCGTGAAAATCTTCCCCTAATGAAATCAAATCAGCCCCCTCCCTCCTGACTTTCAGAAAAAAAGCTAAAAACGTGGGACCAAGCTTTCGGATAGGAATCTCTCAGTGCAATACGTGTGGAATAGTGCAATGACAATTGGAATGGCCTCTGACTATGGTATTGGATTATGTGATTTTAATAATTGATACGTTTTTTGTGGTTGGCTTTAATGTATTTGTTTATTTTGTCTGATGTATAATTATCTGGCATTGAATTGTGTCTTATACGCAAACCCGCCATGAGTTCCCTTGTATGTTCAGGTCCATATTTACACCTGATAACAAAGTAGGGGACCTTCTGTATATTCAATGAACACATATAAATACACTTATATATACTTGGAATGCATCCACATAGTAGAAGTAATGTATTTTGACACCATTGTAGCTGCCATGCTGTGGAATCCGGGAGTTACAGATTGATGAGGCACCTGAACCCTTTGGCAGAGAGGGCAAAAGACTTTCTAAAACTACAGCTCCTATTATTCCATAGAATTGAGCCCTGGCAGATAAAATGGTGTCAAAATGGATTAATTCTACAATGTAGATGCACATTTGGATTTTGTTTTATCTAAGTAATGAAGACTAAGGAGTTAAGCCGAGGGCATCACAGAATGAACACATTTTAAAGAGGGATTTGAAAGGAGACAGAAATGGCCTAGTGTGAGGTAAAGTTACTGTCATTTAGCATGAGTGCCTGGAGCTTTCTATTTTAGAGAGCAAAAATGTTTTCAGAACTTGCTAGGTATTACTCATGCCAATTGTACATGGTAGACTTCTCATGGACACAGCCAAGATAACTCTGTTTTATTGTTTCCTTTCCCTCCAGCGCCAGATTTTTTTCCTGTATTTTACAAAGTACTATTTGATTGTTCTATTGAAGTTCCATTCATGTGTATTTTGCAAATGGTGTGTTTTGAACCATACAAAATGTGAACTTGAGGCACAATGTATCACTTAATGTAGATGTGTGTTAGACTTTCTTTTGAAGAAATGCAATAGTATTTACTGTATAATTTTGCATGTAAATCAAAGGGAACAAAGATTCATACTCTTACTGTTTGTTTTGTCTTGGAAGGAAGTCCAGATTGTGGACAGATTTGATTATGGCATTGAGCTTAAATTAAGACAGCAATACAAAAACATTTGTGAGGTTTTGGAGTGTGATATAATTAGTACAGGGCAGCATATCTGTATTTTTGAAACACAATTTCCTTATTATGTCATAATTTTTTAGAACCACTTCATTGGAAATGCCATTCTCTATAAAAACTCCCCATTTAATAAGTTGTGCTGGATATTCAGAATGTTTTTACTTGAACCTATTTTACAGGTCACATGAAGAAGCAAGGAAGCAAGAAAATGTCTGCAGATAAAAAGAGTAAACAATTCAGAGAATATCCACAACATTATGCCCTTGAAGATGTTAAACAACGCAAAGTGTTAGACCTCCGGAGATGGTAGTGTTCAATGCTATTAACCATTTTGAATGTCAAAAGCTGAATATTTTTAATGCCTTTTTGAAAAGTTCAACCTGAATGGCATACTGTAACAGAATATTACTCAGATGGTAGGAGATGCATCATAACTGTATTACAGTTTTGTGTGTATGTGTTCAAACTTCATTCATAAATGAGTATCCTCTTGCTCCAAATAGTAACTCCAAATAATAAGAAAAATCAAACCTCCAAAACCTTGAGTGTTCAGAATGGATACTTCTCTTTCTCTAGAGATTGTGTCCACTCTCTCATATAAGATAATAGATTGTGCTAGAGAGTGTTACCTTTCTGTAGCATGGCAGCATGTTGTGAGATCCAGCTTCCTTCCTCTTAAAGGAACAATGAATTTTGTGAGTGCTGCTCTGGGTCCCCCAAAGGGAGAATCACATATTTGGCATAGTGTTCTAAGTTGAATTATCCTTTTCTTTTAATTTCCCATTATTTAGCTACATGGTTTATTGAGACAGAGTTTAATAATGTATACAGTTAACTCTCCACGTTCACTGGAGAAAAAAAATGTAAACAAAGACATTGATCTTTTCTTTTTTTTCTTTTTTGCCTGAAAACACCTCTCTAAGAATTTCTACATCTTTTGGCGTAACTGTATCGTCAACTTCCACTGGGTGCTGAACTCAAAATCATATTAGAGCAGTGGTTCTCAACCTGTGTGTCCCCAGGTGTTTTGGCCTACAACTCCCAGAAATCCCACCCGTTATAATTTCTGGGAGTTGAAGGCTAAAACAGCTGGGTACCCCCAGGTTGAGAACCACTGCATTGGAGAGCCTAGAGATTCCTACAGCGGTATTCTCTCTAGGAATATTTAGGTTCTTCAGCATGACCGGAGAAAGTTGACCATAGAGTTACACTGAGATTCCTAGAGAGAACATTTTTAATCAAGTCTGCAAAAGTCAAAACCACAAGCATGTTGGGACAACAGTAAAGTGTAAGCCTCTGTAATCCTACATCATCTTAAAAATATAGAATGAATGAAAGAAATAAAACTGTGTTGAAACAACTAATATTTTTCAGGGATTTGCTAACTCGCTTTATATGTTCCAGAAAACTCTACCATATTTACCAAGAAGGAACTGATGTTTGTTCTGTTTTGGTATATTGCTCTCCCACTGGTCACTAACATGGTGTGAGTTTGTGAGTGAGAGTGTCTTGGAAGAAACATCTGTTGTGACATAATGCCATAATTAAATGCTATTTTAAAAAATTGTGAATAGTATTAGCAAAATAAGATGTTCTGAAGATCTAGAGATGAGTATTTCTGAAACTTAAAAAACTATGTACATCATAGCAAATGAAAAGTTGACATGTAATAATTTATCTTTTTTTTAAGGTACTGTATAAGTCGGCCACAGTATAAGACTTCCTGTGGGATTTCTTCTTTAGTTTCTTGCTGGAATTTCCTATATAGCACAATGGGAACTGGAAAGTAAGTCACAGTACATGGTGTATTTAAATACATTCATTTGGTTGTATGTCCTGTTAAGATTCACTGGACTTATTCTCGTAACTATGCTTAATATATGCCTGGATGCTTTTTTAAAAATTAATTTTTCATCTATTAAAAACCAGTTTACCACCTATTACCCAAGAAGAGGCATTGCACATATTGGGCTTTCAACCTCCATTTGAAGAAATTCGATTTGGTCCCTTTACTGGAAATACTACATTAATGAGGTAAAAAGGTTATTTTGAAGTATCTCATGCTCTTCCATAGGCTTAAATGTACACATTGAGTTGCTTCTTTAAAATGCTATCTATATAATAATAGTAATAATAATAAGAATAATAATAATTTATAGGCCACCCTATCTCCCCAGTCCCCAGTTTGTTTATCACCAATGCCTTGGTGATAAACAAACACATAGATCAAAACAGTACAAGGTAACATTCTTATAAACTCATAAATTACTGAACAAGAAAATAAAATTAATAATTAAATAAGCATAATTATCGAAATAGACACATAAGTTCCATAAAAACCAACACTATCAAAATGCATAATATAAGAAAAATAATTTAAGATGACTTATAGCAGCCTTCAGGGTCAAAGTAAAATTGCCAGCATCCCAGAAGATTTTCCTTACAATGTCCTAATCCTCCTCCTCTCCATAGTCTAAAGTGCATAAGTATGTTCTCAGCAGTTTTTTAAAGGAGAAGAGGGAGGGGCCATTTTTATTTTTGTGGGGAGGGAGTTTCAGAGGCAGGGAATGCTCACGGAGAAGGCTCCTTCTCTCATCCCCACCAAGCCGCGTGTGAGATGGGGGTGAGACAGAGCAGGGCCTCCTCTGCTGACTGCAGCACATGAGATGGCTTATACAAGGAGATGTAATTTGTCAAATAGCCTGGATTATTACTCTGTAAAAGTATTGTATCTTAAGGTTTCACTCTTTTCTTCACCAACCTCGCAGAAGTTTGGCTGAATTTAGTAGGTAAAGATTTTCCCCTGACATTAAGTCCAGTTGTGTTCGACTCTGGAGGATGGTGCTCATCTCCATTTCTAAGCAGAAGAGCCGGCATAGTTCATAGACATCTCCAAGGTCATGTGGCCAGCATTGCTGCATGGAGCGCCATTCCCTTCCTGCCTGAGTGGTATCTATTGAACTACTCACATTTGCATGTTTTCAAACTTCTAGGTTAGCAAAAGCTGGGGCTGACAGTGGAAGCTCACGCCACTCCCTGGATTTGAATCTGCGACCTTTCGGTCAAGACGTTTAGCAGCTCAGTGGTTTAACCCACTGCGCCACTGGGGGCTCCATTTGGCTGAATTTACTGGGTCTTATTTCTGAAGCACCTACATGATCATTCTGTATGTGGGAAATATCCTGCATACTTAATTAGGGCATGTTGCAAGCATAATAGTATTTAATTAATAAATGCCAGGCTCTGTTAATGCTGTACAATAATATGTTCATGTTTAGTGCAGCAGAATTCTATGGTACTATGTTTTTCAGATGGTTCAGGCAAATCAATGATCACTTCCATGTAAAAGGATGTTCATACTTTCTCTATAAACCTCATGGGAAGTACAAGACTGCTGGTGAAAGCGGTAAGTAATTACTTTTAATAACCCACCTCCATCCCAGAATTAGATGGAACAATAGGAAATAAGAGAAAGGGAAAAAATGACATAGAGCAGACAATATGTAACTCTAGCTTCTTGTACCTTGTGCGTTGTTGAAGCAAAACATTCTTGAAGGGTTGCTATCACTTTCTTTTCACACTGCTTCCTCCATTGTTGAAGGAGAATAGGCACCCATGGCTTCTCCTTTTCATTTTGTCTTCACCGTGTCATCTGAGCTTCCTCTGACCTTCTGTGCAAAGCAGAGTCTTTATGTGTGCCTCCCATCAGTTATCAGTTGAACCAGGAATAACAAACCTCTTGACTCAATAGCCAGGAGAGAGCCACACTAATGCTTCTCCTGGCTTACATCTAGAGGTGCTTCTGGAATAATAATAATAATAATAATAATAATAATAATAATAATAATAATACTTTATTTATATTCTGCTCTATCTTCCCAGAGGGACTCACGGTGGATTCCAAACATAAAAGGCAAAAATTCAATGCCTGAATACAACAATAATACATCCATAGTAATGAAATTATGTGTGGAAGCAAAACTTAATTTTTCTGATTGGGCAAATATCATATAGAGACTTGCTTTAGTAGCAGTAGCAGTGGGCCCTTTATGTCCACTGAGGTTTGATTCCAGGACCCCCCGTGGATACTAAAATCCATGCATGCTCATGTCCCAGTAGAGACAGTCCCTGGGTTACAGACAAGATAGGCTCTGTAGTTTTATTCTTACAGAATTCTTAAAGTTGAATTTGTATATAAATCGGATCAGGTATATTTTAAAACCAATTTGTGGGCGTATTTTAGTTTTGGATAACATAGGAAAGGGTTAATACCCCTGCAGTGTTTGTTTTGCTGTCTGAGCCCCTGTTCAGAAGATTTAATCTCACTTTCTGTCCCTGTGACAGTTGAATTTTCAGAATGTTCAGTTGCTGTGGAAACAAGGACTGGTGATAAAGCTTCAGTGGAGACACCTTTTCCCCATGATAACTCTTTCAGGAGTGGATTTCCTTTCCCAAGTGTAGATTTCTCTCACTTCCTGATGTCTCAGGGGCACGAAGTGAGATTAAATCTTTGTAATGAGGATTCAGATTGCAGTAAAAATTTCACAGTGGCTCTAACCCCACTCCAAAACTAAATTTGTATGGAGTTACATTGTAAATGCAACTTGGATAGATATTTGTCTTAACATACTATTTATTTTTACTTGTGCATGTAAATGCTCAAATATTGCAAAAGGCCTGGCATGTGCTGCTATCTATAGTGCCTTCAACCTTCCATGTTTGTTACTAAGAGTAAATTGGATGTTTGTTATGCAGGGACTGCCTGTGTATGTAATGATGTAATAAAATGGTGCACCTTATATACAATGGAAAATCAAAGTTTGCTTTTGGAAATATTTGGTGGAAGATATTTTCACACAGTAGATAATTGAATGCATGGATGTAGAATCCATGGACATGGAAGGCCGACTCTAAGTCAGTAATGTGTTTTAATAAACACTGGCTATCTTAAAAAGTTATTACTTTTATGCTAATGTTATTTAATGTAGCCTGCAACCTATCTTCATAAAATACCTGAGATCTTGCAAGTACTGTTTAAAAGAGATTTTATTCTGCCCATTACAGATGCTTTTTTAATACAAACTAATCCACTTTTCAGTTGCTTAATTGTTTCTTTTAATCTTCAGCTTCAGGAGCATTGGCAAAACTAACACAAGGACTGCGAGATGACTCGATAGCCTACATTTATCATTGCCAAAATCACTATTTTTGTCCAATTGGATTTGAAGCAACCCCAATCAAAGCTAGCAAGGCATACAAGTAAGGCTTTTGAAACATAACTGATGCTAAATTCATCTTTGAATAAAATGTTACATCTGTAAAAACCGCCTTGGAGCACTATATGTGCCCCTAGGGCTATACTTTAGATATCATCCTCAAAGGTTTCGTCAATAGTAACTGTGAAAAGACAACTTTGATATAATCTTTTGGAGGAACTTTCTTAATAGATGACCTGTACTAAATCTAAATTCTCTTGAGTGCAAAAGTATTTAGTACAGGGATGTCTTTCAATGTATTTTTAACTGGGAAAATTAGAAGAGGTATCTGTGTGGTTTAGTGAAAAGAGATATCTGTCTTGTCATTCCACTGGGAAATATGTTCAAAAGGCTGCTTGTGCACTGTTTTGTACTTTTAAACATCACTGCATATTTTTCAGTGCATGCATAATTTGGATTTGGATATTGAAAGACAAAATGTTGGTTTAATTCACTGTATAGAATCATGGAGGAAAAAGGGATTCTAAACCCTTCCAGTTCTACTTTGTGCCAATGGAAAAATATACCTCGTTTAAATCTAATTACATATGTGGCATTAATATATCATGCAGCTTGTTAATTGCACTGTCCTTTGGGTAACTGGTATCTTGGACTGAATATGTGAAAGTTGCAACATAAGTTAGTATAATCCTTCAGTATTGAGCAAGTCAATGAAACATAGGCAATAATAATAATATGTATTTTTACTCTTGCTTCCTAAAATTCAGTATTTTAATGTCAAGGCAAAGCAGATGACTAGGAATGTTGATAGGTAAAGTCTTAACAAGTTAAGATCAGTGGAATGTACATACATTTTGAGTTGCCATTTAGTAAATGGTTCAATGAGTCTTCTTGTTTGAGATTCCCAATAGGATTCAGGGTTTTTTTTGTGTGTGTCAGGAGCAACTTGATAAGCTGCAAGTTGCTTCTGGTGTGAGAGAATTGGATTCTCCAAGAACATTGCCCAGGGGACACCTGGATGTTTTATCATCTTGTAGGAGGCTTCTCTCATGTCCCTACGTGAGAAGTTGGAGCTGACAGGTAGGAGCTCACCCGGCTTCCCAGATTCAAACTGCTGACCTGGTCAGCAGATGTGCCGGCACAAGGGTTTAACCCATTGCGCCACTGGGGGCTCTTAGGATTTAGGTGACATACTCCCTGTCCAAAAAGCTTTATTCCTAAGACTCCTACCATGATAAATGTGAATATGCCTTTGTACACTAGAGGGCGCCTCTTACAGCAAGAAGTGGAACATTGGATACTCATTGGAGAACCTAGCAGAAAGCACCCCACAATACATTGCAAAAAGTAAGTCAGCACACTCACTATATCTGTCTGAAGAAATTTAAGCAATTTTAATGTTTACATTTTCCTCTATTACCCCTGTGACCATTTTGGAACACATTATTGTTATAAAATTGTAAATGCCGTATATACTTATGTAAAAATCAAAGCAGGTTTGGGGGCTAAAAGAATGATTTTTTTATTGGACCTAGGGATAAATCAAGGATCACTCCACAGCTAGGGGAAACTACCAGTGCTATTTTCAGGGGGCAGAGTCCCTGGCCACTATCACCATTTCCCCATCCAGGCATTCAGAAAGGATAGAAGTGGCACCACATCAGCAAGGGTAGAGGGGGTCCATGCTCCTTCTAAGCTCTTGCCTTTCATCACTTGTTGGCTCTCCAGATTTTGTTGCTTTATCTTTCACCCAAGTTAATCCTATTGATAAGACTAGAATGGGTCTGTGGAGTGAGAAAATGATCTACAACATACTAAATCTGTTTGGGGGGGGGGGGGGGGGGAGAGGAAATGCTCTCATATTTAGAATGAAATTTCCCATCATGGCGGTGGAGTAAAAATCCCTTTGCTTGTTGTTGAAACGACCTGGTGGAAAAGGCAGAAAAAAACGGAATCAGATTATGCCAGAATATTACAGCTAAAGAGAAGGCAGAAATATTTAAAAGGAGGATAGTAAGTTGGTGATGGAAACAATAAAGTGATAAAAAATGAGCACCGGTTGTCATAGGTATTTTAAACTCACAGACTTGTGGACATGATATAGTAGGAATTTTTAGCTTTGCTTCTGTTTTCGGAGGAAAGTATACTATTTGTCATATGCTGCTCCTGTTTAAAATTCTGTTTGTTCTCTCAATACTAAAAACATCCAGATTGTAAAAACTGTTTAGCTGTTGTATTGTTTTGTGTTCTTGATGTTCTAGTGCAGTGTGTGATCTCTTTTCTATCCTTTTATGTAGGTGGGCAGACATTGTCACAGACCTAAATACTCAAAATCCAGAGTATCTAGATATTAGACACTTGGAAAGAGGTATTCAGTATCGGAAGACAAAGAAGGTATAAATAGCTTTATATTAATGTAGAGTAGAATGTTAGTTCTGAAGTATTTGTTATCAGCTAAGACAGTTTGCCTTGGGATTGAGCTATGAGGAAGTTTGCTATATAACTAATGTAAAATATGGAAAGATTCATCAATATGTATTCAATGTAAGTGCCAGAGGTAAATTAATTGATAGTGCATTTCTTTCCAGTGTGACTACTTTTTTGTCTGGAAGATAGTCACATTGAAGTAAATGCAAAGGTTATTGTCAAATTAATTCTGGAATTGTTAAGCTTCTTAATATATCACACTTCTCCTAACTTTGCTACAAAATCAGATCCAGGATTTTCAAGGAAGCAACTGTTTCATTCTGTTGTAGCCAGTAAAACCAACAAGGTCTTGTGGTACCTTGTGGGTAAACAAATTGACTATGGAATAAGATTTTGCTGTGTAGTCCAATTCAGTAGCTTTAGGGAGTGTTAGCTAGTTTCATATACAGTACTGGATAAGAGGAAATTGTGAACAGTTAGTCAAAAGTAAAGATAAAGGTTACCCCTTGAAATTAAGTCTAGTCGTATCTGACTCTGGGAGTGGTGCTTGTCTCCATTTCTAAGCCAAAGAGCTGGCGTTGTTCGTAGACACCTCCTAGGTCATGTGGCCAGAATGATTGCGTGAGTGAAGCATTAGTCAAGTAGGAGTTAAATGTGTAACATATTGATAGTCATTTATTAAGATTGGCTATTCACAAAGCAGTTATGTGTGCTAAAACTTTTTAGTTGGAGTGACAGACTAAAAGATAGAAGAGTACCTTTGCCTATTTTCTGCTCTAGCTGGAGTCACTGATAGCAGGATCCATGAAAAAAAATTAGCATGGCTCAATGTGTAATACTTAAATGCAATTGGTAGTCCTAGCCTGAGTGAACCCATTGAATCTGTGGGATTTACATGAATCTTGACCTGTCATTTAGTGGCTATCAGTTTTCAGGAACTAATTTGAATAACAGTAATTATACTACATGTTTCGGAGTCTTACGCAACACACACTTACTGTATGTATTTACTGTATGTATAAGACAGTTTTGTGTATATCTCAAAGGGCAGCCTTTGGTATCAAAATTATGGATTTTGATATGACCTGTAGACCAGTCAAGTCAGACGCATCATGGAGCAGTGGCTTTGTACATTCCCTGCACAGACATGGGGTGTCTGTGCGTGCCAGGTTGGTGATGGCCAGATAGAGTTCCTGCACTCTCTGTGATTAGCAGGGGATTCCAAAGCGTGGTGTATATGTATGTCTTGTGTGCATGTGAAATCGAGCTTTTTTTTACAGGCTATGGTCAGTGGGACTGTTTATTCCACTCCAACATTGCCTCCTGTAACAGAAATACTGTCCACCCACTCCGTGCACTCTCCGTACAGGAGATTCCAAAGAGCCCTGCTGAAGCACAGAGGTAATGATGCTTCTTTCACAGGAGGCTATGGCTGGATGGGCTGCCTCCTCCATCTAAATGTCCCCTATAAAAGAAGTGCTTTGCCTCCCTCACATTCTTTTTACTTCCTCTTGAAAAAATGGTTTACTCAAGTTATTAATCAGCCACAAGTCTCTTTTAAGGTACCTATTGAAACATAATTGCTGTTCTGATAATCCTTTTCGTATTCTTTGTCAGGGCTTTTACTAGGAAACCTTTCTTTAAAAACACAATGACAAAAATTGAAGTTTTCTTAGCTGCCATCTATAGCTGGAGTACATATAATGTTGCTCCAGCACTGATGAACCAGAGTTGGTAAGGAAGTATTAAATGAAAAGTGAAGATAAAACAAATTAAAGGATCTTGGTAGCAAAAATAGACCTTTCCTCAAAAAGTTTGTAAGCTGTTCACATAAAAGTGTATGAGTCAAATATGTCATTTTTTGTTTTGTTTTGACTTCTAGATAGGAGGAAACCTGCATTGCATCATTGCTCTTCAGAGGCTTCACTGGCAGAGGTTTGGCCCCTGGAACTTTCCGTTTAGAAATGGCAAGCAAGACTTGCAACCGCACTCTCAGACGCAAGGCATTGCCAAATCTGAGAGTGAAGACAATATCTCTAAGAAGCCGCACGGTCGCCTGGGTAGATCTTACAGTGCTAGTTTCCACCAGGAGTCAGTCTGGAAGAAATTGTCTCATCTTCATGAAAGGAGGAACAGTGGCTTTCACAGTTACACAGATTATGATGCAAATGACTGACAGAAAAGTCTGTAGCACCTGCTGTACTGTAGATATCTAAGAAATGGGAAATGTTATTACACAAAGAGTAGGGCATAGATAGAAATGTCAGTACAAAGTGGAATGTTGGTTGCATTGAATATGTGGATAGTTATGTTGGGGATAATGAGAGATGTTAGCTCAGATATAAGCACACAATATTGCACACTTACAATCCAGTATAATTGGCAATTGACCTGTGTTTCTTATAATGTGAAACCAGGGGTGGGCGGGAACATACAAAAAGAAGAAATAGATAACACATGAGATAAAGCATGAGAGTTTTTCACTTTCTAAAAGCATTTCTGAAATAGAATGGTCTTAAAGGTAGAAAGTATATTTGTTTTTAAAGATTTTCAAAATGCAATAAAGGACAGTCCAGTTCAAAACTTACAAAACACCAAATGCTAAAAGCATGTATAAATAATGATTTCAGTTTGTCAACTTGAACATTGTTCTGTACAACTTATATTAATTGAAGACCTTTGTTGGCAGTTGTAAGTGGCAAGAATATATAGCAAGCCCTGTAAAGCTGCGGTACCTGCTTGCTCCTTTTTATGGGGAGGCAGAAAAACATTCCACTGCCAAGTGTCTACTCCTCCAGCACCTTTCTGTGTAGTCTCAAGTAATTCACATTTTAAATGCTGCTTTTAAACAATAACTCAGTTTATTTGGCAACTCAGTGACCTTATACACAATCACATTGGGCTGCCTCTGCATTTTTATTCCTCTTGTGCTTTCCAGATCCTTTCCACGTTATCCTTTAACTGTTTCATTGTTAATAAGGGAGATGCTTTAAGTGCCGAACACACTGGCAGCCGCAGTAATATACCTCTTTGGCCAGAACACTGTTTGTATTTTTTCAGGTGATTATGTCAAGTAGCTTTATTTGAAATTATGATATGTTCTCATTAAAAAACAATAAAAAGTATTGTCTTGTAATTTTGTAGATTTAAATCCCATTTATTAAAAAGTAGGAGACGTTGGAAAAAATTACTACCTTTCAAAAATATTTTATGTGTTGTCAATGGCTTTCATGGCCAGAATCACTGGGTTGCTGTTAGTTTTCCAAACAACACTCAAAAACAGGGGAATTCCAGACAAGAAACAATCAGGGCTAGTGAATCACCTCCCAACAAAGGATTCCTCCAGCCAGCAAGCAGCCAAGCCCAGTGCTAATCAAGGTGATCAGTTGCAGCATTCACACCTGCCTCAGACAGACAAGAGTTCTTTCTCTCACCCTGGACATTCCACAGATATACAAACCCCACTTGCCTTGTTTCCAACAAACCTCATAACCTCTGAGGATGCCTGCCATAGATGTGGGTGAAATGTCAGGAGAGAATGCTTCTGGAACATGGCCACACAGCCCAGAAAACTCACAGCAACCCAAAAATATTCTAGTTTGCATATGTTGTAAGAAAGTTTGGGGCAAAATTGTTCATATTCCCACTTTCAGTGTGTTTGGTTCACAGAAATTACATGGCATGTAATACAGATACTTAACATGGCATGCCTATTTTTCTTGCCCATATGAGGAACCAAGTAGGCATAAAGGGATCTTGGTGAAATGAAATTGCTTGAACTGCTCAGTGTACTTATTTATTTACAGTATTTACACCCCGCCCTTCTCACCCCAAAGGGGACTCGGAGCGGCCTTACAAAAGGCAACAATTCAAAGCCATGTCAACCAATAAACACGGGCAATAAAAATAAATTTAAAAACCATATAGAGATTAAAACACATTCTTAAAAACACACAATCTGAGATCATGACTGACTAGAGAGCAGAAAACATTTCTGTAACAAAAGACATCTCTAGGGTGCTTTCCTACAGAACAGAGATTTGAGGTAGTTGAAAGATGGCTTGTTGGCAGAAAAGATCTCTTGCAGAAGTATTGTCTCTTTGACAGGTGTTTTAGATTCCTTCATTGTAAGACATGCAGAAAATCACAATGCTGCTTTTAGAGGCATCACTGCATTGCAATATGCCTTAACTTCTTTCAGTTGAAGGCTTGTTATCTCCAGTGCCACATTTCCCTATGTTTCTGGAAGGCGCAAGGTCTTCAGATTATTTCAGGAGCCCTTAGAAAAAATTTAAGCTTTGCATGTATCTCTGCCTGGTCAGACTAACCGCTTGCGTTTATTCAAGTCCTCTGTGGGCTGATCAGACATGGTCACCTTCAATTTCACATCATTCACAGTTTTCCCATGTAGCATAGCTATGGCATCACTAGCACTTGCTCTCTCTGCAAACATGGCATACGCTCCATTTTTCCCAGGGATAAAATGACTGGCTACAAAATTTCCAAACTGACTTAATACATTGTCCAAGACATTTTGAGGTAAGGGACAGGGATCAAAAATGATTAAAAGCCTCTCCTGTATAGAAAAGCGTGAGGGAGCTTTCCTTTTGTATGATGGAAGCACAGCATCTGCTTGGAGACGAGGGGGAGGAATCCAAGACTCAGTGGGCCTCAGAAGGTGAGGAGCCCAATTATTATCCCATATCACTGATGCCAGATGTGAAGCCACCAGCTGTGTTGCCATTTCTTGGAGTTCGGTTCCATCTATTTTGTCTTCCATGAAACTAACATGCAGCTGATTCCCAAGAGGATAGTCTAAACCATGTAGTCTTTGTTTGGCATACACAGCAGATGCAACATTTCTGTACTGAATCATTGCATATACATGTTTCCTATGAAGACCCGGACGAGCTTCGCAAGATTCCAATCCTGGGATGACATCAAATAAGCCAAATATTTGCTCTTGAGTCAATGGGAATTTTGATACCATTAACAAATGTCTAGAGATGGATTGTTTGCTGGTATTACTCCTTTCCACACTTGCAAGGTCTGGTGGGTCCACTGAGGTAAGCAAGCTGTTACCTTGGCTCCTTTTTCTACGAGGTGCACCACCCATGTAGAACTTCCATTCAGATGATTTCAGGGACTTTACCGTAGTAAGAACAGTATCCTGTTGTACTTCAGCACATTTTGCTTCTGGTTCCGCAGTACTCTCATAAATGGGGCAGACATTAGGTTCAAATGGTTTAGTCACAAATACAGGCAAATGGGTGCTGTAACCTGAAGTCATCACATTATTCTCGTTCACGCTGTGGTCATCTGTCTGCTGTTCTACACTATTTGTACAGTAGTAGTAGTCTGAACTGGAGCCAGGTGGCTGCACTGAAGGTTTAGACAAAGAGGCACTGTAATCTGTACCACCCACATAATATTCGTATCCAGAGTGTTCTGGTGGCGTAGAAACTTGCTGAACTTCACTGGTGTGATAATCTAATGCAATCATGTTGCTTTTCTCTGCTCTGGTGCGGTTTACCTCCTCTCGTATGTGATTTACCCAGTAGTTTACGCTAGATTCGAGTGCCCTGGCTGAAGGCTCTGATGAAGTGGTGTTGTCAACTGAAGCTAAAGTGATTAAGTTGCTTCTACATGTTCTGCTTCCTTTTTGTTCTGTGTTATTTCTGGAGGAGCTGTCTGCAGACGAACCAGGTTTGGAACCTAAAATAATCAAATTGCTCCCTGACATTCTGCGGCTGATGGCATTCCGTCCTGTACTTCCACATTCAGATTCAGTCCTGGTCACAGGCACATTCAAAGTGGCCATAGAAACTACAGGGATCAAGTTGCTCCGTTGCATTTCAGATCCTGTTTTCTTTTCAGTGCAGATCACAGAAGGTGACATATGTTTCTGATCGCATTTGGTATGTTCACCCAAAGTATTTGAGCTGCTCACTTCTGCTTCGTTGCTTGTTGTTTTGTGTTTAGGATTGGCCATAGGAGAGTTGGATTCAGAGGGTGCCACGGGTTTCATTGCAGGCACATCTTTACCCAAAGTATTCACACAGCTCTTTCGTACTTCATTGCTTGTTTTGGGTTTGGAATGGTTCCAATCAGATTTGGTTTCAGGTGATTCACTGGGCTCTAGAACAACCTTAGCCAGACTGGTGGTTTTACCCAAAGCATTCAAGCTGCTCTCTTGTACTTCTTTGCAAGTTGTTTCCTGGTTGGGATTGTTCACAGGAGAGTTGGATTCAGATAGTTTACTTGGCTCTGTAAGACTCTTAGCTGGACCATTGCTTTGACACATAGTATTCAAGGTGGCTCCTTGGACGGCATGCCTTGTTGGCCCCGGCTGGGCACCACACACACCAAATCTCAGAACAGGGTGTTTCGGGAGCTCAGCTTTGGCCTCAGCCCAACTGGCTCGAAACCTTTCGTCACACTCCTCGATGGCCAAAGCAGCTTCGGACGGCGTTGAAAACCCTATGAATGCCGCCCCTTTCATTTCCCTCAACTCGATCCTTAGGATGTAACATGAAACGATGACTCCATAGACCTTAAATTTGTCCACCAACTTGCCTTCGGTAAAAAACCACGGGATTGTGACCCGTATGACAGTCAATTTCTGCAGGTCCAGCTCCAGTTCCTGGGATGTGCCAGGCACCCTGCTTTGTGCCACAGTCATGTGGGTGAAGCGGGGCCAGGCCAGGGAGCCCGTGGCGCGGAAGGCCTCGAGGGCGCGCAAGGCCTGGGAGCTGCGCGCGAACTTGACGAAGACCGGGCCCTGGAGGCGCGTGCGGAGGTTGCTGCGCGCGCCCCACACCTCCTCCACCTCGCCGAAGCACGAGAAGTAGCGCAGGAAGGGCGTGATGTGCGGCTTCCCGCTCACCACCACCAGGAGGCGGCTGTAGCGGGGCTCGTCGTACGTGGCGTAGCTCAGGCGGGCCGGGGGGAAGCTCTCCGCAACCAGCGCCGGGGGCGACATGGCCATGGAGGCGCCCCGGACAGAGAGGAAGAGCGGCCGCTCCGCCCTCGGCAGGCGCTTCCGCTTCCGCCCACTCGCCTCTAGGCCACGCCCCCTTTTCACTTCTTTGAGTTTACTGTTTTCACACCGATAGGCTGCATTTTCCCCTCCTCTCCAGTATATCTTCTCAGGGATGGAGAAATAAATAAATACATTTATATAAGGCTTTCATGGCCGGGATCACTGGGTAGTTGTAGGTTTTTTCGGGTTATATGGCCATGTTCTAGAGGCATTTTCTCCTGACGTTTCGCCTGCATCTATAGCAAGCATCCTCAGAGGTAATGAGATCTGTTGGAACTAGGAAAAGGGGTTTATATATCTGGAATGACCAGGGTGGGACAAAGGACTCTTGTCTGTTGGAGCTAGGTGTGAATGTTTCAACTGATCACCTTGATTAGCATTTGATGGCCTGGCAGAGCCTGGGGCAATCATTTGTTGAGAGGTGATTAGATGTCCTTGTTTGGTTCCTCTCTGTTGTGCTGTTCTAATTTTAGATTTTTTAATACTGGTAGCCAGATTTTGTTCCATTTTCCTGGTTTCCTCCTTTCTGTTGAAATTGTCCAGATGTTTATGGATTTCAATGGCTTCTCTGTGCAGTCTGACATACAGCTCCCAGCATCCCCTAGACCAGGCCCTTTAGGAAAGGAGGATGATCCAAATGCCCTGCTTCCAAGATGCAAGCTTTCTTCTTCTTGGATTTCTTTGAGAGCATCCCAAGCCCTGGATGTTTCCTATCTCCTATTCCTGGACTGCAACTCCCAGCAACCCTCCGGGTAAATAGATTAGATAGAGATAGGTAGGTAGATTGATCAGGAGGACTGCTGGGAATTGCAGTCCAAGAGTAGGTAGAGAAGGAAGGAAGGGGAGAAAGAGGAAGGGGAAAAAAGGGGTGGGACGGGAAGAGGAAGAGCAATGGCTGGAGCAATGGCGGTGTCGTGCGGGAACTACGTTTCCCAGCAGGCAGCGGGCTCCCGCCGCCTGAAGCAGCGCGGCGGTAACGTCATATCCGGCAACACCAGAAGATTGGTAAGGGGAGATTGCGACTCTCGGTGGTGCTTGAATTGGCCCTTCCTTCCTTCCCTCCCTCCTTTCCTTCCACTTCCAGGAAGAGCGTTCCTTCTCTTATTCATTAAGCCAACCAACTCCATCCCCAGGCCCCGCAGGAGCCTCATCCCATCCAACGCAGAACAGAAAGTTTTGTAAAGATTCGTGTGGCAATAAAAGGCGGTACAGATTGACCATCCCTTGCCACTGTAAAGTTAATGCACTTCACTCCACTTCAACTGCCTTCGCCGGAAGCTTTGGAATCACAGGATCTGTGGTTTTACAGGGTCTGAGCCTTCTCTGCCAAAGAGTGCCATTGCTTCACCAAACTCTCAGCAGTGGAGTGTGGTGGAGGCTCCTTCATTAGCTACAGCTAACAAGAGAAAAAAAAGATATGATCACTCCTCCCTCTCTTTGTGTGTATATATGTAAATTTGAGCTGATCATGAAAATCTAACTTTCTCATTTTTCTACAATCTCACTTTTTGATCATCTATCCTCTGTAGTCCCAATGCCGTAAGTAAATAAAAACTTCTCAAAGTGCAGCATTCCCTTGGGAGGCTTTTAAGCAGAGGCTTGGTGGCCATCTGTTGGGGCTGCTTTGATTGTGGCTTTCCCTGCGCGGTAGCAGGTTGGACTGGATGAACTAGGTTTCACACAATAATTCCATATCACTGAGCTAAGCAGTTCAAGTAGTATCAAACCACATTAACCCTACAGTGTAGGTCAGGCATGGGCAAGCCTTCAGCCCTCCAGGTGTTTTGGGCTTCAACTTCTACAATTCCTGACAGCCTCAGGCCCCTACGTTTCCCCTGTCAGCTACTTTGCCTGTGCTCATACCTGGTGTAGATGTATCTGCAAGACTAGGGCCAGAATCCCCATTCAGCCATTGGGTGACCCTGTGCAAAGCACACTTTCTCAGGCTCAAACCTATTCTGCAAAGAAAACCTGGTCATACATTTGGCCCAGAGCTGCCACCAGTCAAAAATGAATGCTGGTTTTATGAAGAGGCGTGTATATTTTTATCGCATATTTATGTACAGCACTGCTATATCCACAAGAATCTCCATGGATAGCTGACACACCATGGACAGTAGTGAACTCTATATTTTGTTAACACTTGGAATGGAAGCATAACATAGAATTGCATTGGAGGATCTGGAGAAGCCCATAAATATTTGTGGAGTGGGAAGGGGAATATTATTTGAAACGTGGATAAATGAAATGAGATGTTCAATCTGTGAATAAGAATGTTGTCTAAATACAGCAAATCCAGTGAAGAGGTCTTGATACATATATCCTTCCTTATTTTAAATAGGGAAAAATAGGCATATTCTTTAAAAAACATTTTTTAAAAAAAATACCGGTATTGGTATCTGGCTGACGGTACAGAGTGACAAAGACAAGGATGAACAGACTGAAGGATAGTTTTTATTCTAGAGCTGTGGCTATGTTGAACTGTGGTTTCACATTGATGTGGCATTGGGTACTGTGTGGTGGTAGTGTGTGTGTGTGTCTGTGAAGGAATGGATGTGTTTTTTTGTGGTGTGTGCAGGGAAGGCATGTAATTTCATTATGCAATAGTACAATGATGACTAAAGCTTTCTATTCGATTTTTGTGTGTGTCAGGAGTGACTTGAGAAACTGCAAGTTGGTTTTGGTGTGAGAGAATTGGCAGTCTGCAAGGACATTGTCCAGGGGACACCCGGATGTTTTACCATCCTGTGGGAGGCTTCTCTCATGTCTCCACACGATAAGCTGGAGCTGACAGGTGGGAGCTCACCCCGCTTCCCGGATCCAAACTACCAAACTTTCAGTCAGCAGTCCTGCTGGCCCAAGGGTTTAACCCATTGTGCCACCAGGGGCTCCTTATTCTATTCTTAAGCAGGACAGACTTTCACATGGGCCAGGGGACACAGCTACATCATGACAGCTTTTTATTCTATTCTAAAAAGCTGTCATGACGTGGCTGTGTTTCCCATCCCATGTGAAAGTCTGTCTTGCTTAAGACTGGCTGGCAGGTTTTTAAAAAATCTTTTTTCTTTTGGTTCGGTTTTTCTGTTTTTGAGAATGTGGCTGCTACTGCCAGTAAAGTTGGAGATAGGAAGCCAGGTGGACAAAATGCTCCTTTACAGTGAGACATTATACAATTGTTACATGATTAAATATAAATTAAATTGGCTGTTTAACAAAAGATAGGGAGACAGTGAAGAAAAATATGATGAGATATTTTGGATATTACAGTTGGAAGAGACCACAAGAGCTACCCAGTCCAACCCCTTTCTGCCATGTAGGGACTTAGAGATCTGCACCTCTGAGCACCTGCATGGTGTCTTTTACTAATGAAAAACAGGACATTGTTCACAGCTCTTCTATCATTTATGTTTTAGAATGCGGAGTAAAGGAGGAAAAGCGATTCCACCTAAATATTGAGAAGAACTTTCAGATGGTGAGAGCTGTTTAACAGTGCAATATGCTGCATCCAGTTCTCCGCCCACACTCTGATGCAGCATATTTCAGTTAAACAACTCTTACCATCTGAAAGTTCTTCCTAATATTTAGGTGGAATCTCTTTTCCTCCTTTACTCCGCATTCTAAAACATAAATGATGGAAGAGCTGAGAACAATGTCCTGTTTTTCACTAGTAAAAGACACCATATGCAGGTGCTCAGAAGTGCATATCTCTTCACATAACTATGTGATCACAAGCTACCTTGGAACTGAAAATAGTGCTGAGATTGGGCATACCTGTTTATTCTCTTGGCTGCCTTTCCTCCCACAATTGAGGTTAGACGTAGAGGTTTTCTAAAAGTTAGAAGTTCACCTTTAGTGTCATTATTAAAGCTTTTTCCTATTCAGGTCTTATTTACATAATAAGCTCTTATTTATATTCTTTGGAATGCTCATCATATTAGGAGATAATAGATAATAATGAGTGAAACAGATAATAAAATAAGCAGCTGCATATGAATTTTATGCACATTTTTTGTTTCTGATAAAGTTCATTTATGTTTGACCATCCAATATTGTTGTTGCATCCAACAGATTCACCTTCCTTTACATTGCTTAGTACAAGATGGGAGTTCAGGGGCTTTGGAAGTTACTGGAGTGCTCTGGAAGACCGATAAACCCGGAAACACTGGAAGGGAAAATCCTTGCTGTTGGTATCCTTAATAATGAAATTTAACTGTATGAATATCTGGCTATTTTATGATGCTGCTTCTGATGATTGCATTTACCTGTGTTTCAGTTCTGGCCAGAAATTTCAGATACACCTACACTATAGGATTAATGCAGTTTGACATCACGTTAACTCCCATGAGTCAATGCTATGGAATCCTTGGATTTGTCATTTTATAAGGTCTTTAACATTCCTTGTCAAATAGTAGCACCTCACCTAATTACAACTCTCAGGATTCCATAGCATTGACCCATAGAAGTTCAAATGGTGTCACATTGAATTAATTCTGCAGTGTAGATGCACCGTAAAACAGATAACACAATCTTGATCAACTCTTACAGAAGAATATGATCTTTCAGATGCCTTGGATCCGAGCTCCACATGTTAATAGAGTTCATAACCAACACTGTGAATTGAGCTTGCTAAATAGCATTTCTTGAAGAATCTGCTGACAGAAAAAGCCCCAATTCCTTAAGCAGAGTGGTAGAGTACAGGATCATTTTAGTGCCTACATTCTGCCCAAGCAGCTTTCCCATAAGCAACAGAATTCTGCAGTATGTCAGCCTTTGATCTTGTACATAGTGATTCTTAGGTTTGGCCGGGGAAATGAATAGATTTCATTGAACTAACATTTCTGTTCTGGCAGCCCTTTGGATATGTGCTAGTTTTTTTTTTAAAAAAACATACTGATTTTAAAAGGTAAAGCTATTCCTTCTAGTATATTTTTAAAGTGTCATATTTGTTTGAATATCTTTTAAAATTAGAATGGTATTTAATTTTTGAAAGCCAGTGAGTTGTTCACAGTGGAACGGGGCTATGTCCTCCATTGTGCTAGGAAGAGTTCTTTGCCCTTCTGTCTTCCACATTTCTTCTGCAGCCCCTAAACCTGCTTTAAAGGGTTTCTCAGTCCTGGAGTAGGGTTTTAGCATGTCCAGGAAAGGAGGATAGATCACCTCCCTTAAAAGACATGTGAAGTGGTCCTGATACCTGATACCACTGTCTGGCAGAGTCCTATGCCATCTAGTGGAGAACCTGTGCTCTTCCTAATAGTAGCTGTTCTCACCATTCCTCACTATTCCGTCTAGTCAGACAGATGAGAATCAGAGTCAGGATTGCAAGATTCCTACCTTAAATTAAGAGTGCTTTCGTGGATAGGCTCTCATTTTGTGAAATGTAAGCAATAGACATAAGTAACTGTCATACATGTGATGTATTCCTTATTTGTGACTATTGGGTTCTTCATTTGTTTTCCTATGACTGCTTTCATAAGATATCAGCATTTGGTTGAACCAAGCTATTAAAGGAGTAAGGGATCGTCATGGAAATTCAGTGCCCAATGCTCATCTCCTCACTTTATTTCATCGACTTTGCAAACTATTGTTCTTTCGCATTCGACCCGTTTTCGTTTTTGATGGAGAAGCACCACTTTTGAAGAGGCAGACCTTGGTATGTTCTTTGTGCGACATTGCGAAACAGAGATTTGTACACAATTTTTGCAATTTACACCTCAGTTGTATAAATGTGTAGCCAGATGTACTTTTGAGAGAGCAGGATTGCAACCTTAGAGAATTAGAATGACAGTTTACTAAATGAATTAGATTACACTAGTTAATTAGTTATGTCAGAATGGCAGAAGAGAAGGGTAAATCTTTGTTTGATACATAAATGGCATTTCATGAGCTCTCTGTCTCACTTTTGTAAATGCTGCCTCTTTAATACTTTATAGAGTACCATAATTTCTCATTAATATAACCAATTTCTAAAAAGAAAAGTAATCTGAAGTACCATTGTCTGAGAAGATATTATCCAAGTATCAAACATATTAAAATAATGTAATCATATATCATTAAGTGGCCTCTTCTGCATGTTTTTTTTCCAGGCTAAGCGAAGACAACGAAAAGAGGTTGCAGCCACAGACTCCAAGAAAACGACAGAAAAACTTTTGAGAACTTTCCTGAAACGGCAAGCTATCAAAACCGCTTTAGCAGGCAAGAGGCAAGAACATTCCCCCTGTGTTTAGTTGTACATTTCTAACTTGTAATCTGTATATATATTTTTGCTAATGATATTTATTTATTTTTTCAGCACTGCTGAGTTTCCTAGCCTTTCAGAAGTAAGAAGAGAAGAAGTAGATGATATTTATGTGTTACCTTCCTTACAAGATGACAAGAAAAATAGGTTGGTTTCTGTTAGGATGCAAGCTTTTAAAAGGTAGAAGAAAAATGTTATCTTTAATTGTGATCCTTAGCCAGTTACCACTTTTACTTTTGCAACGCAGCTCAGAAGAAGATGACGAAAAAGAATGGGAAGAGAGAATGACACAGAAAAAGATGTTGCAGGTAAATTTCTTTCTTAAATATCTGCCTCACTCTTCTGAAATGGGTGTTGATGTGCTAACAAGGCTTCAATTAAATTCTGATGCCAAAAAAAAAAAAATGGCGTCACAATCAATAGTGCTAATTGTTTTTTTAAATTAAGGATGCAATAAGAACACATGGAAACTAAGGTAGTGTAAGATTTGTTCAGGTTTTCCCTCCATCCTGAGCCTATTAAATTAATGTAAGTAGGTGGAGGAGAGAGGCTAGTATGGTGTCATTTTCCAAAGTAGTCAACTTGATGTATGTAGGAATCCCACAAACTTCTATTCTTGTAACTGGTATATAGGGGCATTACTTCTCCAATCCTCTCTCAGTCTGCCACCGTCCTTCTGAATATAGCATTAATCAAGTAATGTATTTCAGGACTTTCCTACAATTACTGAGATGATGGTAATAATAACAATAATGCTTTTATTTATTTCTCGCCTTTCCTTGTGGCTTGAGGCGGGTTATAATATAGTTAAAACACATAATCATTGTAAACATTCTATAAAATACACATATTAAAACATTTTAAAGCCGGTTGGTTAGACCTTCCAGAATAGATAGATCTTCAGATCGGTTTTAAATTCCGGTAGCTCTGGGTGATGGTCGGGTTCTTGCAGGCTGGAGCGGATGCCCCTCAGAGGACCTGTGTTTAGGGCAGATTGTATGGAAAAAGGTGATCCTGTAGGTAACCTGGACCCAAACCATGTAGGGTTTTCAAGATCAAAGCCAACACCTTGTACTTTGCTTGGAAACTAATTGACAACCAATGGAATGACTTTAGGATAGGTGTAATATGTTTACTCCTGGATGTTCTGCAGTGTAACCAATCTGGCTCCTGCATTTTGACTCAACTGGAGTTTCAGAACTTGGTACAAAGGGAGCCCAGTATAAAGCGTTTTGTAGAAGTCCAACCTGGGGGTTACCAGTGCCTGCACTACCATCTCTAAGTCCTCCAAATCTAGCAAGGGGTGCAGCTGGCATATCAGTCAAAGCTGATACTAACCACACTTTACTGACACATCTACATAGACTGACATTTGGAGAGACGGATCCAGGAGCACTCCTAAACTGCCGACAGTGTCTATCGGAGTGTAACCCCATCCTGAACTGGTTGACACACTTCCACCCCCAGATTAGGACCCTTGATGGCAAGCACTCCTCTTTTATCTGGATTCAGTTTCAATTAGTTTTTCCTCATCCAGTTCATTACCTCCTCCAGGCGTTCATTCATAATGAATGTGATGCATTAAGGATACTGCCATGATGTATTATGGGCTTCAGCACTGGACTTAGCTATTTAGACTGAAGATCCATTTAGTCTTGTGTTTTCACTTTAGTAGTGACAAACCAGTTGATCCAGGAAATCTCATCAAAAGAGTAGAATGGAAATAACTCCACATTAAACCGTGAAACACAGCTGATGGTAGATGCTGAAGAAATTAGTCTAAATTGTTCTGTTCCAATCAGCTTAGATGCATTGACTCAGTGGGATTGACCTATGTGTTGACTCAGCATTAAGCAGTTAATTCAGGCCATTTGTTACTGTCATGTTTAATATAATATATGTGCTCTGCATGACACACTATGTAACTGCGTAGAATACTAAGAGTGAAATTCTAAGAAACAATTTGGATATTACTATAGAGAAAGGCAGTTAAATAATAGTAATATACTTTTTTGTTGCAGCCAAAGGTACTCTAGTAAAAAGTACTTTCCAATTCATTTGTTATTACAAAATGAAAGTCTCTCTGAAAGCAGCCCAATCAGGTTAAAATAAGGCAGATACAGGCAGTCCCTAAGTTACGGACAAGATAGATTCTGTGGGTTTGTTCTTAAATTGAATTTGTTTGTAAGTTGGAACAGGTAGGTGTATAAGCTTTGAATGGAAAGGTTAACACATGGAAAGGTTAACACCCCTGTGGTATTTGCTTTGCTATCTGTGCTCCTGTTTAGAAGATTTAACCTCACTTTCTGTCCCTGTGATAATTGGATTTTTAAACATTTGGCTTGTTGTAAAAACAAAAATTGGGGAGAAAGCTTTATCAGAGACACTTTTTACCCAAAACAACTCTTTCTGGAGTGTGTTTGCTATTTATGTCTTTGAGGAACAGTAAAGGGATAGAAATATACTGGGTTAAATAGCCTAAAGCAGGGGTTCTCAAACTTTTTCAGCTGGGGAGCCCTTTTTGAAACAAAGGTTTCTGGTGTAGCCCCAAGAAATGTTTGTATTATTATTATTATTATTATTATTATTATTAATTATTAATTATTATTATTAATTATTATTATTATATATGTATATCAGGCACGGGAAAACTTTTTGACCAACATAAACTTAACAGTATTTTAGTGGAAGACCCCAGAAGCCATCCAGTCTAACACCCTTCTGCCATGCAAGAAAAGCACAATCAAAGCACCTCCAACAGATGGTCACTCAGCCTTTGTAACAACAACAACAACAACAACAACAAAACAATCCATGGGGCCATCCAGTTCAACCCCTTCTGTCATGCAGGAAAAGTACAGTCAAGGCACCCCCAACAAATGGCCATTTAGCCTTTGTAATAGTAATAATAGGAATAATAGAGCAACCCCTGGGGCCAATCCAGTCCAACCGCCTTCTGCCGTATAGAAAAACCACAATCAAAGCACTCCCCACAGGTGGCCACTCAACCTTTGTAATAATAATATTAATAGGAGCAACCCCAGGGACCATCCAGTTCAACCCTCTTCTGCCATATAGGAAAAGTACAAAGCACCCCCAACAGATGACCGCCTACCCTTTGCAGTAGTAGTAGTAGTAGTAGTAGTAGTAGTAGTAGTAGTAGTAATAGAAATCCCAGGTACCATCCCATTCAACTCCCTTCTGCCATGCAGGAAAAGCACAATCAAACATTGAGCGGTGGAAGGGAAATACGGTTTAGGAAGCAAGGAAGGTGAGGAGAAAAGGATCTGCTTAGCGAGGAAGACCAGGAAAAAAAAGGCTTTTGAGGGTGAGGGGGCAAGGAAAATGGCTTTTGTGGGTGAGGGAAGTAAGGAAAAAAGGGCTTTTGAGGATGAGAGAAGCCAGGAAGAATATTTCAGAAGAAACCAATGGCAAAACCACCTCTAAGTGTTTTTCACATAAGAAAATTCTATAAAATTCAAGGGAACGCCAAAAAATAACAAGTCACTTGAAGCAAGTCACACACACATACACTTGAGTCATTGTTTATAAAGTAGAGAAGCTGACATTGATTTTATTATCAGTCTTCCAATGGACTGTAAAATGGTTTTATATGTCAGTTTCACACTACCCCTTTGGGTCCTTTTTAGCTAATTCTGTATAGTACCCCAAAGCTTCCTCAAATATATTCCATTAAGAAGAGAAAAACTAATGTTTTAATTCTATTGTTACAGTCCTTATGAAGCTTGTTAGTATGTGTCTGTGTTTTGCTTTTCTTTGGCCTAATTTCGCAAAACCTACTTTTTGTCTGATGCCTTTCCCCGAAACTGAACAGGAAGAATTAATTGAAAACCCTCATTCTGTTGATGTTGAATCAGAAGATTTCCAGAGCCTGCCCCCGGAGGTAAAACATGAGATCCTCAGTGACATGAAGGAATTCACAAAGCGCAGAAGGACGTTATTTGAGGCAATGCCTGAGGTAAAGCACAGGACTTTTTTTTTGTCTTTTTGTGCCACCAAAGGATCTTGCTAGTTTGAGATCTGGTAAGAAAACCCTCAACATCAATCTCAAGATTTCCCTGAAATTATGAGAGAATCCTTGCTTAGGGGGATCCCAACAGCAGAGAGTTCATACTCTCCATAGAACCAAAACACCTTATGTGGAAGTCAAATGCTTTGTAGTGAAAAGGCTTTTCATTTTTTGTTATCTTTGTGGATATTCTACTGCAATTTCAATGGCAAAACTTTGTCCTCCTGGCCTCCTTTCACAGAGCGGATTTGTTGACAGATATTCTTATGGGATTAAGGACAACATGCAGTCTTGCCAGATCATGTTAGGATCATGCTTATCAAGCGTATGTCCTCTGTAATGTTACTGAATAGACATGTTGCCCTGCTGCAGTGCAAAATTGTATTCAGGAAAGCTAACAGCATACTTAAAACATTACATAACATTCCTAGATCACTGAGAGAGCAAATTAAAACAGATGTAATAAATTATATGTAGCCAAATTCATAACATCAAAAGAAAAACTTTAAACCTGGGAATTACAGTTAAAAGCCATGAAAGCTGTGGGAAATAACAGAAATGGACAGATTAACAATGCTATTGAGAGATAAGTCACTGGACTCATTCTTAGAAGAATGGAAACCTTTTTACCAATATATATCTGAGAGAAAGGAAAATACTTCATGTATAGGTTTGGAAACCTAAACCATTGAGATATATCATAGAATCATAGAGTTGGAAGAGACCTTGTGGGCCATCCAGTCCAACCCTATTCTGCCAAGAAGCTGGAAAATCACATTAAAAGCACCCCTGACAGATGGCCATCCAGCCTCTGTTTAAAAGCTCCAAAGGAGGAGCCTCCACCATGCTCTGGGGCAGAGAGTTCCACTAACTCCCCGAGTCAGGAAGTTCTTCCTAATGTTCAGGTGGAATCTCCTTTCCTGTAGTTTGAAGCCATTGGTCCATGTCCAGGTCAGCAGAAAACAAGCTTGCTCCCTCTTCTCTATAATTTCCCCCTACATATTTATACATAGCCATCATGTCTCCTCTCAGCCTTCTCTTCTGAAGGCTAAATATGTCCAGCTCTTTAAGCTGCTTCTCATGGGGCTTGTTCTCCATTTTAGTCATACTCCTCTGGACACATTCCAGCTTGTCAACATCTCCCTTCAGTTGGGGTGCCCGCAAAGCCAAAATCCCATTGGCTTTGTTTTGCTGCTGCATGGCATTTATGTATTAATAATAATATAAACAGAAGTAAACTATTCGTGGGACATAAGGTGAAAGAAAAATACAAAGTTATAGAAAAAGAGAAAATGCAAGAAATCAATTTATGTTTAGATTTATATGTATTTAGAGTAGAGATGTGTGTTGTGTAACTATATGTAATTTTTATTAGGTATGTCTGTGTTTATGTATTGTTATTATATGTTTATTTGTGTCTTTTTTTCTGTTAACCATTATAATTAAAAAATCTAGGAAAAACAAAAGGTATTACAAAAGCCTGCTTCAATAAGCTTGCCTGAAGTGATGCCCTAAGTATGAGAGGTTAAAGATTAACTTTTACCAGAGTTACGTATAAGAAATCTTTCCCAGTTTTTAAAGGTTTCATGCAGCTATTATACCTTTGCTTTCCTTGACTAAGCTCTACTAAACTTGCCTTTTAAATATATAGGATTATTCTGTAAATCAAGGGTTCCCAGCTAAGGCCCGTAGGCCGAATAGAGCCCTCCAAGGTCATTTACCCGACCTACACTTTAGACTTAAGGTTTCCCTAATTCAGAAATGACAATAACAATCTGAATCACTTAACTATCTCACCAGCCAAAAGCAGGCCTACATATCCCAATGAAATACTGGTAGGTTTACATTGGTTAAAATATTGTATTTTTCTTTTATGTTTTTTTTTTTTGCATGAGAAATAAGATATAGGCAGTGTGCATAGGGATTTGTTCATTGTTTTTTCAAACTGTAGTACAGCCCTCCAATAGTCTGAGGGACCATGAACCAGCCCTCTGCTTAAAAAGTTTGAGGACCCCTGCAAAGTGATTGAATGGCAATCATATAATGTTCAGATGTACAGCACCCGCTCATAGTTAGCAAACAGTAAATGGAGCACTTGTTTTTTCAGTGTGTGAACAGCTGACCAACCCGCAGATTTCTTTAGCAGTGTTTTCCACACATAAGCTATGGATAGGGGCACCCTGCTGCTTCAAAGCAGGTGTTTTAAATCCATCCCTACCATTTGTATAATCACGGCTATTTAGAGCACTGCCTTTGCTAGGCAACTAGTTTGTGTGTTATCATATTTACCATTTAAAATAATATGGTTATCACATTTTCAGCCTTAACCTTTGCTCCAAGGAAATTAGAAACTTCTGGTTGTCACTCTTTTCATGTTTCTGTAGTGCACAGTACACAAAGTGCTCTACAATCCTTAGATTGTGTATTACTTACAACTTGAAGTATCAGGTTTTCATAGGTTCTAACCTGTTAATTCCCCTGCTGGTGCTCTTTACCTTGTTTTCTCCCAACCTCTATGTTCTTTTGCCCTCTACCATAGTGTTTATTCACTCTTTTTCTCCACTCAACACTCACCACTTTACTAGGAGGTTGTTTCACCAAATTGCAAATTAGTTCTTGTGGATCCAGAAACAATTAACACACTGGTGATCAATGAATAAAGAAAGAAATGTATTTATGGCAAAGCAAATATAGAGGTAAATAGAAAGCAAGCTATACAATACCCAGTTTCCTCTTTCCATTTGGGAACTCCAGAAAAAGCAATAAGAAAGACCTCAATTTGGCCAATTCATGGAGCACAGTAACTCATTTATGCCTGCATCCAGGCTCCCTCTTTTGCATTGGCCAATCCTCCTGGGTAATTTCCCACCAGGTTCCTTTAATTAACTAAGGCTGAGCTGAATTCTTAAAATCATTCTCCTTAAAGCCAGAGGCCAGCCTGATAACATACTCCCCTATCCTTCAGGCTCTCTCTGACTTTGTTCCAGCAAAGATTTATAGTAATTAGGGATTCAACCAAAACATTCAAGCACCATATCACTGACTCCTCCATATACAAAAGTCTTGCATGAGAATGTTTTCCCAACAGAGGTTTTTGCTCTAAACTGTTGAGGGGCACAGGAACTCTGTAGAAGAAAGCACTATTTTTGCTATTTGACCAGTGAAGAAAGGGCTTTCCCAAATCTGCTCCCAGCTTTGTGTTTTCTGCTTATGGAAGATCTGGCACCCAGTGGCTCTAGATTAGGGATGTCAAACTCATTGAGGGTCAGATCAGTCTTATGGTTGACTTCAAAGGACTGTTGAATCCATTGATGTAGAATCTGTGGATAGGATCAACTATATATGTTTTTCATAGTTGTCAGTGCTCTTCGTTTTTTACCCAATTTGGCCCCCAGTTGTTATTGAATGATAACTTGCATCACTTTTGATTATCTGGAATACAGATTGGGGATGATGGCAATTGCAACCCAAAAGCACTTGTGGCTCTGAGGATGGGGAAAGGTTAAAGGACATTTTACTATCAGACATCATATCCACAGATCTTGTGTATACATTCAAACCACACTATTCTGACTTAACAGAATAAACTGCAGTCTTCCAGATGTTACTGTATCACAGCTTCCATCAGCTCTAGTCATTATGTCTAATTATGAGGAATATGGAAGCTATAGTCTAGATCAGGGCCCCCCAAACTAAGGCCCGTGGGCCGGATATGGCCCGCCAAGGGCATTTATCCGGCCCGCGCGGCCTGGCCTGGCGCAAAGCCCCTCGCCGTTTCTCTCTGTCCCTCCGGAGCGCCTTCAGGTGGGGTCGCGCTGGACCAGGCTTCTCCCTTTTTCTTTCCTTCCTTCCTTCCTTCCTTCCTTCCTTCCTTCCTTCCCCTTCCCCCTTTCTCTCCCCTTCCCCTTCCTTCCTTCCCTCCCTTCCCCTTCCTTCTCCTTTCCCCTCCCTCCCTCCTTCCCTCCTTTCTCCTTTCCTCCTTCCTTCCTTCCTTCCTTCCTTCCTTCCTTCCTTCCTTCCTTCCTTCCGTGTGGGAGGGAGACGCCTACTGGGTGGGGATGCCGGCCCGGGGAAGCCAGCGTTGCCACGCCCATTCCATCGTGGGGGGGGGGGGGGGTGTTCAGAATGTTCGTTGATTATAAATCCCAGGAACTACAACTCCCAAATGTCAAAATCATTTTTTTGAGTGAAGGACATACATTGGGTTGTTAGGTGTCCAGTGGTTTTTGATTTCTGTTAATCCCACAAATGAACATTACATTTTTATTTATATAGATTTATTTCCTATATTTATACCCTGCCCTTCTCCCCCTGAAAGGGGACTCATGCTTACATATTCCAAAAAACAACTTTCAAAATGACAGAAAATATAATTTTTTCCCCTCATTTTCATTGGAAATATTTTATTTTCAGAAATACTAAAGCTATCTTTTTCTATGTATTCCTATATTGCTTTCAGCAGCCCATGGTTGGGTGTGTGCACGTGTATGTGCCTTCAGGTCTCCTTTTATTTATGGCGGCCCCATGAATTTAATAGGGTTTTCTTTGAGAGGAAATACTCAAAAATAGTTTTGCCAGTTTCTTTCTCTGAAATAGAGCACCTGCTATTCATTTGTGGCTTCCCATCCAAATACTAACCAGAACTGGCCCTGCTTAGCATTCCAGGTCAGAGACATTTAATCTCATTGACTTTGCCAGGTATTATTCTTCTGTACAGTAGTCTCTGTGACCCCTGTGACCCAACCTGGACAGGCAGTCCCCAAGTTACAAACAAATTATGTTGCCCTGGCTCACCCATTGGATCTCTATTGCCAGGCAGGGCATTGAACCCTGGTCTCTCAGTGTCCTAGTCCAACATTCAAACTAGTACAACACACCACTCTCTTTAACCACTTTATTTATGAAAATTAAGGGAACTACACGATGGCTTGATCATATGGCTGAGAAATAACTTGAATCATTTATCCAGGGCAGAATCCCATATTATGAGCCCCAAATCTCCTATACTGGCCTCATATTTTTTTCTGTCCAAGTATCATTCTTTCTGGATGATTCCACTTTCACTTCTAGAACCAAAGAAACAATGTATGCCTACCTGAGCTAACTCCTCCTTTTGCCCTCTCCTTGTCTTCTGATGAGGTCTCTATAAAGGGATATGACATGACACCACATTGAAAAATGTACAAGAGAAAGAAATATTTCTGCATTTCATATAACTATTGCAAAGTCAGCTGATGATTTTCAGGCTTTTATATTTTAAATGCACCAACGTAAGTAATGATATTCAAAACAGAAAGCAATGTGTGTATATGGCTTTTTTAAAAACAGATAAGGATCATGTTCTCTCCTGACTTTTGTTTTTCTCACAAAGTAAATAACACCCCCCCCCCAGAAATACAGGAAGTTCAGCTCATTCAAGCTGACATTTAATTATTTTCTTTCATTTAAAGGAGTCCAATGACTTCTCCCAGTACCAGCTAAAAGGATTGCTTAAGAAAAGCAGCTTAAATCGGCACATAGAAAAGGTTCAAAAGGAGATGAATGAACAGCACACAGGTGAAATTCAGAGTCAGTATGAAGATGACGGGGGCTTCTTGAAAGAAGTGGAGACTAGGAGGGTTGTGTCTGAAGATACCTCTCACTACATCCTCATAAAAGGTAGCAGGACATTAATGTTCCTATTTCACATGGGCTTCAAATAATGCACAATAAAGTATTAAAATTAAGGCAAATGGACTGTCACAAATAGTTGTCATATCTTCGTTTCTGTATGATTTTGACTCTTATTGCATCAAACTAGTAATAGCAGTAAAATATTGGTTGTTTGCTTTTCCCTTCCAGGTATCCAGTCCAAAAAAGAGGTTTCCAGAGATCTACCAACAACATCTGCAAGCCATTTGCCCATGCCTGAAGATTCAAAGCCTGATGTGAATACTTCCAAAACCCTGGTTCATGAAAAACCACCTCTGTGTGATCTCTCAAAGACTGAGTCAACAAGTAATACAGATCCAACACCTCCTTCTCCCAGAACAGTTCTTGCGATCCAGGCGGCTATGCTGGGAAGTAGTTCAGAAGAAGAAATGGAAGATGAAAACAAAAACCAGTCAGATTTGGCAAAACAAAAGTATGTCTCTGATATAGATGCAGGCAATGTGTCACCAAGAACACTAAGGGCAATTCAGGAAGCTTTGTATGAAGAGGAAGATAATTTGGGGCCATCTTTTCTCAATAGTGCTGGTAATAGTCAAGATGAGAGATCTTCTGTGAAGGGCTTTCTGGTCAGCAGCTCAGATGAGGAAAGTCAGGTACCTCAAAGCCAGAGTGGAAAAGAATTTCCATTTTTACTTACAGAGCAATCTGAAAAGAGAAGCATGAATGAAGAAAGGGCATTGGGTAAGGATCAGAGTGTTCCTGAAGGCCCACACAGCCTTCTTGTGGAAAAAGAAAAAGAAAGAGGGGTGGAAATATGGTCACTCCAAAGAGACAAGAGCACAAGCAGGGACAGGCAGCAGTTGACGATGTCTTCAGCACATATTCCATCAGTTGCCCTCACTCATTCCCATTTGTCAGATGATGAAGTTGAAGAACTAAGGGAATTAGTTCACCAGCCGGAGAAAAGTGCCTCTGTTGTGCAACATGAATGTTCATTTCCTTCAGAAACAGGAAACGTTTGTGAGGAAAAAGTGGAATCTCCATCAAAGTCTGAAGAGAGTGATTCTGATGGTATGTGAACTTTAAATAAGAATTTATGATTGCATCTGACTATTCAAACTGTCATATTAGATTTTATATGTGCATGTGTCTCTCATTTATATATATATATATATATATATATATATATATATATATATATATAGAGAGAGAGAGAGAGAGAGAGAGAGAGACAGACAGACAGACAGACAGACAGACAATATGAGTGGATTTTCAAGTCCAGCTATAAAGAGTTTTATAGTAAAATGGTGTCTTATATAAAATGGCAAGATCAGGGTTTGCTTTTTGGATTTTTAAAAGATATTTTCAAAACATTGATGGTTGAATTTTTGGATGCAATAGAACTGACCATACCTCGGTGGAACATCCTACTTGTAGAAACTTGGCATATATATTTTTAGCGTTCTTTCAGATATTGAGAAATCAGAGTTGGAAGAGACCTTGTGGGCCATCCAGTCCAACCCTCTACCAAGAAGCAGGAAAATCTCATTCAAAGCACCCCTGACAGATGGCCATCCAGCCTCTGTTTAAAAGCCTCCAAAGAAGGAGTCTCCACCACACCCCGGGGCAGAGAGTTCCACTGCTGAACAGCTCTCACAGTCAGGAAGTTCTTCCTAATGTTCAGGTGCAATCTCCTTTCCTGTAGTTTGAAGCCATTGTTCCGCATCCTTCTTAAGCAAATGTTTTGCTTAAGATGGCATGTGCTTATATTTTGATCAAACTGTTTCAGGCCCTGTGAATTTTCTTTTAGTGTTTCTTGGTGTTCTTTTAAAATCTAAATTGTGAATAGCTTTGGTGTTGCTGAAAGAAAAGTAAAGGATAGGACTAAACAGAAAGGCATTTCAGAGCAGCAGTTAAAACCCATAGCTGGATATAAAGTTAATTGTTTTATTGTTCAGTCTATTTTTAGTGAGGGTTAATGGTTTTACTGCTTGTTTCTTAGTGATGTTGTTAGCTGCCCTTGCACTTTTTTAAAAAAGTGGAAAGGCAGGATAAAAATGTAATAAATACATGAGGAGCTAAGTAAAGCAAATATCCTTGACCCAACAATTATTCATGTTGTATATTTCAAAAGGTAGAACTTGAAAATTTACTTCAAAGTTTCTCTGTGTATAAGTGTGTGGGAAAGTGAAAATTTGAGTCTTTCAAGGAGCAAAACTTTAAAATCTTATATATGTGGAGGGGAAAAATAGCTGGGATGAGGGGAGGGATGTGCTGTAGGATGGTAACAACAACAACAACAATTCTTTATTGATTAGTCAATTTTGACCATATCAAAACATGCAAAACATACAAGACATACACATGCAGTAAAACCATATATGAATACAAGGCATCATGGCCTACTGGCCTGTCGACCCACTCCTAAATAATTGAGCAACTACAAGATAAAGAGGTTAAAAGATTAAAAATTGATTAATTCCTTAAAATAGGGTTAGGGTGGGGGGCATGGGTAGGTAAAACTAGTGGCGTGTCCATATTAAGTTTTTAAGTTTGAGTTTTGTTGATGGCAGCAAGGTCGCCTCTCTCTGCTTCCATCTTCTCACAGATGGCCAGCGCTTTTTGGGTAAAAAGGGTCAATTTTAAGATAGAGTTTTTATCTGAACCCTGAAGGAGGATGTGCAATATCTCCTTATTCTCTAAATGAATATGGTTCTCCAGCAGAGGCTCTAGGTAGTAAGACCGGATCCTGTTGTAGTAGGGACATTTTAAGAAAAAATGTTCTGAGTCCTCCACTTCTGCATCTACCTCACGGCAGCCACAGGTTCTCCTCGTGTAGGGGATATTCTGATGTCGTCCCAACTTGGACTTAATGTCGAGCTGCTCAAATCTAGCCCGGGTAAAAAAATTTCTAATATAGAGTGGAAGTATAAAAGAGAGGTAAGGTTCCATGCCCACATTACATTTAAATTTGGCCAGGTATGGAGTAGATCTAGCTTGCGCTATGTTCATTAGATAATTTTGTGCAGCAATGTCGAGAGCTCTTTGGTATACAATTGAGCATATATTTGCCCCAAAATTTGTTAACTCATGGGGGGCAAAACCTAACCTACTAACTTTGTGGCCAAATCTGCTAAGCCAAGACGACCACTCTTTGTGGTTTTCTTGTTCTAGAAGGCATAGGGCTGAGTGTCTGTGTGGTTGCATTTGTCTTATTTTGTACCACCAATTGATCTGCCTCTTCAGAATTGTGGTGGAGATTGGGGGTACTCCCGTCTCTGCTCTCACTGCAGCTGACAGGGATGATCTCTCCACACCTAAGCCAATTTTCAGGTGGCGCAGTTGGAATCTCTCTACCAATAAAGGGTCTTGCTCACCCCATATTTCAGCTCCATACAGAGCGATGGGGAACAACTTTGCCTTAAGAACCTTCAGAAAGGGGCGCAGAGAGCCCGGGTAATTGTGGTTGCATAATTTATGAATTGCCTGTGCAGCATTATCAGCTTTTGCAATACTTAATTTTAGATGTTGGGTCCATGCCCCTCATGCCGCAAAATGAAGACCTAAGTATTTAAATGTCCTCACTTGCTCCACTTTGTGCCCGTCAAGGTGCCAGTTGGAAGCCTTAGCTTTCTTACCAAAAACCATTATTTTGGATTTTTCTTTATTTATAGTGAGGACATTTTCAGTACAATATTGGCTAAGATTTTGCAGGGACCTCCTTAACCCGACTGGGGTAGTGGATAACAATAATATGTCATCTGCGTATATCAAGATATTTGTCTCCCTATCCATAATCTTTGGACCGTGACATTCTTTCATATTCAAATATTCCACAATATCATTAATATAAAAATTAAAACAGAACGGAGGCAACGAACAGGATGGTAATAAATATTTGGAATGATGTAAAGTGAAGGTCAGCATTTTCTTTGGATAGGGATATAGTTCTATATGAGGCTGTGCTAAAATTACAGGTTCTTTTTATCCATCCACATGTCCTGTTGCATCCTATTGTAATATTTCTGTAGGTCTTCTCTTCTGCTCCTCTCATTTTCATCCATTCTTTTGCCTCTTGTACGTCCATTTTGAGATCTCTAGACCAGAGGCAGGCTGAAGCCTGCTGTCCTTTTTCCTCTTTTATAGATATAGTTGTCAGGAGAAGCAGGTTACTTTGCTGGAAAGATCTCTACAATGGAAATATTCTCTGGGGTCCCCCCCAAACAGATTGCTAACAGAACTAGTGTGCTACAGAGATTAAGAAGCTTTTTTGTGCTTTGATCAGGTAGCTTCATTGAAGTGGATGCTGAGCTAAGTGAAGAATTTCAGGAGAAAACACATGAGACACCTCTTTCCTCATCTGCTCAAATGGAGGAGACGATGCCCAAAGATGCAGTGGATATAAAAGGAGGAAGTGACAGCACCATAGAGAGCCTGCCAGAAAGTTCTGGTGAAGATGCAGAGCCACTTACATTGCAGGATGCCGAAATAGAAGGCAAAGAGGAAGGTGCAGTTAATGAGTGGCAAGATATTAGTATGGTAAGAAATTTTGCTATCACTGACGCTATGCAAATAATAAGGAAAGAGCCATGAACCGGAGAAAGCTACCTTCTTTTTTTCTTCTTCAGTAATTTTTATTAAATGTGGTAGAAAAACAGTTCCACAACATGAACAGTAATATTTGAATCATCTGAAGAACAACATCAACCACACAGTTAGTTGCATTAAACAAATGCCTACAAAAGAAGATCAAGCATCATATGATAGTATACAAAGGGATCTTGTAGCACCTTAAAGAGATAACAAAGTTGGTAGCATAAGCTTTCATAGACCCCATGTACACTCACCATTTAATGCAGTTTCATACCAATACTTGGATCCCTGGTGGTACACTGGGTTAAACCCTTGTGCCGGCAGGATTGCTGACAATAGGTCAGTGGTTGGAATCCGCAAGATGGGGGTTGAGCTCCCTCTACCCGCTCGAGCTCCTCATGCGGGGGACATGAGAGAAGCCTCTCACAAGGATGGTAACACATCAAACATCCAGACATCCTCATGGCAACATCCTTGCAGACAGCCAATTCTGTCACACCAGAAGTGACATGTAAGTTTCTTAAGTTACTCCTGACACGGGAAAAAAATACTGAAGAAAGTGGTTTCACTGTACAGATGATTACATAGGAAATCCTGGAATCAGTTTGAGGCACTCATGGTGATTACACAAACCAGAGAGCACTGATGAATTAAGGACTTTTTTGGTGGGATTTCATTGTCTGGCTGCCATAGATTGAAGCTTCAACCTGCATTAAATGGTCAGTGTAGATCTTTAAGGTGCTATAAGTTCCCTTTGCATACTGATATTGCAGATTAACATGTGTATGTCTTTTAATTATATAATATGACATTTCATCATTCCATAAACCGAAATGAATAATTGGAGGAACAAATGTTTCTTTGTATTACCATAAGAAAGAAAAGGAAGCCAACTTACTCAAAAGATTTGTGGTCCCTGTTAATTTTAACACTTTTTACTTGATAGGTCATTTTTTTCCTTCAAAGCCATATTCCATAATGTATTTTTCCATTCACCTACCAAAAATCCCACTGCACTCTTCAAATATCAACAATTTGCTGATCAAACTGATAATTTCATAAAAGAAGCCAGGAATTTGGGAGTTTAATCATTGAAGATTGCATTCTTAAAATATTTTGTTCGTATTTCTCATAAATTTACTATTAAGATAGTAATTTTTTGTGCAGATATTTGAAAGGATGCACTTGCTTTCCACAAGGGCAGCCGCTATGATTTCCCTATAACTTAGAACAGGTCTTGAAAAAAAAATGCTTTTTGGATTATATCTCCCAGTATCCTACAGCTGACCATTGACCATATTACATGTAATCCTGAAATAAACTTTTCTTTATTTTGTTCTTCAGTTGGGGTTAAGGTTTTCCTTCTCATGATTGGTTTGCCACTTGTAAGTTACCTGGCTCTATCTGCAGTCATGAGAATTAGCAATTTGGGATTTTCTTTGAAATGAAATTCTGAGTTAAGATTCCAGCTCTCTTGATGTGTAACCTAAATCAACAGAGTCTTCTAACAAATTCTCCATTTAAAGTTGTTGTCTACTGAATATGCAGTTTTTGAGATTTTGCCTTTAACAGAGTAATTGTGTTACAGGAGGAATTGGAAGTCATGGAAATGAATCTTTCTGCTGAACAAAACACACTTCATGCTCAGAAAAAACAGCAGGAACGCATTGCTGCCACTGTGACAGGACAGATGTTTTTAGAAAGTCAGGTACATTCCATTTTCTATTCCAACTTGTTTGTTCCTAGAAATTTCCAATTTACAGAAGGACAAACTCTGAAAGTTAAAGTGTTGTGTGGTTTCCGAGCTGTATGATCGTGTTGACTTGGAAAAAATATCAAGTCAGGTACAGTTGAAAGGAGGGATCGGACTACAGGTATAAGTTGCTTTATACATTTGTATTCATTGGGGTGAAAAATAGTGTTTCTTTTACAATTTGTTTAGTGCTAGTGTTGCCATTTCAACCCCATGGAAGTATTACAAGGCTGTTGTGTAGCTTACATGCCTCCCTTTTACATTGTGAAATAAAAACAGACTATATTGAGGAGGAAAGGCATTCAACTGATAACAGTGTTTTGCTTCAATTGACAGAGTTGGAAGGAAGGAGAAAAGAGCCTTAATAAGAAACTAGTACTAATTGAAGTGAAGCGCTGGAAATAGATACTTTTGAACATAGAAAGAAAAAATACATTTTAATTTAAAAATGGTGGATATGATATTTATATTAAGGTGTTTATACCACCCCATATTTTATTTATATATGTACAATTTATTACATGTATAGCGCATTGTTTCTTCAGAGACCTCAAGATGGCGTATGTGGCCCTCTTTCCTATTTTATTCTTCTAAAGGACTCAAGCTTCTGAAGGCAGAGAGAGAGGGAGAGGTGTCAGTGATAAAAGGAGCAAATTGCCTACTTATTTCCTTTTGCCGCTTTGCATATTAAATATTTCTTTCGCATCAGGCTGCTGGCAGAATGATTCTAGGGAAGAGACGTATACAAATGAATATAGCTTTTTAAAATAGCATCACTGAAAGTGGATGCAAAAGCTAGTAAAACAAGGTAATAATAATAATAAATAATAGAACTGCAAGGACTCTGGCACAAGCCAGTAAAGGTGGTCCCAACGGTGATTGTCACACTGAGTGCAGTGCCTAAAGACCCTGGCCTGCACTTAAAAACAATTGGCGCTGACAAAATTACCATCTGTCAGCTCTAAAAGGCCACCCTATCTGGTCCTGAACACATTATTCGCTGATACATCACACAGTCCTAGACACTTAGGAAGTGTCCGAAGTGTAATCAAATACAAAAGCCAGCATAGCGATCTTGTTTGCTGTGTAGTAATCTTGTTATCTATCAAATAATAATGAATTTATTACTTGCCTCTTCCTGTGGCTCAAGGTGGGATACAGCATCATTAAAACAACAGATAAAACAGTATTAAAAGGCATACATCAATTATTTTGGGAATCCTTTGGAAGCAGTGAGCCCACCTAGAAGCAGTTCCCAAACTTTTGGGTCATGGAACAGTTCAGAAAAGTTTTACCTCACAGAACACTAACTCTCTCCTAAACAATGGGAAACCATTTTATTTTTCTAAAGCTGAAGTACATTGAATTTCAGTAAAACCTTAATACTCTTAGCATGTATCTATCTTATCTATCTATCTATCTATCTATCTATCTATCTATCTATCTCACGAAACCTCTCTGATGCTTTTGTGGAACCCTAGAATTTGGGAACCACGGTTGCCTAGAGCATAATATCAAGTCTGACAGCTGTTCCTTAAAAGCTTTCAACCCTTTGCTATACATTTTTCTAGGAACTCTAATGTAAGGGATCAGTCCAAATTTTCTTTTTCTTTTTAGGTACATCCCTAGTTATTTTTCATCTTCTGAAAATGGGGGTGTTTTGTGAAAAGTGCTTTAAGTTTTTTCTAATGCATTTAACAAATAGAAGATTTGGGTTGAATTGAGCTCAAAATTTCCTGTCGTATATTTAGTGTCAATAGTGTCCTGGTTACTCAGTTACACAGCTTACAATCTGTAGATAGCAAGTTCCCATGGAGACCAGTTTTGAGATTATATCTGGATATATAGCTTTTGCTACATGATTACATTCAGGTAAAAATTCAAATCACATTAAATAGAAAAGTGTGAATGCCATTGCGTTTTCACTATGACATAATATAGTTGCGATTTGTGAAGATACATAAAAACGAACACTCCCTCCTCCCCCCCCCCCAAAAAAAGAGAGTTGTCTTTAGAAAATATTCCCCAAAGAATAGCACAGTACAACATGTTAATGTAATGATTGAAAGTGGATTAATGGCAGATGACAGAACTATTTTACAGCACACAGTTGATTCCTTCCCATTGCAAAAGCTTGTTTTTGATCAGACATAATGGAGGAAGGTTCTTTATTATGCACTCAGATTGGTGCAGCAAAGTTTCGTGTGCCTGCTTAAGCATCCGTATAATAGAGCACTTTGCAAAATTGATTTCTTTAGTGAGAATATTTGCATAATCCTGCATTGCTTCATGTGATGCTGGTGACAACATCAAGTAGCGTCTTGCAGTGATAAAGAAGCCATTAGAAACACAAATGGAAGTTTCACATCAAATGTAGAGCCAGTAAAGTCAGTTCAGAGATTTCAGCCACATGGCATAAAGTGATATGCAGAGATGGGCGAATCATTCCTTAATTAGACCTAATTAGAGGAAAATATTGGAATCAAGTAGAGCAGTGGTTCTCAACCTGTGGGTCCTCAAATGTTTTGGCCTTCAACTCCCAGAAATCCCAATAGTTGGTAAACTGGCTGGGATTTCTGAGAGTTGTAGGCCAAAACACCAGGGGACCCACAGGTTGAGAACCACTGAATTAGAGGAAAAAACCGAGACCTAATTAGAGGAAAATATTGGAATCAATTAGAGGAAAAAAACTGGACTTATCTGACTTTCTTTACAGGAGCTTCTGCGTCTCTTTGGTATTCCATACATTGAAGCCCCAATGGAAGCGGAGGCTCAGTGTGCCATCTTAGACCTTACTGATCAGACCTCTGGGACAATCACAGATGACAGTGATATTTGGCTCTTTGGAGCACGGCATGTGTATAAAAACTTCTTCAGTCAAAACAAGTATGTGGAGTATTACCAGTATGTGGATTTTCAGAATCAGCTGGGTAAGGCCAAATACTTTGTTTACACAGAGCGTTTGTACTCTGGGTGTTTCTATGCTACTTCACACATATCATCCGATTTATGTAGTATATTTTGATCATTATGATTTCACTGTGTGAGTATAGCACTATTTATTTCACATCAAAGTGGTAGATAGCCAAATAGAATCTTTTTTTTTCTTTTTTAAAGGGATTTTAGATTGGTGGTTTACTCTTAATTTGGCAGCAGGTGCCCTTGTGTTCAGTGGAAGTAGGCATGGAAGTATAATGAGAATTGTCTAATGCACGAGAAAGAGGCCAGGTTAGGGAAAAGATGACTCTATGTTTTCCAAGGTTGCTTTCTGGGGGCCCTTCCACACAGCCATATAACCCAGAATATCAAGGCAGATGTGTGGGAAAAAAATGCCCATAAATCATATACTGCAACAGTTTGCCTTCCCTAATTCTTCTAATATTTGATTGCTTTAGTATACTCAGAAATTGAAGATTTGTCTTTTTTGTAGTAAGTCTTTTTGTGCATTCTCTTATTTCAATATCTACTTTGAACTGGATTATCTGAGTCCACACTGCCATATAATCCAGTTCAATGTGGATTGTAAAGAGCTGTGTGGAAGGGGCCTGGGATTCATCTAATAGTTCTGAATAATACCTGTTTTGAATTGGAGGAGTATCTAGAACTAAGTGAAATTTAGCATTTTAATTAAAGTACTCTTAAAACATGATTTCAGAGAAAGATTAGTCAAAGCGAACAAGGGATACTGGGGCCAGATGCCATAAAAATGACCTGGAGAAACTAGTGTGAACTATTCCATCCCTGGTCACATACCTTAGGTACACCCCACTTGGAGTACTGCTATGTGCTGTGCATGGAGCTGCTCTTGAAGGGTATTTGGAAACTTCATCTGCTCCAAAGAACTGTAGTCTGGTTGCTGACAGGGGTTGGCTACAGGAAAGACATACCTCTCTTGTTGCAATAGCTTTACTAGCCACTGATCCATTTCTGGGCACAATTAAAATTGATGATTTTGACTTATAAAGCCGTATATGGCTCATGTTTGGGGTATTTGAAGGACTATATTTTCCACTTATGAACCAGTCTGTGCTACTAAATAGCCCCTTGTCTTGTTTTTGTCCTGCCCCTCACATGTGGGCATGTGGAAGAGGATCTTCTCAGGCCTCATTTGCACTGCCTTATTATGCAGTTTGAAACTGCATTATATAGTTAGTGTAAATCAGAGTTTCTCAAAATGTGCTCCTTCAGATGTTTTGAACTTTAGCTCTTACAATTCCTAACAGCTGGTAAGCTGGCTGGGATTTCTGGAAGCTGAAGTCTAAAACACTTGGAGGAGCACAGTTTAAGAAACACTGGTGTAGATGCATATACTGCAATGCAGTTTAACTGCATTGAACTGCATTATAGAAGTCCACACAGATCATATAATGCAATTTCAAACTGCATGACACGGCAATGTAATTGGGACCTTAGAGACTTTCTCCAGACTCATTGACTTCATAAGCCTGTTCCACCAAAATAATGTGCTGAGTCTTACTAATCGTTGTGCTGATGTGTGTGTGCATGTTTAATGTTTGCTTTAATCTTGTTTCAATTTTTCAATCATCTAATTTTTTTATCTTATGCATTTTTTAAAAAAAATGTATATTTTTAATTTATTGTAAGCCACTTTGATTCCCAAATTAGGAAGAGGGTAAGATAGAAGTCATCACCATCACCACATCATCATAATTATCATGGAGCCCCCGGTGGTGCAGTGGGTTAAACCATTGTGCCTGCAGAACTGCTGACAGAAAGGTCGGCGGTTCAGATTCGGGGAACAGGGGGAACTCATGTCTGTCAGCTCCAGCTTTTCATGCGGGGACATGAATGAAGTCTCCCATGGGATGGTAAAACATCCAGTTGTCCTTTAGGCAATGTCCTTGCAAATGGCCAATTCTCTCACACCAGAAGCAACTTGCAGTTTCTCAAGTCGCTCCTGACACACAGAAAAATCATCATCATCATCACTATGTAAACATATGAAGATTTAGCAGAAGAATCCAACTTTGTGTTTGAGAATTTCTGGATATGAACTGTTAAATGTACTTTTTATCTTCAATGCTTTTGCATACTATGTATTCAGAGCATGCAGTGGCCTCTTTTTCTAATTGACAAAATGAATGAATCTTTCTTAGTGCAAACATACTAATTCTGTCACATATGGTTTACTTCTTCTTTCCTTCAGGCTTGGATCGAAACAAGTTAATTAATTTGGCCTATCTCCTTGGCAGTGATTACACAGAAGGCATTCCTAGTGTTGGCTATGTAACAGCGATGGAGATTTTGAATGAATTTCCCGGACGAGGACTGGAACCTCTCTTAAAGCTGACGTACGTGATTTTTCTCTCAGGCAGCTAATGGCTGTCTTCCAATGTTTGTTTCTTTTTCATCACAAACATTACGAACCCAGAGATCTGACTTCTGCAAACACAGAAATGTTGACTTAAATCAAAAGAAGCAGTCACAGTGTTGGGTGTTTGTCTTCTGATTTCTAAAAGAGTCTTGGCCTTAGCTGCAGTAGGATTTATGCAACCTCTTCCTCCATATAGTCCTTATTGCTGCATAGAATAATCAACTGGTGTTTGGGGACTGAGTGTGTACTGAGAACTTTGGTCTGTTTTCATTGCTGCAATCCTCTTGCCTAGGTGGAACCAATGTTTGTATTATATTGCAGAATTGGGAATATTTTTGGAAATTACAGAGGTCAAGCCAATTCTGACAGAGGACTCTAAAGATTTCCAATTAAATCCTTGCAATGAAGTTATTAATCCCCGTGATAGATATAATGACCAAAATAATGATCAAAAAGCTGCCTTGCTTTGATACTTCGTGTGTGCTAGAGATTTCATTTTTAATGGAGTTGTGATTTTTTTTCAGGGAATGGTGGACTGAAGCTCAGAAGTGTAAGAAAACACAGCCCCACCCGTATGATACTAAAGTGAAGAAAAAATTGAGGCAGTTGGAAATTGCACCTGGTTTTCCAAATCCTGACGTAGCAGAAGCGTACCTGCATCCTGTGGTGGATGAATCCAAGGGGTCATTCGTGTGGGGAAGACCCGACTTGGAAGAGATCAGAGAATATCCTTTCCCCTTTGTTTGTCTCTTCCTTGTTAAACTGCCATTCTTCTATTAACTATATACTTTCCAGTAGATGCTTTGTATAGGTGAATTGTATACACCCATGTATGATAGGGTGCAGTTTGTGTTGTTGTTAAATTCTATAGTTAGCCAATGGAAACCTGTCTTTTAAGTACAAAAGGCAACTATAATTTCTCTGGCTCGAGAAATGCTTGAAAATGTTTTAAGAGTGAAGATAATTTCACAAATTTTACAATTACCTAAACCTTTAGTAGTAAAGAAAGTTTCAATTTTTGTGTGGTCATCACACGACTACATAGAACTTTTATAGATTTGTGAAATACAAATGACACTTCTTGTTTTCTCTATATGGTGCTGTTCTAAGAATTTCCTTTAATTTTTTTTTCATTTAGTTCTGTTGATGACCCTTAACTGTTTATACCTTTTGCCAGAGCCATTTTGGCTGGAATAAGTTAAAAACAGACGAAGTCTTGCTTCCTGTTCTGAAACAACTGAATGCTCAACAGGTATTAATTAAAATAGGACATTGTGAACTTAGGCAGTTGTCTGGGTGATAATAAGTAATAAAGTGTCAGGTTAGTTTTATTCACAGCTGATAAACATTGCAATGAGAAGCTATATATCTGTAATTAAACCATCTTGTATGATCATGAATTGGCAATTGTCACTCTGAAAGTGTGGCATCATTAAAAATAAAACCAAAAAAGCAGACGATGGGTGAAAAAAGAATTTGATCTATCTCAAAATATGAGATAAGCAACAGTGATATTACAATGGTGCGTTCCACTTCAGTTGCTTCACAATATACATTGAAAAATGAATAATGCGCTATTTATAAAATGTGTGAAGAACTTGAATAGATTCTACCAATGACATATGAGAAAGCAGTGAAATAAGTTAATTTCAGAGCAAATCTCTTCAGGGCAGGCTGCAATAAATTGCATTTCTAGTGTTTGCTGCAATACATATCTTCTTCCTTTTGGTGTTTCAGTGTGGATTGTCCCTACTGAGCCAGGGAAGAAGCACAAGTGCAGCATGGGGGAGACCACTCTTTAGCCACAACCAGGCAAACAAACAAACAAACAAACAAACAAACCCCAAAACAAAAGCCTCACGATTCTTAATTCACTGTGGTGGTATTGGCATGACATGGTTGGTCACTCATTACCTGGAGTTATAGTTTGCCTCTCAGAAGCTACATGATGCCATTGTTTCCATTGGTTTACATTTGTCAGAGTTACTTTAGGAGATTCCTGTTTTCATTGGTTGATGTACCCATGCGTTCTGCTACCATATGACTTCCTTTGTTTTCCTTTCGTACAAGACAGCACCAGCGTTACATTTTTCTTATAAGCATAAATCATTTAGTGGATCTGATTTGGTTAACGAACCCCCTTTTTAGAGGAAATGTGGATTCTGCTCTGAAGCCATAATTTACACAGTCTCCAGTCTGTTAAAATGGTCTAAATGTATTCAACTACAAGTAGTAACGACTTATAAATAACCAGAATCCTGGTGATGGACATAAAGGGATTTGCAGTTGGCTTGTGTTCAAAGCTCCTGATTTTTAAACTCAGGAATTGGCATGAACAATCTCTCTACAGGTGGCTTGAAAATTTGCCAGGAATGATAACACTCCTCTTCTATTCCAGTAGACTTGAAATTATTGTCAGGATGTAATTGGCCTCCTTACAACACATAACTTGCGATGTCATGGTTAAAAAAGGAACCATCCAGATTGCTTTCTTTCATGTTCATTGTCCCTGTATTAGGGCAGGTAACTTTCCCACAGAACTCTCTTTTGTTTATTGAAGGAAACCATCCATATGAAATGGCAGAGTAGTCACACGCTGTATGATGCTCATAATCCCTGCATTTACAGCTGCCAAAAAGTATCTAAACAGATTACTTGCTTCATGTAGCAATTGGCTAGAAATTGCTTAAGAGGCACCATTTAAAAAGACCACCATTTATGAACTGGTGTGCAGATACTAAACACACAGAAATGACACACAATTTCATTCAATAGTTTGTCAAATAATCTAAAGACTATTGTATCATCCTGGATGAGAAAAGCTGCGTTCATATGTAGAAAGAACCCATTGAAAACATCTACAAAAACTTATCAACTACTGTGTGAGATTTATTATCCCCGAGCTGGATTTATCCCTGCTTGTGAAAGCCTTTTCCTTGGATTCAGAGCAAAGTAAAAAGTGTAGCAAATAGTCCAGCAATTGTTCTCCGGATTAAGCCAGCTGTGCATATTTATTGATCAGTACTATTGATTCTTCCCACTACCTTCCTTTTGCTCTTAATGTGGATCACAGAGGACTATCCAAAGTCACAAGATACTCCAATTCTGGGCTGGGAATGTGTGGCTTCCATCTAGAATCACCTTTTATCCATCACTATGGTGATGCGGCAGCTAAAAAAGACAATGGGATTTTGGCCTGCATAAATAGGAGCATAGTGCCTAGATCCAGGGAAGTCATGCTACCCCTCTATTAGAGCCTTGGCCAGACCACACCTGGAATACTGTGTTCAATTCTGAGCACTGCAATTGAAGGGAGATGTTAACAAACTGGAATGTGTCCAGAGGAGGGTGACTACAATGATCAAGGGTCTGGAGAACAAGCCCTATGAGGAGCAGCTTAAAGAGCTGGGCATGTTTTGCTTCCAGAAGAGAAGGCTGAGAGGAGACATGATGGCAATGTATAAATATGAGATGGGGAAGTCATAGGGAGGAGGGAGCAGGTTTGTTTTTTGCTGGTCTGGAGACTAGGATGTAGAACAATGGCTTCAAACTACAGGAAAGGAGATTCCACCTGAACATTAGGAAGAACTTCCTAACTGTGAGCTGTTCAGCAGTGGAACTCTCTGCCCCCGGGGTGTGGTGGAGGCTCCTTCTTTGGAGGCTTTTAAACAGAGGCTGGATGGCCATCTGTTGGGGTGCTTTGAATGCGATTTTCCTGCTTCTTGGCAGAGGGTTATATTGGATGGCCCATGAGGTCTCTTCCAACTCTATGATTCTGTGAGCAACTAATTGAGTGTCAGTTGAGAAGAATGAATGAAAAACCCAATGGGTTAAAGTGAACTGGCCTGCTTAAATTGCATAGAACTCACAGTGTCCTTAAGAAGGAGGTAACTAACTAGCTGCCAATCTGAATGCCCACTAATGAGTAAGGATACAATACAACTTTTCTTCTGCTAACCTGTCTTGTGGAATGCCTCTCTTTCTTGTAGACTCAACTCCGTATCGACTCCTTCTTCAGGCTTGCACAGCACGAGAAGCAAGCCATCAAGAGCCATAGGGTTCGTAGGGCTGTGACTTGTATGAGGAGGAAGGAGCGAGAAGAAGAGGAAACTGAAGTCTTGGAGGCTACTGCAGTCCTAGAGGAAGAGTTTAAGAAAAGGGAAAGAAAGAAACGCAAGCAAAGTGAAGAGCAAGGGGCATGCACTACACAGAGCCTCCGAGGCAAGAGAAAAAAGCAACCGCCACATGCGAATCAGAGTGTTTTGGGGGGAGGTTTCATAGGGGAGATTCAACTCTCAGAGGCATCTAGTGAGTCTTCAGCTGAAGATTTGGAGAATGAAATCTTGGGCAAGAGCAAAAGAGAAAAAGCAGCCAAGGTGCTTAAAACGGACACTGGGTGTCACAAAACCAATCTGGGATGTGAACTAGCATGGGATGAAGCAGGGAGTAGCAGCTCCAGTGAGGAAGAAAAAATGCCAATGGTGAGAGCCAGGCCTGTATTTGGCGGTGGGAAAGCAAGGGGCAAATCTTCCAGGGGAAGACGAAAGAAACAGTGTTAGCTAGCAATGTGATTTTTAAAGAAATTGTTTTGTGAGCAACACAGTGTAATCTTCACTAAGTAAAAATTCCCACCTGTATTGTGTTTTTGTATGTTTTGGTACTATTTATTTGTATCAGAGGAATGTTTGCAAGCTTGAGTTGAAGGTAATACTAATCAAGGTGATACTATGAATTATTTTATCAAGATGATACTAAATTTCCCACCCTTAAGGAAACTTCCAAAATAATAAATATGAATTAGTCTCCCTCAGGAAATTTCTGAAGGTAAATCGTGATGTGTTGTATGTTTTCTTCATAAATGAATTGAAATTGTTTTGTAATGTTGCCAGCCTGTCACTCAGCTTCACACTTCATGGAATGTGATGAGTGGCTTATCGTACAGGGTTTCTGCAATCTGCTAGAAGAAAGTATTTTGGCCCGCTTCAGTTCCTTCATACTTTATTTTTTGCCTATTCTCAAGAGCAATTAAGTGTAGCATTCAGTGCAAAACTGTATCCTATGGGAGAGGGACAAATGGTTATTCTTCAGCTGTAAAGCATGTGAAAAATATATTAATGAATAATGGCAAATCAAGCTGAGACAATAAAAGGAAAATAGGGGCATACATTTCCCTTAGCATAACAAAGAGAGAAAATTAGTCAGATTTGCTAAGTTCAAAGGCAATTCATTCAAACTCTTATAAAATGAGTCATAGCTGGTGTCTTTTTCTTCATTTTGCCCAAATAGAATACAGCTACTCAACACTATTTTAACAGGCAGAAAAGAGTAGGAAATGCTTTGCTCTTGTTGACAATTGTAAAATGTTCAGTGGTTTTTTAAAAAAATCTTAAATCTTTTTTCTGCTTTAAAGAAAAGTGTGTGGAAAGTAATACACACCTGATTTGTGATGTCATAAAACCAAGAAATGGACCCAATAACATTTGGAATCGCTGAAGGGAAACAGCTGCATTTTGCAGAAAAGGGGCAATTAGGATTACTGGGAAGCTGGAATAACTTTTCCTTTAGGATAAATTACAAGATTTGTATTTTATTTAGCCTAGGGATAAAAAGGCAAATCAAAGGTTGGAATTTGATGAGCTGTTCAGTATTAAGCATCCTGTGGAAAACACTAGAACCTAGACTCCAGTGAAGCTGAAAGGTGGAAGATATACACTAGACCTAAAGAGTCACTCACAAAGCTAAATCCAAGATTTAATATCAGGTTGTAGTGGTTACAAATAATAACCATTGGAGCAGATTGCAGCAGATGTCAAGGTGGAAATAAACTCTTTCCTCCCTATGTGCAATTTCTGTGTAAATTTATGTTGTCATGATTTTCTGTGCTTTTGTACTGTGTATTTTATGTGTGTGCTTTTGTAAGCCACCCCGAGTCTCTTCGGGAAGATGGTGGTGGGATATAAATAAAGTTAATTTATCAAAGTTTATGTATTTTGCTGCAGCTTTTAGGAAAGGGCTTCATTTGAAGTCACTCTTTGAATCTAGAGGGCATTTCCCATTGGCTCCAAGTACTCTGAGGAGGTTTTTTTTAGTCCAAATAGGACTTTTTACTGCATGTATGTGTGTGTGTACACACACACACACACACACATACACACACTCTTCTAGGAATCCCTAGGCTGTTGGGTGACAGCTGGAAGTTGACCCATATGGAAGTTGACCCAGCTGGAAGTTGACCCATATGGCTACCCTAGAGGACCTAAAGATTTCTAGAAAGAACGTGCCAATCAAATCTGTGAATAATCAAATCCTCAAAAATTAAATCTGAAAATGTGGAAGGCCGATTGCATACATAGTGAGTTGACAAGAAATTACCTTCTGTGAAGGTGACTTACAAAAGCTCTGCCCTATCATTCTGTTTAGTGTAGTATTTCATAACGGTAACAAATCCATCCTTTCAGGCATGGAGATTTTATAGACCGTGTCGCATTTCATCAGCCATGTCTCTGCTGATCTGAGCACAGTTCAGTCCTGCTGATACTTTCTAAAGTTTGTAGGAAGATGTTACTGTTGACTTATATAACCTTCGTCACTTACCCCAGAATTAATCTTGGATTAAGACATTTCAGGAACCATCCTTATTTAGAATGTGTTATGATCTTGGGTTGACTTTGAGGTGAAGCACAGGTGTAAAATATTCCTGGTCACTAAAATATACTCATCCATGAATGTAAGGGAGAGTCAAATAAGGAGAATAGAATATGAGGGAACAAAATGTGCTGGGAATTGTGGAAGCTAGTCCAAAGTATCTGGGGAATGGTCTCATTATTGGTGACTGATTGTAGCGACATGAATGCTAGAGATTCTTATTTGGTCAGAGTCAGTAATTAATTTTTTTCTCAGAAATTTCCCTTGATTGTAGCAATGTGTATTGCTTTATTTCTAACATGTATGCCAGATTACTTCTATACATTAGAAAAATCCAGGAGGTGGCAGCAGCAACCTTGTAGCAGTAAGAACACCCATTAAAGCAAGGTGGGAGACCCTGAGCCCTGCAGAATGTCAACAAGGTATTACTTTGCATTGGTCGGGCTTGTTGATGCTGATGAAAATGGAACTGTTTCTTCATCAGCTGGATCAAGAGTTCCCCATTTAAGTGCTAAGTGCTGATGTTCATGGGTTACATTAAGTAGTGGCAGCAGTTCAAAAATCTTATCAAACTATCATACAGGCTCACATGCATACCAGTTGACACTCCCTTGTTCTATCATGCATCTATGTAGGATCTGCAGTGGTTGATATTAGGTGTGCCGCCCATCCCCCAGTCCCTGGTATTTATCACTGTTTTCCAAACTTTGGAAAATATATGGGATATATATTTTAAAATATGCTATGTAGCCATTACAACAAGATGAATGCTGTTCAGTTTTGTCCTTCCAGCTGCCTCTCTGATGTGTGGGCTGGGCCTTGGTAGTTCAGATGTAGTTGAACTTCAGTTTTCATTAGCTTCCAGCCATGGATTGGGCTGCAATTGGGAGCCAAGATGTGCAATGATTGGGCATGAAACATTTACAGCTAGAAGAGCCCAGGATCTTGTGTGATGCTTCAATTGAGAGGCTAAATTCATAGGCATATTTATTTATATAATAATTCACTTAAAAACAAAAGGAATTGTAGATATGTAGAAGAAAATCCTTGTTAAATTGCTCTGTGTTGTGGGAGATTAAAGGTGTGCTTATAGAGAACATTTCAGAACCTACCTGATGTTGCCACAACTTTAATGGAAGCATGCTACAGATTTGTAGAACTTTCATAGCACTTTCTGAAAGAAAAGTACACTTGTCTTCAAAGTAGTGAATATATTTCCACATTAGCTTCTCTCTCCCTGACTCATTATGCATAAGTATTTTTCTGGTTCTTACTAGACTTGTGCATTTCAGCTTAACCTCAAGCCATTTCTGCTTTCCAGATTCGGGGTGGGGGTGGGGGGGAATGCAGCTTGATCCGGCCCATTGGTGACAATTGGGGGGGGGGATTCCTGAGCTTTCCATTCTGTCATTTTTAGGACTATTGGGATGTAAATGGCCACACTTGGAGGACACACTGACTACTGATGGCCCATAAAGTTTCACAACGGTTGGGTCATCCCCTGATTTTTAGGAATTTATTTAAGGAGAAATAAAATATCCTTTAAATTCCCAAAAAGGTATCCCTCACTGTCCCCGCCCCGTAACTTCTCCAGGAGTAGCACTAGGGCAACATTTCTTCCTGCCAAATGTCAAAGATGTACTTCCACACACAGCCCACTATTACACTTTCTTTACTAATAAAAAAAAAAACCAGAAACTTCTTCCAAAGTTTTTGCATTTATTGTTCTCACAACATGTTGGAAGCAAGTAGGCAAGCAGCATGTTCCCTTAGTAGAAAAACACTTTGTATGATCCAGAAATGATTAGGTGTTGGTGGTAAGTTTAGGTATAGGTAGTTTTTCTGAGAATAAGGCGCTGCTGTTTGCTGGAATTCCTATAATTATTAATAATAATCTTTTAACAGTACTACTTTCTGAAAGAGAGGAGGGAGGAGAGATAAGAGAAGAAGTTAAAGGCTCAGAGCCACCCTAAAATAAAAGCACACCCACCCATCCACACTTTCTAACTCCCAGTCCAACTAAATAAATAATCCAGAAAATAAAGGAAAATCAGTGCTACAGAGAGGCCAAGCCAAAAGCTAAAGCTGAGAGCGAATGGCAAGGCAATTGGACTGAAGCACCTCTCTCTAGAGCCAGGATGCATCTGAGTAGTGGAGATGCTCGCCCCATTACATAGACGCAGTTTGCATAAGACACATCACAGCTTTCTTCTACTCTGATTGGCCCAAGAGGGCAACCCCATATGAGCACACACAGCCTCTTTGTGCGCTGTGTGCTCCTGAAGAGAACAGAAAAAGCCACGACCAGCAGCCGCAAGGTCTGGCTCTGTTGAAAAAACATGGTGGCAGAGTCCTTGCCATTATGGGCCTTTCAAGAAGCTGAAGGAAAATGGCCAAAATGAATCCATGCACAAGTCTAGTTCTTACAGTTTGAGCAATTATACAAGGTCTGAAGATAGCATCCTCTACTGACTAGATATCACATAATGGATGGCCTTTCAATTTTCAAACATTTTAAAACTAGAAGTTTTATAAAACAAAACTAGAATTTACCTGTATTTCCATATTGGGGAAAAGTGGAGTATAAATCAAATCAATACATTAATATAATATTGACCACCCAGCCATGCACTACCATTTATAATGTTACCTGGATGTGGAAAATGATGCATTCAAAATAAGATGTAAGATACTTAAAGTAGTAAGAGCACATATAACACTATGTAACAACATTTGAAAAATGTTCTGTTCCTAGTTTGAAAGTGTTATTCCTATTTAATTATGTGGCCCTTATTTTGAAAGTAGTTGCTATACTCCAGAAACTTCATTTTTCTTTTGGCTGTCACAAACCATGTTGTATTGGTCAAGTCTCTATGAGATATTCATTGAAAAACTGTAGCAAAATCTGCTGCTGGATGTCCTGCAAAAACAAAGTTTTTCAGTTTAATACTTTCCACACGTTTTCATGATAGAACCAATTAGGAAATGACATTTATTACTGAGGAACAAAATTGTGTTACATAATGTAATTTACAGAGCAGACCTAGTTCTGTTTACTCACATGTAAACCCAACTGATTTTGATGGGACTTTTTCCCAGGCAAGTTGGCGATAGGATTGCATGCCTGTTTTCCTAATTTATGACTGGGGAGTGATGAGTATACCTTGTATCACACTAGATGTCTGTTTCTTCTTGGAAACATCCTCTTTCCTCTTACATAAGTCTGTTGAATTCTTTCTCTCCCCCCACCCCCACCCCCACCCAATGCCTATATAAACCAAGGGGTGGACCCACTCTGTTCACACTGCAGCTGTCTCAGGGTTTATTAGCTTCTCCTGATGATGAACAGGCTTAAGTTTCAAACTTTATGGTTCTTCGTGAAGTAGCCAGCATTGGGTCGAAGATCTGCAGATGTAACTTTTTTTCAACTTCACTTTTTCTAGGAACTGGGACAAAAAGAAATTAATTGGGTATGTTGCAGTATTTTTAAAATGACTCCTGATTTTATGGATTTTTTTAAAATTAACAGTCATCACTTTGATTAGCCTTTAATACCTCTAGAATTTCATATGATGCCGTGCATGTTTTATTCTGGAGTGGTTCCTTTTGGAAAAATGTCAGTCATGGTCGAAACATGTACAAATCTCGCCAGTACAGCAATAAAGTAACATTTCTGAGTTCTGTCGGCTGTTCTAGATTACAGATAATGCTCTGTACAATAATGTTTTATAAATAGTTGTAGAGGCACATACTTTATCAGATTACAAGTCAGTAATGCTAAACAATGCTATCACTCAAAGTGCAGAAAGATTCTTGGGTGATCTCTATTTCTCTGTCTCTCTACGAAATGAGAACTGCATGATTTTATGCATACTGATTCATAGTAGAATATACTTCTGGGTAAGCATACTGTCTATATGACAAAGTCTATGCTTATTCTTTGTATATGTTGCTGTTTCTTGTTAGTTGTGAAAACAATCTCAGGATTAATGACTTCCCACTTCTAGTAGAATGGCAAAAACTATTCCTGGTATGTGTAACCCCTGTGCAAAAAAGAAACCCTGTTGTGGGAATATTTATTACTATTGCTGTTCCATGACAACTGTTACTATGCAGTTGTGTGTGTTGACAATGCAAGACACCAACTTATTCACTGTGATCTCTTCTGCTATTAACTGTTCTGTTGTCTTTGTGGGTAAACAATGCTCATGGAGGTTAAATACATTGAGTGGAAAGCACGGGTACTCCAACTACTGTTACAGTGTATGAATAAAATAGGATTGGTTCTGACAATTCCAGACAAAGGTGTAGAATTGGAATGTTAGTTGGCACTGAAATGTATTTATCAGCATTATATGATGCATAGATGAAGAAATCTCGATCCCTCTTCAACACAAATATATACGTAATACATACACATAATTTCACAATATTCACCAAGTATTGTAGCTATGCATGTGCAAAATTTATTAAAGCAAATACAGATATTTCCCCCCAGAATATGATAGCATTTCCTTTATGGAAAAAACATCAAGCATTGTATCTTCTTCTAACACCACTGTGAGAAATATCATGTTTGCAGTGTCCATGGAGACATTTTATTCATTCTGTACTGGGGCCAAATGACTTTGTTTATGTCTTTGACACATCTTAATATTAACTACACTTCCTAGTATGTAAGGCTCAATGGTTGCTCCCTTAGCCTACTGAAGAACATATTAATTAAAGCTTATGTACTACAAAGAAAATTATTGCTATAGGTCTAACTATATTAGTAATTCGCAATCCATCCTTTTCTTTTCTTAGTCTTTGGATATTTCTGTTCTCCCTTTTCGTACTTAGAATTTTTATCTCTTGAATACGTTGAATGAAATGGATTCAAAGTCAACACAGCACAAACATCTTGTGTCAGATGAATTATCTAGAAAGACAGATCACAAAGAAGGTAAACATTCTCCTTGCTTGCTTGCTTGGTTTGTCCTGCTGCCTTGCCATGAAAATAAACTAATGCGCAAAGTTTTGCTGCTTGCATCAAAGTGTGACACAGTGGCCCTGTTTTACAAAATCAATTGGGATGTTGCTTAAATATTCAGTATAGTAATAGTATTACATCTTTCATTACTTTTGAGTTGGTTCAACTTTGAGGAGGACAAAGACCAAATGTTCTCTGGTGAGTCCCTTCCTGTGTCAGTAGACTGGCAGGTTTACATCATCACAATAGCTGTACTCGAAACAACTGGATCTGACCATATTTTTAAGTGTCCCACAACATGCCAAATTAATGCTGGGGCAATTGTGTGAAATTTTGATGGAAAAGAAGAGCCAGCCCTCCGCTTGGAATACCATGTCCTAGGGGGAAAAAGAATGACGACACAGGCAAGCACCAGCAACTGCACTGTCAAAACCCAAGAGACCAAGCCATTGGCCAAGGTTGGCAGATGCTAATATCAGACCGGCTAGGTTACAGACAACAGGGCAGACAATAGGCTGTGATGTACAAGCTGATTTGTCCTGGAATACTTTCCCTCTACTCCTCAGTTTTCCCTTCCCCAAGAGTAAGGTATGTGTCCATGTTGTGACCGTAGGCAGCCATGGCATGGGGGGAAGGGGAAGAAAGGGTTAGGCATCCTGCCTCTCCTGGCCAACTGAGCTCTCGGGAACACAGGAGGGTTGTCAAGATAGCTACAACTGTCAAGTCTCAACTGTCTTGAAAGGCCCTAACACAGGGGAGAACCTGAGTCATGGTTCAGAAGTTGCCCCCCCCCCAAATTGGTTTAGCCCAGGGTGAAAGACAAGTTAAGCAACTTTCCCCAGTTAAAGCCAGATCACACTGACTTATGTGTTTAGTGTGAATCACAGAATCATTTCAAAGCAATTAGGGAGCAATTGTTTAAAGCAATTAATAGCATTTTTTTTAAAGTTAGGCAGTGTTTCTATACCTAGCCAAGATATTTAACCAATGAGGCAAAAATTCAACCCAAATATCACTTCCTATACATGGCAGGAAACTATGATTATAAACTCATAAACTGATAATACTTGGGACCTCTATGAGAGCTGAAGTATGCAGCCTCCGTTGAGAGGGTCACTTCACTCTTCCTAATAACTGGGCTATGGTTTTATAGTATTGCATTTCACTCCATCTTATGTGCCTTATAGTAAAATTGTCTTCCTTTATGCAGATCTGTGACAGTAATATATTGTTGGTTGATTGGTGATTGGTTTGCTGCTCTTGCAGCACAAACTAGTTGGGGTTCAGCCTGAGTTTGAACTTGAACCTGATTCTCTGTTTGTTCCTCCTGATGCTAATGAAAGTATATTTACTGATGCTAGTGGAAATGTACCTTTTGATGCCAATGCTCCTGAAATTAGTGAGGAAGAAACTGCTGTAGGTTTGGAAAATGCCAATGTTCCTGAAATTAGTGAGGAAGGAACTTCTGTAGATTTGGAAAATGAAAGTACCAGTGTTCATGAGAATGTTTCAGAGGGAGACCTTGAACTTTTCCCTCCCTTCTGCACCTGTTAACTGTAATGACAACAGAAGGGGCCAAATTTGGGAAGACAGAAGTAAATCACTCAGTTTGCGTCGATCCTCCCGAATTCAAGAATTAAAAACATTGGCTTCAAAAAGAAGGGCGGTTCACGGAACCAATTCTTGAGTTTTAATTGCCTTACGCCGGGCTGACTGCGTCAGTTCAGGCATCGTTTCAGAATTGATGAAGACCTTGGCAGTTCTCCCGATTCCCTGGCCATAGTTTGGGAAGATTTCTAGGATATCAAGTACGGTTAGTGGATTGCAAACAGATTCCAGTATTTCCCAGTGAGGCTTTTGGTTTTGCTTTGTCCATTTAAATTCATGTTTGCTGATTTTGCTGTGGCTTTTGACTTGCTTTTTTCCTTTATTTTGTAACCATTTTTCTTCAATAAAAAAGGATTGTTTTTCACAGCCAAGTGTGGTGGATAGTTATCTTAGGGCCTCGTTCCCTGCTCTGGATTGCAACACTAGTAGAGATCAGAAAGCAGTCACATTTTTATGAAGGGGTACAAGATACCTAATTTTTCTGATATATGTCAATTCAGAGAAACATGGGCAGGAAATGACTGAAATTAAAACTGTGTCTTTTTCTCTAAAAGTCATATTTGGCAGAGCTGTAGTTATGGAAGCGGAGAATGCGAGCAATTATTTCCTCTCCTGATTAAATTTCCCCCTTTCCCCTAAATTCTTTGCATATTCACATACTTCACTGCTCCTTGGTAACTTTGACTACCCCTTGTCTTCGGATGCCTAAACTGTATTTCTAAATGTTCAAATGAATTTTTAAGTTAATGCAATACTAGAAATTTGGAAGTGGTGGAAAATGTCATTGCAGGGCCAAACGTTACACATTTATTTAGTATGCATTTAGTATTGAATGGCTTTTCCTTTAACATGCTATTAATGTTAGAATCGATTCATGACAAAATTCAGAGTGTTAATAACACCTTCATCACATTTTTATTCATATGCAAGGCTATTTTTTTTTTTTAGAAGTGTGAAAGAGCAACCTTAGGCGGAAGTTGCTCTGGGTCACAAAATAAGCGGCAATGTATTAGAAGGCAAACTTGTTATATGGAGTTAGACTCCTGAAAACGCAGGTTTCTTGTTTGGGAAATATTTCTGGTTTCAGCCCTGCACCTGGAGACACAGTTTTGGTAATGAACAGCAGTATATGTACACAATTAAAGCTAGTCCATGAAGTGCGCCTGTTCCTGGAGATGTCACATCTGGCAATGGTAACACACGCCTTGGTTACATCCTATTTAGATTACTGTAATGTACTCTGTGTGGGGCTGGAAAGTGTGCAAAAATTTCATTTGGTCCAAAGAGCTGCAAGCAAATTATTAACTGGGGCAGGATACTGGGAACATGCAATTCCCTCATTGTAAAGTTCAACTGATTGCCAGTACTTTCCTAGGAACAACTCTATTAAGCCCTATACAGAGTTTGGAGCGAGGTTATTTGAAAGACTGTTTAACTTCTTTATGAAACCATTAGCACTTTAACAGCGGTCCTACACAGACACTATAATGTAGTTTGGAAGTGAATTAAAACTGATTGACTTTGCTGCTCACAGTCTACATGAACAGCCCAGGTACTTGTTGAAGGCTAGGACAGTAGTCATAGTATCTAATTGCGGATTAAAATTAGACTATAAACTGCAGTATCGGGAGCCACACAACTACAGAAAAATGTGGATTTTTTGTTCTTGACCATCTCTTGACTGAGATGAACCGATGCATTGTAGATGATCAGAGTATACTTTGGTTTTGAGCCCTGCATGGGATATACTCTGATCAGCTGCAGCACATTATCTGGCTTATTTTGGACTTTTTGGTGTCTTTTTAAAAAAAAGCATTGTTTCTGACATTAGAAGGCATATTTACATTTTGTGGACACTCTACCCTTGACCTGACTTTGAACAGTATTACGGAGTCTGTGTAGAACCGCCCATGACCATATGAAGAGGCCACTCTCTGGCCTACTACCTTCTCAGGTCCATTTGGTGGCAACAAGACAGAGGATCATCTTGGTGGCTCCTCTGAGACTTCTGAATCTCCTCCCTTGGGAGGCAAGAATGACCATGTCCTTAATTTTTCCATCAGTAAGTTAAAACAATTTTATGCACAGTTGACTTTTCATACTGCTCTTAAAATTTGTAGGTTGTCTTTTAATATTTTTTATTTTTTAATGTTTAATATGTGAAATTGTATCCCTTGTTTCATTGTTTTAAAGCACTGTTTATACTTTTATTTAGGTTTTTTAATTAAAACTTTTTATTAAATTACAGTTTTAAATCTGTAATTGTCTTTAACATCTTGTTAGCTACCTTGACTATCATTATTGAGAAAATGCAGGCTATAAATGAATAAAATAATAACAACTGTGTGTGTGCACCGCCTGACCTATCTAGATATATTTCAAACGAACCTGCTTATAGAAGATACTATGAGAGTGTAGAAAGCTTACTCTTCTGGAGTACTATTCTCCAAATCTCCCATTGGTTCTGCTGACAGAACAGTTCTGATTGGTATGATTGAAAAACATGTATTAAGACTCTGCCTCCAGTCAATTCTGTATATGAAATGATAGAGGTATGTTGTCTTTTGTCTTCAAAAGCTACATCTTTTGGTCTGGCCCTGTGTTCACAATTTTTTTTTCAGTTGTAGGTTAGGCTTGATCCCATTATGACTGACATCTTGAATAAGACAAAAGTAAGGTCTATAAAACCAATTTAAGCCAGGGCATTGAAAAACTCATATTTTTATGTGATGGAAGGAATTAGGAAAGACTCTTTGAAAGAAGCAGCTGAGATTGTCAGCTCTTCAAGATCTTGGCAGGAATTTTATTTCTCTTGGGCCATATTTAAAGAAGCGTAACCTAGTAACTCCTGCATCCTTTTTAGTACCTTCTAAAAGACTCCTTGCCCTTCACTTTACAGAAGTGTTCTCTCATGTTGAAATCTGCAACACTTAAATTCTTTAGTGTGAAAATATGCATTGGAGGCCGCTTCCCAGATACATTTCCGGAAGCAATTTAAAAGACGGGGGGAAATCTGCTAACATAAGAAAGGAATAAAAAACTACACTAAAGGATGATGGTGTCAATGTGAACTCAGCATTTCACAGGTTTAAGTTTCCTAAAATAGAAGCAAGAAAGAGTAGAAGGTGGACCTTTAGCGGTTTTGAAGAACATGCTTGGGTGTGCAAGCTAAATAAAACAAGTCAATTTATGATACTTTAGCAAGGATCCAATAGGGTGGAATAGAATGTGTGCAAACATTAACACCTTAATCTATCTGTCGCAGGGGCATGTTGCATAAATAATCATGTGTACACCTCGTAGTCCCAAAGTGACCTCTTTGAACTGCTTGGTCTTAAATGCACCATGGCAAGTGCAATCCTAGA